ACCCCAGTGCAAGGAGGAGGCAGACAGTCTCAGGACTTTAGGATGGGGGGAGGGCCAGGACTAGGTGTAGGCATTGCCTTAGTCCCCAGGACTCCTGCCTGGAGAAGAGGCAGGCCTGGATGGACCCTGTGTGGCACACAGGACATGGGATGCCACATGAAGATACCACATGGCAGGTGGCCCACAGGGACTGCTCCTGGGCCAGCAAAACGTACCATGGAAAGGAAGGGGGAGAAAAGGTGGAGCTGATGACCTAGGACGCTGTCTCTAAGAAGCTGTTCTGTTTTTCCCTTTCCTTGCCCAGAATCTTACCACCTCAAATTCCTAGATCTGTCTGCTCAGAGAAATACCCTTCTTCCTGCCAGCCCACCTAGGCTCTAGACCTCTGTCCACACTCAGCAGTGTCCAGGTCTGGCGTGGAGGATGGAGGGAGCACAGAGCAGAGGGTGGGGGCAGTGGTGAGGCATAGCCTCGCATACTTTAAGGCGCTTGACCCGGTCGTTAGACTTGCCACTAATGAGGTCAAGGTGGAAGGTTTGATTTTGACTCAGGGCTGGATAAAAGGAGCGCCAGGGGCTCCCTGGGTCCAGCCTGGTCAACGCCCAGCCCCTTGCCCAGTGCAGCAGTACCTCCCTGCCTTGCTTGTTAAGTTCCGTTGTGCTCTGGTCATGGGGTTTTGGCGCATGTACGGGCTGTAGGGCAAGTAGGTAAGCGCGGGCCTGGGTTCGTCTTGCTCATGACAGGCCTGGCATGTAGTTGGAGAGCCTGAGGGCACTTTCCCCGGCTTTGAGAAAGGGCCAGCGTTTTCTGTTTTGTTCACACAGGTGGTTGCAGGGTCAGTCACACAATGGCCATCCACAAACATCTGCAGAACGAACAAGTGAGTGAATGGCGGAGGGTTGCACCAACAAGGCCCTCTCCAAGGCTCGGCCTCCTCTGTGAGGGACTTGAGCAATCAGTCTCACGGAATGATGGCGGTGACAGGACAGCCAAAGCTGTCCCCTGTGCTCCATATAGCAAGACAATGCTTTTTTTTCCCCCATTTTTTGAAGAAAAAGTGCTATTTTGTTGAGAGTAGCAGACCTGGAGTTAGCTGGAAGGGTGCTTGGAAGCTACCTGAACGCTCTCTGCTGCCATCATGCTATGGAAGGACAGACTGAGGCCCAGTGTCCACAGCGGGTCACCTGTGTCCTGTGACTGTCCCATCCTGGGCTGGGCTGTCACTGGTGTAGTTGGTGCAGCTTCGTGGGGTACCACCCCTCTCTTGTCCTAGGATTATACCTCCCTCCTCATGTGGAAGTGGCTCTCAGGCAAAGGCTGCCAGTGACTCACACTATGGTATAAATGAGTAAAATAGGATTCAGCAGGTGGAAAGACCCCAGCCTGAGTCACACAGGCCCATGTCAGCCAGAGCAGTGGTAGCACCGAGAGAAGGGCCTGGCTTCTGGCCTGTCTCTGTGTTACCCAGAGACCTAGAAGGTTCTGCTTCCCCTCTCTGGGTCTCAGTTTGTTGGGATGAGGAAGATTTAGGGGAGCCACTTGAATCTACAGGGTAGACCTGCCCCACTTGCACTCCCAAGGGCTGGCTTACAGACCTCAGGCCTTACTGCTGAGACATCACTGCCCACCTTTATGCCTGCTCTGGCATCTGACACAGACTGGGCGCAGCTGGTTCTCTCCTGTCCTGTGCCTCAGTGCCATACTCTGTAAAATGGGGAAGGCAACAGTGCCTGTCTGTGGGAGGGGGGTCATGGGGAGCACCTGAGTGCCGACAACACCCATTCCTTATTGAGCCTCTCCATCCTGTTCCCTCTGGGTCTGCTCACTGCTGCCTTTGAGTTTACGGCCAATTGTAGGCGCTCAACTTGTCTATCCACCAGCAAAGAACACTGGGAGAGGAGTCTCTGACCGTAAGGAACCTGGAGCAGAGGGTCAAGGTTGCTCAGCAGAGCTGAGATTTGACCCAGTCCCAGCTACCCCCAGCTGGAATTCTTTCTTCCTGTATTGGGCCTCCTGGGAGGAGGCCGCTGGCCAAGCCCAGCAGGGGTCACCTCTTGCGTCACAGTCCCCTTTGCTGCCCCTCTGGCAGACTGGGGAAATGCTCTGTGAGCCCCGGGATTGGCTGCCACTGAAGACAGACCAGCCCTGTGGGGACTTCCCTCTGGGAGCCAGTGCTTAGGGACTTAGCCTGCAGCCACTAATAGCTCCTAAGCCTCAGCAGGAAAAGGGGCTGCTGGGTCAGCAGCTTCCTCCTCTTCCTCTTCCTCCTCCCCACATTGAGTCACCATGACTGAGTACGGTGGAGGAAGGGAAGGAGAGAGCCCTGGCCTTACTTGCTTCTTTTTCTCTTTCCCTTCTATCCATCCCACTGCTCCCCTAATACTTACTGAATACTTTCTGAGGCTGGGCTCTGGGGTGGCCTAGAGGACCCTGCATTGAATTCCACATAGTCCCTGTCCCAGGGGCTCGCAGGTAGAGAAACTGCTAACTGTGAGACAAGGTGTCAAGGCTATAGGGGCCCAGCAGTGCAAGATGCAGACTAGGAAGATGTTGGGGCAAGCAGACCCTAAGAATGACTGACTTTGGGCAAGAGCCCCTTGGATGTGGATGGCAGCTGGCTACGCAGGCACTGGGCCCAGATAAGTCCCAGTGTTTTAAGCAAGTGGGGTGGGGAGGAGTGTAATCAGGTGTCCACTTTAGAAAAGGTCCTGGTGTCGTGAAGGAAGAGTGTCAGGGAGTTCTAGGGTAGGAGTCTTCTACAGTAAAGCCTCCTGGCTGACCACCCTTACCTTGGATATGGGGCACCTGCCCACCTGTATGACAGCCACGGGGTTCCTAGCTTCAGCAGAGTTGCACACCAGGCCAGGGGACACAGAGCTTGCTGGGGCCAGGCTGGAGACAGGGTCACATCCGATCACCTAGTCCTCCTCTTCCTCGGCTTTCTGCTTCTGGGATCCTCTGAAATGCACATCTCCAGACACCAAGCATCTTCCTTGTGGTGGGTACCCAAGTCACCACTGAGTCCAATCACAGACGCAGGCTGTGGCTGGAAGTTCAGTGTCAGAGCTGGACAGAAGCAAACTGAGCCTGGACAAGGACTGGACATGGCCGGACCAGGACGCGCTGGGGCTGAAGGAGCAGCAGATTGTGATGAATACCCGCACCCAGGGCTGGAGAACCGCAGTGGCTCAAGACTTAGCTCATGAATGCAAGGGAAGAGACTTCCCCTGAGCCCCAATTTCATCATCTGCCTAATGGGCAACCCTGGGGGGCAGTGAGGGTTGTGAGGGACTTCCACACCTTCATGGAAAACGCCCATCATGGAAAGTCTGCATGGGTTTAACATTTCACACCAAAAATAAATATGTCGTTTATTTCCATTTTTCTATCAACTTTTCCAAGTGCCCTTGTAGATAAGGCATGGAAAATGTTCAGATAAACTGACTGGGAGCTCCGGTCAGAATTAGCTAATTAGCTCTGGATGCTCAGCTTCCAGGGGCAGCATGCCCAGTGCCATGCTGGCTTTCGTGTGTGTGTGTGTGTGTGTGTGTGTGTGTGTGTTGGGTGGGGGGCGGGGGGAGCCCGGGGCTGGGCCCCTCCCTTGCCACCAGCCAGAGACCATCTGATCTGTCACTGTGATTGACGCCTGTTGGGTTAGCTGGAGCTGTTTTCTCCCTCTCCACTCTTTTTCCCAGCCATATGCAAATGATTTCAGTTCAAGTAACGCGCTAATGGAAATCCTAACACATTAATAAATGTTTAGCGAGAGAGAGCATGCATGATCGTAAGTAATTAGACACTCAACGGAGGAGTTCTGTTGGCACAACTGTCTGGCTCTCTTTCTTTATTTTCCTCCCTCATCTCCAAAGAGAGGTGCAGAAGGAGGCAGGGAGAAGGGGGCTGGCTGGGGTGGGGGCAGGGGTCCCCTGCAGCTGCTCCCCCTGCCATGGTCACATGCACCGGCTCCTCCAGCTCCCTGTCTCCTGCCTTCCCATTTCCAGTGGGAACAGGGCTCTAGGACAGGGTGGCACGCCCTGTTTTGCTACCTCCCTCAGGAGCAGGCCACACACATGGGGATGAGAGCAAGGTGCCAGGGATGCACAAACGGGGGTGGGGGCTGCACCTTCTGCTCCCCAACCCCAACAACTGCAAAATGGAAATGTAAGCTCTCCCCACACACACTTGAGGGGGAAGTGAGACCACAAGTGGAGTGGTATGTGGCTGGCACAGAAAAGGCCCCAGGAAGTGCAAGCTCTCTTTCCCCAGCTCCTCACTGGTGATGCCTTCCCCGCCTCAGGTTGAGGGACTGGCCTCAGAGCAGGCCAAGGACAGTCCTAGGGAGTCCACTTCCCTGAGGAGAGGAGGGGACAGGGCTGGTCCCACTGCCAGGCTGTGGGGAGTGGGAGAGCTGAAGGAGGCAGGCTCCAGAACCTCTCCACCACTTCTTTGGAGCCAGGTATCCTATTTTCTTGTCAAGATGAATCCGCACTAAGGCAAAACAAACAAAAAACCTCACTCCCCTACTTTTTCCCATATTGCCATTTCGATTAGATTAAATTTTAAGAGCACGCAAATGTAATGTTCCTTTTGGATCAAATTAGAAACAGGTGCACTTTTGCATAAGGAAATTAAGCTGCAGACAATATGAAGATTTGCTAAAACGCAGACACTGATGAAAATAAGTAGCCCTTTTATTTGTCGTTATTGAGGCGATCTGTGGGCCAAGTGTGCATGTGGACAGTCTGACAGATCTGTGGACTTGAGCCGGCTGCCACGAAAATGTGCAGCTCTACTGGAAGTCACTGATTTTTTTCCTTAGAAAATGTATATAATATACTCTTTCCCCACCTCTGGGTGCTATTTACAAGGCATGGAATGCTAAAAATAGGAATTCCATCGGTATTCAAGGTCCTTTCCTAAAATATAAACTTCATCTGGGCAGGGGACACTCGGTAAGCTTAATTCCTTCCTCCTGTGCAGCACTGGGAGACAGCTGCAGGCAGCCGCCGGCCTGAGGGCACAGCGCACGGTCAGGGGCCCGCGTCATCAATGCGCCTCCGGCAGTAGGGGCAGCAGGTGTGTTGAAGCACCAGCAGCTCGTAGTCCTCCGAATGGAACATCTGAGGAAAGACGACCTTGGCCTTGACTCCAGCCCACAACCCTGGGTTAACCCCAAGCCCTAAGCCAGGGCCTGACAGTGAGGCAGGGCACTCTACACCAAGCTACACTGGCGCTCCTGGATGAAGCACAGGGCCAGGCGCTGCCCACTCCAGGCGCATGCGAAATGCAGGGGAGGGGCAGGGAACAGGGAGAACCCAGTCTCATTTCCCAGCTCAGAGTCCTGGCCATGGAGAGCTACTGAGCTCCTCCCTACACCCAGCCACCCCAGGTCATGCGGGGAGTGGAAACGCAGTAAGCATGCAGACAGCAAGGACGCACACAGGGGCTGCTGGCAGGGGTTGCGTACCTGGAAGCAGGAGGGACACATGGTGATGGGGGCATCAGGCAGCAGCGAGCGGAAGTACTGCCACTGCAGGGGCGGAGGCCAGCGCTTGATGAGGACGTCCCGGCGGCTCATGGAGCGTAGCACTGACCGGCTCACCACGATGGGCACGAACTCTGAGCCACCTTGCTGCAGGGCCAGGAGGGAAAGCAGAGCACCCTCAGTATGCAAGGGCACCACTTCGGGGTGTATCAGGATCTTGCAATCTCTGGGGATGGCTAGGGAGAGCCCACTTCCTCTGATCCCAGGTGGCCCTGACACAGACAAGTTCCTAGAGCCGGCACTGAAGCTGTTTATCTCTGGAGACAGCCCAGCCTCACAGGAAAGGGTCCTGGTTCATCCTTCTGGAAGCTCTGGCCAGAGGGTCCCCGTGTGCACAGGACAGGGCCCTCCCAACAAGCCGTGTGTGCCTCGGGAGCCGGTCCTCACCTCAAAACTCAGTTTCGCCGTAAACGGGTCGTCGTCTCCCATGGATTCCTGGGTCTCCTCCAGCCTCAGCGTCTGGGAATCTGGGGAAACTGGTCAAGGATGGACCCATACTGCACATCTTGGTCACACCCAGCTGAGCATGTGAGGTGTCCTGGGGTGAGCGGTGACAGCAGTCATGGGCTGGGTCTCCCTGTTGCATTTTCTTGTTAACTATGCTCCTCAACTCACAGTCCAGGGAAGGTGGCATCACCTGTGTGCTTGCTGGCAAGGTACTGACTCAGCTGTTGTGTGCCCACAAAGGCTCCAGGGTTGTGACAGGTTCATATCCTGGGTGCTTAGCCCTAGAGTACAGACCCTAAGCCTGGACTGTTCGCATGGTCCTTCTTCCTGGGCACAGGATAAGCTGAGGTGCACTCTGGGATTTTTACTGACACAGCTGAGTTTCCAGGTCTAGGGACTGCAGTCCAATGGGATGCAGGGTTGGCACCCCTGGTCGCCTACTCTGTGGCATGGGGACAGGGCAGTGCTGACTAAGGATGGAACTGCCCAGAGACCAGCAGAGCTGGAGAAGCCCAAAGACAACCTTCTAGAGCTTAGAGTAAGGCCCTGGATCCCACAGGGTTTCAACTATTGGGTGTCTTCAGGCCCTTTTGTAGTGCTGCCCCTTTAGGTCACGATTCCTGTCATTTGCATGGATAAGTGGCATGTCCAGAAAAGTTGGGGCCAGCAACATAGATATCACATGCCGTGTTCACCACTTATCAGCTGCAGGTGGCCAGGTGCATGGCCAGTGTCTTTCAGAAGCAAGGGAAGGTATGTGGGTAGGTGGGAGACCCCCACAAGAAGGAAGCATAGGGGAAGACCAAGGGGTCAATGGCCGCAGTGTCGCTGGCCCCCACCTTGCTGCCCAGTAGGCTCCTCCAACCTCTCTGAGGGCACGGGGTTAGGCTCAGCAGAGTTCAGCATCCTCCAAGCCTCATCCTGCCCTGGCAAGGCCTGGCCTCCAAGGGTCCCCTGCTTTGCCCCAGAATGAGCACACTGCTGGCCCAGCGGGCTCCACCCAGGGCACAGGATACTGCTGCCTGTGGTCTCCTGCCATTTGCTCTCCCGCTTGTGTCTCGGCGCCTCCAGGTCAATGAGTGAGACAGCTTCTTCATCAGTGATGCCCTCCTCCAGGTAGAACTCAACCAGGTGCAGCACCTCTGGAAGACATAGGGCACAGAGGCAGCTGGAGTGCCCACAGTTCTTTTCTCATCTACTGACAGGCCAGGATAAGCAGAGGCAGTGGGCCATCCCTTCGTGTAAGAGAGGGTGGGGTGGGATGGGAGTGGAGACAAAATGAGGACAAACACCAGGTAGGTGTCTTCAGCTCCCCCCCCCGCCCCACTGTAGGAGCTGGGCAGGCTCCTCTCCGGGTTGGGGCTCTGAGACTCTGTCATCACTGGAGGGGCACGAACATGGGAGTCACCCTGGTCTCTGTGCCAGGGCACTGTTCACACTAGGTCCTGCTGGGTTTGACTAAGGAACGTGCTTTAAGTGGGCAGCCTGGGCCCATCTCTGGGGACCTGGCAGTGGCCCTGTGTGTCAGGAGACATGGTAGTCAGCAGTGAGTGTGCCCACCAGCCTGGCTACCCCTCAGACCTGCAACGGGACTTACCATAGGAAGAGGCAGAGAAGACGAAGGGCTGGCGGCAATTGATGCAGACAGTGCCCAGGTTGTTGAGCAGGGGGTTGTTGGTGGAACAACGGTAGCACAAGGGCACCAGCTCCTGCAGGACACAACACAGACTGCCCAGGGGACACCAGACTCTGGTTTGGGGACCCCAGGCCCTGGCTGCTACGAGGACCAGCTCCCTGGGGCAGGGCATGGCTCTGTTCTGTGGTGAAGCTGCACAAAGGCTTCCAGTAATGGCAGAGGCCCCACCTCCTCCCCACAGGTAGAGCTCAGCAAGACCCTCGGCTACTCAGTGGCCCGTTTATCCTCACGGCCACTGCGGGAGAGGTACCACACACGTCCTCCTTGAGACACAGCTAGGAAGCGGTGTTGCTGGTGAAGAGATTTGATGCTGAGTCCCTGCTCAGAGCTTGAAGGAAGGGCTGTGACAGACAGCAGCCAGCTGGACTGAAAGCAAGTGGGCTGGGCAGAACTGGCTGCAGAGTCACTACTTCATGCTAGAAAGGGGGTGGGTTAGGGTGGAGGATCCTAGCATGAGGGCATGTCAGAAGCTAGACTGGCGGTGTGGAAGGGACCAGGCCCCAGACCACGTGGGCTGGGGCCCCAGGAGGAGCAAGGGAGCCTAGGGGAAGGTTTGGGGGCCAGGAAAGCGTGGGGGACTATGAAACAGAGGGTGCAGATGGAGCGCTGTGAATGGAAGCCGTGGGCAGGCCAAAGCTCCCACAGGGACGAGCTCAGAACTCTCAAGGATAGATCAGTCTTCTCCTACACAACTGAGGCTGGGCGGAAGTCCTCATAAGACTCTGGAGAGGCAAGGCAGAGCCCTGGGAGAGGAGCTGTGTCCTCACCTCACTGTCATGGAACGGCTTAGACCGGATGGTCAGGCTGCCCAGCTCGATGGACTTCTGGAACCTGGCAGGGACCTTCAGGCCCTGTAGCTTGTCGTAGGCATGCCGGGCCAGCTTGTAGGCACCCAATGCCTTGCTCTGCTTGGCCAGGGTGAAGAGTGTATTCCTGCCATCAATAGCATTAAGGAGGGCAGAGACCACTTTGGGAGGGAGCCCAGCACTGCAGCACGTCTTGTGTTAGTGCCAGGACGCAGGCACGAGCCTGAGGAGCCCTTGGCTCCCTTGTGAGATGTAATTATATTTCTAAGAGAGCAAAGGCCAGGGATTTTTCCACAAATAAAAGCAGTGTCATTTCCATTAATATTTTAGCCTAGTAAGGAGGTTCTCTGGGCCTCTGATGGCTCATCTTGTACTCTGATCAAGCCAAAACAGCTCTCCTTGCTGTGACTGGTTGGAACAAGTGCCCTCTCACTCCAGCTCCAGGCCTGGCCTGCCTGGGGAGCAGCCTCAGGCCTGGTTCAGAGGCCACTGGGTACTCAGCACCCTGCGTCTATACTTCACCAGGGACCCACTGGGGCCTGAAGCTGAAGGGCCTTTGTGCTCTGTCTCAGGTCACCTGGGACACTGGCTGGGCCCAGGGTCTGCTTGTTGTCCCCGCAACCTCTCCCTGGTAAGTCTCAGTTCAGTACTGATCTCCCAAGTCCCAGCCTCCCACTTCAGAACTCTCAGGACCTTAAAGATGTTGGCCATTTCCTATAGTTCCTGGCCACACAATCCCGTCAAGTCCATTCTCTGCCTATGGCTCCACAGTGGCTCTCAGTGGCCCAGGACAGACAACCTCGCCAGAGCCCTCAGGTTCTCTGCAGTGCTGCCCCCTTCCTTATGCACTCTGGGTGCCCTGCTGGCTCATGTACACCACTGTCTTCCCTGGCTGCCTCTGCCTGCAGGATGCATACTGTTTCCTCCAGGCAGCCTTCCCTGACCAGGGCCAACCTTGGCTGCCTTCCATCCCCAGGCACAGCTCACATTCACAGATCCAGGCCCTGACACTAATCACCAATACCCAGATAGCAGCTTTGTCACCTGCTGCCTAACCCAGTGTGTGGGACACAGAAGGTGCCCTCTATAACTGGGGTGAATGATCCCCCACCTGGGGAGACCAGGCATTTGGCCTGCTACATCCTCCCGATCAGTCCCACCCTTACCCCACGGGTTCCAGGAGGGCCTGGGACCATGTGTCAGTTGGAGACCTGCTCAGCTCAGCCTGGCATGGGTTCCTCAGCCTCCCTGGCTGAGCCTCTTCAACAGCCAAACAGCAGCGGGCAGGCAGGCGCTCTCCCTTCCCCAGGGCTGCGGGAGAGAGGGAAGCTTCTGCCAGTAAAGTGCTCTAGAAAGAACATCTCGAGGCCATTAGACGAGGGGTGGGACCAAGCGAGCGGGAGAGCAAGGATACACTTTAGAGATGCCCAGGGGAGTGTCCTTGGTCAGGCTGTGCAGCAGGAACCTGGAGATGTTGAATAGGGTTTCGGGAAGATGGAAACTGAATGGCTCCTCCTGCCGCAAGAGAAGAGAGAAAGTAAATGAGGACTGAATCCCTCAAAGGCTTCGCGCCGTCTCCACCAACAGCACACGTGGGGCACTCCAAGGTCTCGGGGTGCACACATGTTCAGTATACTGGGGGCAGGGAATGATACCCCAAGAGATGAGCTGCTCAAGACACTGACTAGATGGAACAGAGGTGGGATTAAAAACCCACGTGACTGCAGCAGGAGAATTCTTTTCTTCCTAGCTACATGGTTCCTGGTGTTGCTCCTGACTCCACTTCCCTGAGCCCAACTTGACTGTATTTAATTCTAAAAGAGAGATCCTGGATGCCACTTAGGGCATCACCAGCAACACACTTCCTTGAAGAAAGGCATCTAGTCTTTCCAGGAGCAGCCAGCACATCTCTGGGCTGTGCAGAAACAGCCAGCACACAGCACATGTGGGGTTTCACAAGCTCCTCACCATAACCTGGTGCGGTCACTGGTGCTTGGCACACTCTAGTGGGATGAACAGGACTCCTGACACAGAGACTACTGGGAACCCAGCATAGCAAATACAGGAAGGGGAATCTGGCATGCTGCACACAGACCACCTCTTCTAGCAAACCTGTAGATGATGATGATTAAGGCGAATCAGCCTGGCTCCTGCCCCAAACATGTGAACAGCATGAAACTGACATTTCCCACAGAGCCTGGCTGGGTCCTACTCACGGGATACATCCCCGACTGGTATAAACTCAGGCAAACTCACTTGGCTTTTTACTTCTTTGCCTCCAAAGCCCAGCATTTTCTCTTTAGTTGCTATTTAAATTTCCACAGCCTCTCTTAGCTGTGAGAACTCAAGAAAACCTGAGACTACATCCTTTCCTGGGTGAGAGCCAGGATGAAGCCTGCCTCTGCTTCTGCACTAGGTGTGGAAGCTAAGAAACGCCCCACTGAGAGCGAAGTGGGGCTCCTCAGGATGAGCGCCTCGCCTCTGGGAAAGAAGTCACCCACCACAAGGAGCTGCACTTTCCCTCCCAGTTGCCCGGACTGCCCTGAGCCAGTGCCACGCTGCCCCACGCCACGCCTAACTACTACTCACTTACAGACCTCTGCATGGGCTGAGCCCTCTGCCAGGATGCCCCTCATTTCCCTCCTTCATCCACCCCATTCATACTTGTCTTCCTCCTCCTGGCTCAGGGGCCATAGCCTCCAGAGCCTCTCTTCACGCCTCTAAGCTCTTCTCTTCAGGGACTGTCCTGTTAACTAGACTGCAGACTCCATCGTTCACCACCATGTCCCAAGGCCTTGTCACAGAGCCTGTCACACAGCACGCCTTTGCTGAAGGGACGAAAAGCACTAGCCGGACCCAGACTCCCTGCTCCCCTGCCCTCCTGCCAGCTCAGCTCTTCGCTCAGGGTTGGCTCAGGCTGGGATCCGACTTCTGAGTCCAAGTCTGGTCTCTTTGGGTTGCATCTTTCTAGGTGAGCACCTCAGAGAGACGTGCGGCCCAAGATGCTCCCATCTCTGGGAAGGCAGACGGGAGGAGGGAAGAGCTCCTGTGAGCACCCTGATGCTGCAGTGGGAAGAGAGGCAGAGTGGAGCCTGTCAGAGGAGGCTTTCTGACCACATCTTTCCAAAAGACAAAGAGGGGTGGTCACAGACCTGGTGGGGTAGAGCGAGGGGGTGTGTTGGAGGAAGGGTGGGGCCCTCCAGAAGTTACAGGCACAGGAGATGCTGAGCCTCAGGATAGCTGGAGGAAAGCTGATGGAAAGAGCTGAGGCTTGTGTGAGGCCACCCCCAGGCCTTCTTGCAAGTGCTTCATCACCAACTTATTTCACCCCCACAACCTTCAAAAGTAAGTACTATTATCTTCTGTATTTTGCAGTGAAGGCAGCTGAATCACAGGAGATACATGACTTGCCCAAGATCACATAGTGTAGCTGGAACGTGGAGCCTTCAGAATTCACTCTCCAAACCGTCCTACATCTGTCCCTTGCATAAATGGTGTGGTATTTGTAGAGTACATACACGTCCTCCCCAAGCCTTCTAGTCACCTCTACGTTACGTGTGCCACCTAACACATGGTCTGCTGTGTTAACAGTTGTCACACTGTTTAAGGGGTAATGGTAAAAAAAAAAAAGTCCCACATATTCAGCACGGATGCAATTTTTTCTGAATACTTGTGATTCTTGGTTGGTTCCGTTATGGATGTGGAGCCATGGACAGGCAGCCTGCCTGCTCCATGTGAGAGAGCAGAGGGGGCACAGGCTAACAGTCTGTTGAGACTCAGATACTGAATCTGCTGCTTAGCAGCTGTGAGGCCCTGACCTCTGCCCACACCTCAGTTTCCCATCTGTAAAATGGGGATAGTGGTCCTGTACAGTGTGACTGGGAGAATGAATTGAGAGGTGATTATTATAAGGCTCTTGGCATACTGATTGATGATGCATAGTGCTCAGAACAAGCTGTCTTCTAATGTGTCTCCAGCCTCCCAGACAGGACGGCCTCCTACTGCAGGAGCTGACCCAACATGCACCATGTGCAGACACGGGACAAGGATGCTGTGTACTGCCTGCCCCACGATGACAGTTACAGCAGGGCTGGTGCTTAGTCACAGATACCAGCATCCCACGATGGGTGAGCCCTGGCTGTTCTGTTAATGACCTAGCTCCCTGCTAATGCAGCTGGAAAGGTGCTGGAAGATGGCTTCAAATAAACAAATAAAATTTAGACCCCATGTACCCACCTACATGGGAGAGTTGAATTGAGTTCCAGACTCCTGGCTTTAGTCTGGCCCTGGCTCAGCCCCAGTCCCAGAAGTTGCAGCCATCTGGGGAGTGAACTAGCGGATGGAAAATCTCTCTTGCTCGCTGTCACTCTGCCCTTCAAATAAACAAGTAAATCCTAAAAGACAGAGAGAAAGAGGGGGAGCAGGGCAGAGAGAGAGAAAGAGAGGGAGAGAAAAGGAAACAGAGAGAATGCCTTTTGGGTGGGCCTTTGGCATAGCAGTTAAGACACTATGTTGGATTCCCACATTCCATATTTGAGTGCCTAGGTTTGAGTGCCTACTTTCAAGTCTACCTTCCTACTAAAGCAGACTCTGGAAAGCAGCAATGATGGACCAAGTAATTTGGGTCCCTTGGCACCTATATGGGAGATGTGAGTGGAATTCTCAGTTTCTGGTTTTGGAGGGCATTTGGGGAGTGAGCCAACCGAGGGAGACTTGTGCGTCTGCCTGTTAATTTGCCTCTTTGCCTTTCAAAGAAAACAAATAAATAAAGCTTGGAAAATGGCTTCATCAGATAGAATCACTGAGTGGCTGGGTAACTGATGCTCAAATAATCCCTTGTATTTCACAGATAGGAAACTGAGAGTCAGAGATGGAATGTGAATTGCTCATGAACTCACAGCAAGCTGATGGCAGGGCGAGGAGAGAATTCAAGCCTTTGGTTTATTCTGGGCTTCATCCATCTAGAGATGGGAGTGAACCCAGAGCTGTCCTGAGCTGTCACAGTCTGAACCAAGCACCTACAAAGGCCTGTCCCAGCTGTGGACTACAAACCAGGAGCCCAATGCTTGCTGCAAGTCCAACAAGTAGCAGATCAAAGCCTTTTTTCTCCAGAGGAGACCAGGATCTCCCAGCAGCACACCACACCTCTGAGGGTTATGTCTTCACTCCATGGCAGCTGCCCTTTAAGACAGATGCAGTGTCCAGCTCAGCAGGCAGTGCCCCTCAGGCACCATTTCCTGGTCCCCTTACCGTGTATCGCTGAATGGCGTGGTAGCCGTGGTATAGCTCAGCCAAGTGCTGGAAGTGGTGGAATTTGCCAACCATCAAGTCCTGCTGGGCGGGATCTGCTGTGCACAAGGAGGCGAGGTGAATCAAACTGAACAGTGCTTGTGCCTAAGCACCGGCCACAGAAGAAACAGCAAGGAGACAGCACCACAGTCAGCATCAGTTATTCCAAAGCCCTAGTCCTACCCCAAGGATAGGAGCACAGAGGGGCAGTGATGAGAAAGGGAGTGCCTAGGAGTGGGAGCCACCCCAAGATGCTGAAGTCTTAGCTGGGCAGAGCAGACAGCTTGGAAACAATTGAGGACATTCTCCCAGGCCCCTCAGACCTCACACTGCATCCTTCCAGGTCATTCCATGGAAGGAGCAGCAGCTGTGGCGAGAAGGGTTCCCCAGCAACCCAGGCCTGCTTACTTTGGGCCTCTCTGCTCCGTGCCACTTCCAGCAGCAGCACAAATCACAGAGCAGACAGAACCTTACAAAGCAAGCAGGATGGGGTGTCCTAAGAGGATGGGTCAGAGGAGCTCAGGAAGGAACTGGGGCTTGATAGAGGTCCCCTCTGCGTCCAGAACTCCTTCCATGTATCATGGGAAATATTGTGAAAGCAAGACATGTTGAGACAGTCTTCCTGCCTGGTTCGAGTGAGAATCCGGGGTGTGTTATTGTAAAGTGATCTCCTGTTCATCATCTTACTTAAACTTTTTTTTTAAAGCCAGTGCTCACCCAGTCTAGCCATGGGCTGCCAGGTAGGACTGGAGAGAGGTGCTCTGAATTAGCAACATAGGGTGAGACCTCCCAATCGCAACCCAGGCAGCCTCCAAACCACCCCTATACTTACTGCAAACTGGAAAAAGATGACACCGTAGATTACGCTGCTGCAAGACAGGCTGATGGACAATACACTCAATAAACAAGCCCAGGGCTTTCATTAAAACAGCCTAGCTCTTCTGATGTTTATCTTGGTGCCAGAGCGTGGCTGGGGAAGAGAATGGCCTGGCCCATGTTCCCTTACCTTGAGCTATCTCGAGGCACTGCATGGACAGCATCCAGTAATAATAGGCGGCGTCATTAAACCTGCTCTCCACCACAGCGTTGTGTGTGAGCTGCTCCAGTACCTTGACCGCTTCCCTCTGCCGCCCGGCCTTGTGGAACGCTGTGGGCACAAGAGCATATGCGGGTTGGGAGCCCACCAAGCAGGCAAGGGAAGGTTCTGTAGGGGTTGTGGGGGACGGCTTTGGAAGGAGGACACTCTAGAGCATCTATAGTGCCTGGGTGCTGGGCTCCTGCTCAGGCAAAGGGCTATGAATAACTGAGACTACATCCTGAAAAAAGTAGAGTGAGATACACTTCCCTGAGGCTAGGAAAAGGCAACCGATTTTGGTAAAGCATGGCAGAAAGAAAAAACAAGGGCTCAAACTATACAGCAAAGTCTGGCAATGCAGTCTGCTGATCTTTGGTAGGGTTCTGTCCCCTCCCCTTTTCTAGGACAAAGCTAATGGAGGAACTTAACCATTTACAAAGCGCTTTCTCTCCTAATTTCCTCACAGGGACATCACAACATAGGAAAAAGGGGTGGAGACACAGTATCACATCCAAGGTCAAAGAACCAGCCCGGCTCAAGCCCTCAGTTGGTTTTCAACTGGAGTGCTTTCTGACAATGATCTTCAAAGATCTGGCTTCATTCTTGAAACCCAATACTACACAAATAAGCCGCAAACTCTCAGTCCTCCCTAGGACAAACCTTCCCTGGCATCTCCCCCGCGGTCAGCCCCTCAGGACACTGGGGGCTGCCAGCAAAGCACCTGTGGCTGTGACACTTGCCCACCTGTGGGTGTCCAGATGAGCTCAACCCTTTGCCTCAGAGAAGAAAAGGCCTGGCCTCTGTCCCATTCTCCCCCTCCAATCTCTTGTCTGAGCACCAAGTTACTATGGCGATGGATTCTTGGAAGGGCAGATGCAAACAGATGGATAGGTTGATGTGTTTTGCCCAAACATGCATATACTTCAGCAACTGGGTGCTGGCCCTGCTGAAGCAGGGGAGAACATGCAGTCCTTCAGCCGGGCTTTTAACTGCAGGACTCCTACAGGGAGACATTTGTTCTGCAATGGGTCCGGAGGTGGCAACTGTTACCATATAGAAGTGCAAATGAGATGCTATGGATATGACACGCCCAGCTTCAATTAAAGACATCCTAAACAGGCAGCAAAACACAGGTGGAAGAATCAGGTTTCCCAGCTGGATGGATCCTGGTCCAACTCTGACTCTACCGCTTGGTCTCGCAACTTTGTATGGCACACAGAACCTGTGTCTCTGTGGCTCTTTTGGCATGATTCAAGGTTATGCAGGTTAAGTGCCCAGCCGGTGCCTGATGCAGGAAAGGCAGCCGATTTCTAAATCACGACTCCCACGACCAGTTAAAGCTCTCTTGCTCAGTTACTATCACAGCTACTGCCCAACTGCGCGTTTTACGCACTGAAGGCTGAAGAGCAGAGGCAGCCCCTCAACTGGCGGCAGAAGAGTTTCCATTTTCAGTAGAGGAATGAGGAGGTGAGCATGCTACACACTCGGGCTGTCTTCTCTCTCATTTTGCCACTACACCCTGGCACCAATGACCTCTCTGCTGCTTCCCATCTATAGGACTTCAGGCAAATGCCTTTACCTCCTTACAGTTCCGTTTGCTCATCTGTAAAATGGAAATATAAACAACAGTACTGACAGCATGTGAGTGTGGTGAAGATTAAATGAGAAGACAGACTGGTGTGTGTAGTAGTGCTTTGCTCAGTAACCACAGCACCTCAGAAACGAGACAGAAGCTGAAGGGTCTTGCAGACAGTAAGGGGCTCAAGAGTGTGTGTCTCCACAGCCTACATCCTTTCCACTGCCCCCACATCTCACTCCCAAACATGACCACATCTATATGGAATACAGATTATCTTGGCATTTGCAGGTGGGAGGGGCCTGGACAGTGCCTAACCCTGTTCCTCCTGCAAGGTGTCAGTCTGCATGCCTACCTTTCTGGGCTTCCTCAAAACGATCGTTCTCTGCCAGCCAACGAGCATAAGGCACATAGATGTCATCCTTAAACTCAGGGTGTTTCTCGCTCAAAGCAAAGGCCTGGAGGGAAAGGAGAACACATCCTTAATGAAGCAGTCCTGTGCCCCTGCAAACACAGCTCTTGGTTGGATCCATTAGGGATGTCCCATTTTGCCAGCCTGACAACCCCAAGGAGGAGAGTGCCTGCCCCCACTACCACCCCCAGAAACACAAAAACAAATCAGCTCTTTGAAAACAAAAGGCAATTAACAGCAATATGCAAGCGACTGGATTCAATAACAACACAGTCTGTTTCTGGACCACAGAAGCGGCACAGAATCGGAAACATTTTATTTTGAGGGTTTGCGTAGGCTCCTGGAGCGTGGCAAACAGATTTCTTTTAATTGCAAGCGACACCTAAGGAAACAGAACTGACATTCTCATCATCACTGCTTATCAGCTGTCAAAGATGACTGTGGGCTTGGGATTCTCCAGGATCAAGTGGAAACTTCACTGACGCTCCAGACCACCTGGCAGGCCAGGGCACAGGAAGCAAGCCAGGGTATAAAGTCCATCTGATGCCTGGTCATGCTGTGATGCTCCTCTTTGTGCCACTTGAGAAAGCTCCTGGTACATTTGTCTCGAGGTGCCATTACAGCCTCTGTCCCTGGCTTCACCTTTCCTCTTCAGCGGCCCCCACCATTCAAAGGGTAGACAACAGCCAGACAGCTTATCCCCAGCAAAGGCCTTGTTATCACTGTGTGTGAGAGACCACCCTGCATGGCTGGGAGGCGGGGAGGACCAGGGACAGCTTTCCCTTCAGGACATAACAGCCCGCAAGCTGGAGGATGAGAGCCAAGCTGGGGAGCAGGCAGCATCGGTGCCTCACAGCAGCCTGGCTAACACTTCTCACCCGCCCCTTCCGCCAGAGGAATGAAGGCAAGGAAGGAGGGGGAGATGCCTGAGTCTGAAAAACACGGATGGCATCGAATGGTTTTAAATGTCACACAGGTGTGTTTCCACATCAGAGATAGTCTGAGCCCACGGTGTCAGTCAGTGCAGCTCAGATCAACGGCAGGCACTGGGGTCCCTGTGGTGACACAGCCCAGTGCCTATCCCAGGGCCAGCAGAGAGTAGGCAGCCAAGGAAGATTTTTGGAATGAATGAACAAACAGAAAAAAACTACAGTGAGAAGGTTCTCCAAAACACTGGCTCCGAGCACTCCAGGCTGAAGTTTCCGGCCACCAGTCCAACGTTCACTTCACCACAGGAAGCCTCCCATCCAAGCCCTGAGCAGACCCTGTGCGCACTGGCCCAGGGCTCAGGCTGCTGCCCTTACCTCGTCCCAGCACTGGGTCTCCACATGCAGCTGCACCAGAGACTTCAAGTCACCCATCTTCAGGTAGGTCTCAGCAGCATAGCCAGGGTTATCCAGCTTCTTGAAGTAGTGAGCACACATGAGCAGGGGCTCACGCTCAGCCTTGTCTAGCTTCCGCGCGATGTCAATCAACCTGGAGGGCGAGAGGGTGGGGAGCAGAGGGTCCCTGTGAAGGGGTCTGATAGAAAGTAGCAGCAAGGGGCTGCAGACATCTTCAAGGGTAGGCTCTGTGCTTGCTGGTTCGGCTATCCCCAACGCTAACACAGGGCCCTGGCTCTGGGCTGCGCTCAGTAAATGAGTGAACAGCGACTCTGGAAACACTGTCAGGGACCAGACAATGTCTGTTACCTCATATGCCTTTTACAGAAGTTACTAATCTACGCAGCAGGATCTGGGAAGAGAAAAGCAGTATTACCAGGACCAAGAGGGCACTGTGAGCTTTCCTGTGTGTGTCCTTGATAAATCTGTCTCTCTGACAGATGGGTGCTGCTGCTCTCATTTTACAGATGTGAAGACTAGAGCCTGGGGTGGCAGGTAATGCCTGCACAGCCAGGAAGTGGTAGAATGCTCTGCCTACCACCAACTCAGGAACTCTCACAGGAAAGGAGATGCTGAGATGTGAGAATTCCCCAGGGCCGAGCTCTAGGGGAGACCGTGTGTCCTGCTCTGAGCCCTGACCGTGCCCTTTCCTTGCCAGCGGGCTGACCACTATGTGGGGCCATGGGACTAACTGGCTGGCTCACCCCCTCTTCTTAGTACTGACCAGCCCTTCCACTGCTCACATGGACACACCCCTTCCCTTGGGTCAGGCAGGGTTTTGGAGTCAGACCAGCTCCCTTGGGTCATGGCTTTCAATCCCAGCCTGCTCTGTGAGAAGGGAAGGGAAGCAGCTGCAATAGACCCCATCTCAGACACAGGCAAGCTGGGAGAGCCTGTCAGTCTGCACTCAGAATAATAATAGCACCTAAAAATAACGCTGCTCGGCAGGGGAAGGACACACTTTTAGGGAGAGGTGGCACAGGCAGCCCGTTGGAGCCCTCTGGCTTTGAATCACATGGCCCTGGAGGGCACCCCCCCTAAAAGAGGGACACAGCGTGCTTCTTGAACTAGCTGTGTCCATAGGGTAACCTGAAATGGCCCCTGCAATTGAAATGTGACAACTGAAACACCAGAGGGAGGACGCGCCCACATCTGCCCGGATCTCCTCTGCCACTCCTTTCCCAAAAAGAAAAATTGGGGGCAAAATCTTTTCCTCCATTTTCAAAAAACTTCATTCTTGGATAAGAAGATGCAACAGCAGGTTCCTCACCAAGGCCTCTGACAGGCCCAGAAATCGATGACACAATGGGGTTTGACAGAACAACTCTCCTGAGCCACCCGTCTCCACCCCTCAGGGCCTGGCTGTGTCGCTGCTATCTTATGGACCATGATTTTTCTTCCAGGACAACCAACAGCCTTCAGGGCTTAGACAGAGTCTATCTCCTCCCTGTCCTTCCTGGCCAGCTTTGGCAGTACATGGGCACAGACCTGAGTGGCCAAGAAACCCACACTCCCTGATGTGGGTGGACAAAGTCTTCCCCCTGGAGCTCACCGAGCCCATTGGTGCATCCCAGCTAGAATTCTCTACTGCGCAAGTGGCATCCTGGACTTTCGGGCCCGGCACCTGTGAGGACCCCTCAGTTCCAGCTCCTCTGTGTCTCTCACAGCCTCAGGCACCACACTCTGGTCCAGTCTGCTGCACTGGCTGACCATCTCCTCTTTCCTCTACCTCTCCCTGAAAATGGAGACTTGCTACCTGTCTAAAACGAAGTACCTCCATTTGGCACCTGGTGTGGGTGACCCTGCCCTCAGCCAGTCATCCTTCCCACAGCCAGTCCCTTCCCTATTCTCATCAGACCCTCTAACTGTCGGGCTGTTCTTCCTGCCCTGTCTACCTTTCAAAATCCTTCAAGGTCCCTTCATGCAAAAACATCCACAGGTCCTCCCAGAATTCTCCCTTCCTGTTGTTTAGAACTTTTCTCACCTTCTCTGGCTCCTGCCATCATATGTCTAATGGGCTCAGAAACCGCCCAGAACAGTCTGAAGCTCGGCCCCATGGCTTCCTCACTGCTCAGCTTCTTGCGATGTGCTTGCTGAGTCTCAGTTTCCTCAAGCTCAAGGGGCCTGCAAGGTGCTTGCAGGGCTTGGGCTGTAGTGAGTGCCCAGCACATGGCAGCTTTGATGTCTGGGCAACCTTAAGTGCCTGCTACCCAATTGCCCCCCAAAATTAAGAAGTTCCTCAAAAGCGGTGCCTGCCTGGTACAATCTCTGTGGCTCCGCAATAATGTAGTCACTGACACATTTGGTTTAGATATTTAGAGAAAAGCTATTTTCTCTCTGTCAGTCAAAACCAAGAGCTGACTTGACACGACATGCTGCCAGATGCTTCTGGGGGCAGGGGCTGAAACCTACATGTCAACCCAGCCGTGGTCGCCGCTCAGCTCAATGGCCTTGACGTGCTCCCCCGCAGAGATGTACATCTCCACAGCAGCTTTGGGCTCGTTGATATTTCTGGCCCAGTCAGCTTGCTTGGTGATTAGCATCTTTGTTTCTTTGGGGTCTCCAGATCCAAGGAAATCCTGAGGAAGCACAACAAACAAAAACACTCCGGATCAGAGTTTCCTGTGCCAGCATTACGTCAGGCTGCCGAAAGCTGGAGCAAGGAAGGGTTCCATGTGGCTGGGGCGGGCATTCAGGATGTAGCACAGGCCCAGTCCCAAGCGGCTGAGGTGGGGGCAGGCCCAGGTGTCCGAGGGAATGTGCACGGCTTCCCCACAGGTGCTCCTGGGGCTGCTGGGCCAGTGTCAAGGACAGTGGCCTTCGGTGTTTACTTCCTTTCCTAATAGACATTTGTTCAAGTAAACTACACTTGCCAGCCTTGGAGCACTGCATGTACGTACACACACACACACACACACACACACACACACACACACACAGCCACAGACAGTTCCTCTCCACTGTCTACAGAGTGACGGACAACTTGGCTGCCTAACTTCAAGTCAGGCCTGCAGTCGTCTTACACTACACACCTGGATACCTCAGTAGGACTAGCATGTGGTCCCTTCAGCTTAATAAAATGAGTTCTAGGTTCAGCTCCCTGTGTGCCCCCTTGGCTACCACCACATCTACTGTAAATGCCATTTGCATTTGTTTTCTGAGATGTTCTGTGGCCTCATCCTGGGGAATCACTCCAGTGCCTTTGTCCCGGTATGTGCTAGGACAAATAGTAAGAAAAACTCTTGGGTTAACGCCCTCTCAGCTGTTCTGCATCAGGTCTGCAGGCTTGGGGTGCTGATCCAAGGCGGGTCAGGAGGAAGAGATCTGGGGCAGAGGAAGGTATGCCAGGAGAAGGCCTACGATCCCACAGGATTCGGGGGGCAGGCTGCAGGTCCCAGGTCTCTCCTGCCACAGTGCAGGCATATTCCTTGCTCCCAGGCGTGGCCCTAGAATTTATGAGACATCACCTCAGAAAATGACATTTCTTCAGGAGAGTTACACAAACTATATACACAGGCATCACCACGGCCAAGACAGTACCAGTGCTCTTGGCATTTTTAAAGGTGGGCTTGCCAAAAGGGGAACTATGACTGCAGGACCATGGACCACATGGGCAGCTTATCCCCCAGCCAGGGAAGCGCAGTTGGCGTGTATACAGAACTCCTCAGCAACCAGCTCACTGCCTCCACCCGCCATTTGTCTTCAGGGTAATTGTGGAACCTCAGAAATTACCCCGTTTTAAGAAGGAGAAGAAAGGGTCTAGTTTACCCTGGGGCCCCTCTTGGATGGCGTCCGGTTCCCTGTGGAATTCAGAGGAGAAAGACCTGGAAAGCAGCGCTGACTGTGCCTACTTTGGGCCACAACAGACGTACCCTTTACTCTCGCAGCTACTACAATGTGCACTCTTTACGGCAACAGAGCTGCCACTCTGCCCTCTGACTGCTAAATGAGGTCAGCAGCTGGGGAAGCGGGCCCCAACAGAGAAGGGCAGTGCCCTTTACAGTCTTCAGTGGACTTGCAGTGACTGCAGTAAAGAAGGTCAGAGGCTGAGAGACAGCCATGAGTGTGCATCGTCGGCTTAGAGAGAGCAGCCAGGCCTACAGCTCACAGGCTTGGGGGAAGGGGCTCTCCGTGGCAGAGCCTCCCATGTAGCTCAGGGATTCGGCACGTAATTAAAGCTGAGTCTAAATGGTTCCTTCAAGGCTCAACAAAGTAAGTTTTGAAAAGCTTTTTGGTTCCATGAAGCTAATTTACAGGTTATCTGGAGGCCCCGGCCAAGACTTTGTCCTACAGTGGACAGAAAGAGGTTGTGCTGAGTGCTGAGTGACTCAGCAGTGGTCTCTGCTCGCTGATTCCCACCAGGACATGCTAGAGAGAGTGAAGACCATTATCATCCCCTTTGTCACCACATAAACATGTCACTTATCCGGAAGGCAAACAATTTATTTGTACGTGGGAATGTAATTTAAAAATTTTCTAAAAACCAGACTGAATCTTGGGAAGCAATTTTCGAGTAAACAAAAACATGCCATGGTAATAAGCACTGTGTCCCCCATCCAGCATAATGCATATGGACACATTTTCTCAATCCAGGAGAGGGAGGCTGAAATGGAACCGACCTACTTGGAACTGTGATCAGAAACTAAAACTGAAAACAAGCCCAGAGTATTTACAGAGGCGACCCCGGCAGGAGTGTGTCGGTGGGCGCGTTTCTGGGTGGTAGACTATGAGAGCGTGAAGTCCACCTGAGGTGTAACGAGGGGCCTCTGAGAAGGGACAAGAGTGTTGTGTGGCCATGCTGGGCCTCTCGAATTTTCTTCTTTCTGTAAGCTTGGCCTTTGTAAAGTGTCCCACGCACTGTTCTCTATCCTCCTTACAAGCAGGCTGAGCCGGAGGAGCAGATGGAGAGTGAGTCCAGGCAAGGGTCTGTGCCCAAGAGGGACTTGGATGCACACCAGACCTCTGACCCTGGGACCTTTCTGCTGCCCCAGGGTTGCTGACTCGAAGAGGCTCCAGGGCTTCCAGAAAGGACCATGACACCCGGAAGACAAGCAGCTCCAGCAGTCCCTGATGGCAGCATTCTACCTCCAGTGATTTGATCCTAGAGTTTCAGGTTTTGCCCCTGGTTAAAACGTCCTTTGCCTAGGAGACAGCTGCAGTGGTTCTGGTGTGTACAACATGTATGGAAATCTGGTGGGCACCTTGATGGGAGGATGAGTGTGGGGAAGGATGAGAAAGGCAAAGAGGAAAACCAGGGAACCTTAGGAGTGCAGGATCTAAAGAAAGCAGAGAAGGAATCGAGGAGAAAAGGCAGCTTGACCGGGGCCTAGTTGTGTGGCTAGGACTGGGGAACGGCCACTCCAGGGCCACATCCTCGGCTCCCCAGTGAAGGGAGCCAAACAGTCTTCAGCTGCAGAACCTAACAGATCGTAGAAGATCAAAGAACACCTCTCCAGGAACAGCAAAGGAAAAAAAAAAAACCTGGAGAATATTTTCCATCTTGAACTTGTGAGTTAGATAATTGCCATTAATAGTCACTAATTGGTTGTGGCTGATGACTCACTTAATAATATTCTGAGAACTTCTCCTGACATTACCGGGAAAGACAGGTTAACAAAGGCACCTCACACAGGAAGCGCCTTTCTACTCGCTACACACAGGGCCATTGCAGCCTTGTGCTGGGCTCGACTGCAAATGTCTTGGAGCCAGCATTGTGTGTAACAGGCTAAGCTACTATCTGCAATGCTTGCATCCCATATGGATGCTTTAAGTCCCAGCTGTTCCACTTCCAGTCCAGCTCCCTGCTAATGTACCTGGAAAAGTGGCAGAGGATGGGCCAAGAGCTTGGGCCCCTACACCCATGTAGGAGACCAAGAGGAAGCTCCTGGTTCCCGCTTTTGGGCTGCTTCTCCCTGATCACTGAAGCCATAGGGGAGTGAACCAACAAATGAAAGATCTTTCTCTCTCTGTTTCTCCCTCCTTCTCTCTCACTCTCTTTTTTACTCTTTTGGGAAAGTCAGAAGGAAAGACAGAGAGAAAGATTTTCCATCCACTGGTTCACTCTCCAAGTGGCTGCAATGGCTAGAACTGAGCTGAGCTAAAAACAGAAGCCAGGAGCTTCTTCTGGGTCTCCCATGTGGGTGCAGGGTTTCAAGGCTTTGGGACATCCTCCCTTCTTTCCCAGGTCACAGGTAGGGAGCTGGATGGGAAGTGGAGCAACCAAGACACAAACCGATGGGATCCCAGTGCATGCAAGCTGAGGATTTAGACACCAAGCTACCACACTGGGCTCTTAAATTCTTTCAAAAATAAATCAATTTTTGAGGGGAAAAAAAAAAAACCTGCAAATGACTGCTGTAGGGTCCTTTTTGAGAGCTGCTCAGAGCCTGGGCCAGGTAGCTCTTCTATATGAATCTTTAAATCCACACCTGCTGGAGTTTAACCTTAAAGGGAAACCCCAAACATGAAAGAAACCTCAACCCTGGGGAAGCACTCAGTAGCTACCAGAACAGAGGCTCACAGAGCAAAGGCCCCCAGGAACCTAGGCTGCGGGGAGCCACATGGTTCCGCACAGCTGGCAGGAGCAGCACATCTGACAGAGGTCTGAGAGTTCACAGGAGGCAGCCCTGAAGGCCTGTCCTTAACACTTCAACAAGGGGACTGTGTGGGACAGACACACATCACTCAGTTCTGTCACTCAAGAAGGTTTGAGCTGTCACACCCTGTCCCTTTGATGTAAACTTGGAAGGTAAGCTTCAGACCCCTTTCAACCAGTGACCGTCAGGGGCTCCTTTGTTTATCCATTTGCCCACATCCTCTCTGAGACCACCGCTATTTTCCCATCTGCACTACCTCTTGGGGCAAACAACTTGGACACTATAGGTCAGAGCCCTGGGGGCCCAGGTGGTAGCCCAGGACCAGGAGGGGTGGGTTACCTTGGCATACTCAAACATGCGCAGGTCGGTGTACATGTCAAGGGCGAGGTTCTCATGCCCACTCCTCTTGTACAGTTTGGCGGCCTCGTGGAACTTCCCTTGGTAGGAAAACACATCTGCCAGAAACAGGTCATTGTTGGTCTCTCCCCGCTTCTTCCTCTCCTGGAAAAATCAGAAGCACAGGAAACGGCCTCTGCAGCCACAGGCAGGAAGCGGCCTCTACAAAGGTTAGAAGTTGCTATTCCCAGTTAAGCCCCTGGGTGTTCCTACTGGAACCTATGCTTGGCTCTCAAGTTGTTGTGTCTCACCTACATTTCCGGTGGGAATGCCTGACAATAAAAGCAGATTTTTTTTTTCCATACAACTGAAGATCAAAAAAAGATGCAAGCTTTTTGTTTGATGGAAATTCCTCAGGCTTAGTTTCCTGTATACTCTCCAGGACAACAACTGGACAGTTTGAACCCACTGGCAGTCCCTAAGCTCCCAAGCTCTCCCAAATCCCAGCCCTGTCTCTCCTTCTATCTGCAAATCTAGAGGGGGGAAAAAAAAAAGCCTTACTATGTTCCTGCTGCTATACAGAAGGAGAGGAATACCTCACACTGAACACATGCTGGGTACAAGGTATGCAACTTTGTGCACATGTGGATTCTTTGTCTTTCACAGAGTATCTTCAACCACCACAGCAAGCTGGGATTCAAGAAGTGGAACAGGTCAAAGTTGGATGAAGCCAGCATTTGGTCTTGGTTCACTCAGTTCTGTCAGACTCCTGATGCCCTTGTACCCTATCGTACCCCCTTTTGTACTACCTATCCCAACAGCCCCTTCAGGGGCCCACAAGGGTGCTCAGGACTGCCCTGGTGTGCACATGTGCACACACTTTACGGTGATGGGCTCACGGGAGGGACCACACAGTCCTGCTTCTTGGGCTAGGGAACATTCACTACTCTATGGTTAAACTATTTCTAAACACTCAATCACACCCAATCCCTCATCTCCAGCAGTTGTCTTTTGCTTGTTTTCTTACAAGTGAATCACAGTAGAGGAAGATGAGACATTGAATCAAACTCCTAGACAAGCTGGTGAAAGTTTTAACAGCTGGAGGCAATGCGACTTCCCAATGACAGAAATTAAAAAACAAAAAAAAGGGCCCGGCACGATGGCGCAGTGGTTAAGGTCCTCACCTTGCATGCCCGGGATCCCATATGGGCCCTGGTTCTAATCCCGGCGGCCCCTCTTCCCATCCAGCTCCCTGCCTGTGGCCCGGGAAAGCAGTCGAGGACGGCCCAAGGCTTTGGGACCCTGCACCTGCGTGGGAGACCCAGAAGAGGCTCCTGGCTTCGGATCGGCATAGCATCAGCCGTTGCGCTCACTTGGGGAGTGAATCATCGGACGGAAGATCTTCCTCTCTGTCTCTTCTCTATGTATATCCGCCTTTCCAATAAAAATAAAATAAATCTTAAAAAGAACCCTACACATAATTCTGGCAAATCCGTCCAATAAAATAACTCCTAATAATTGGAAATGAATCAAAATCTTGCACTGAGATTAAAAGAAAAACAGGAGCCAGTGTTGTGATGTGGCAGATAAAGCTAAGACACGTGATGCTGGCATCCCATACAGATGCTAGTTCTGATTCAGCCCCCTGCTAATGTGCTGGGAAGACAGAAAAGGGTGACCCAAGGGCTTGGCTTCTGTACCCACATGACCTGGAAGAAGTTTCTGCTTCCTAGCTTTGGACTGGTCTAGCTCCAACTGTTGCAGCCATTGGGGGTGTAAACCAATGGATGGAAGATCTCTCTTTTTTCCTAACTGCCATTCAAGTGAATAAATATATATTTTTAAATATTTATTTATTTTTATTGGAAAGTGAGATTTACAGAGAGGAGATACAGAGAGAAAGATCTTCCATCCACTGGTTCACTCCCCAAGTGGCCACAATGGCTGGAGCAGAGCTGATCCAAAGCCAGGAGCCAGGAACTTCTTCCAGGTCTCCCACATGGGTACAGGGTTCTGAGGCTTTGGGCAGTCCTCTACTGCTTTCCCAGGCCACAAGTATGGAGCTGGATGGGAAGTGAAGCAGCCAGGACACAAACCGGCACCATATGGGATCCTTGTGGATCCAACGTGAGAATTCAGCCATTAGGCTATTATGCAGGACCTGAATAAATAAAGTTTTTAAAATAGGTTTTATCAGGAACGGAATTTAGGCCCTATCTTTTTAGGGGTCCCCAAAAATCACCATATCAATTAAAATGATCTGTGTATACTCAGTAGCTACATACCAGAATGGGTAGAGTCCTTGATTCTTGCTGGCAGTACAGCAACATGCACCTGGGCAATGGGTTCCAACTAAGAAACCTTGCTTTCTGGGACGAGGCTGAACAGCAAGCAATGATAGTTTTGGAGCAAACTGGATCCTATCTGTCAGGAGAGAATCCTCCAAGTTCACCTAAAAGTCCCAACTCACAGCCACATAGAAGAGGCAGGCACTGTAAATTCAGCTGGTCCTGACACATGATAAAGCCAGCTGGTTTTGCACAGAGGAAAAAATGATGTTCATGGCTTCAGGTGAGCACTCCCTTGACCCTGGCCAGAGGGTTCACAGGCAGGAATGGACTTCACAGGCCTTTAACAGGCAGGTAGACAAACAGAAGACAGAGCCACTCCTTCACATGCACAGGGGGCTGCAGTGTGTGGAGAAAGGGCGCACAGCCCAGACTAAAGCAGCATGCACTTACTCGGGTGCAGACAGGAGTCGGCTGTGTACCCTTGGGAATGTGACACAGCCTTTCTGAGCCTGCTTCCTCTATGGAAGAGGGCTAGCAGCAGTGCCTGCACTGTGGAGATGCTGGGAAGGCAAGAACTGTGCACACCCCATGCATGGGGTGCCCAGCAGCTCCACAGTCAGGCTTCACTGGGGACTCCTACAGGCCTCTATGCTCAGCTCTCTATCCACTGGGCTCAGCACAAGGCGCAGCCCAGATGGGTGTTTCTTATTCAAGCTGGATTAGAGGGACAAGACATTTGCCTATTTCCTCACGGCTTCCATTCGGAAAGTCAATGTATCTCACATTCCTTTAGGCTCACAATAAATCTGTTCAGGAGAAAAAAAAAAAAAAAACATGCACGCCTTTTTACAGACAGCTAGACAGCACTGTGATGCACAGAACTTAAGAACAGCAGGGCCCGGCACCCAGATTGTTGAGCCCACCCCAGGCCTGTCTGCGCTGGGCTGACAAGCTCTGTGCTCCTGCCAGAACGACAGGGCGGGAGGTGTTCCAGGGCAGGGCTCAGCTCAGCCCCAGGCCCATTTCTAGGGGTGAAGCAAACCAGTGTACTGGGGAAGCCCTCTACGCGGGCAGATGGCTGCAGCCTGGGAGCACAGGAGCTACTTACTGATAAACTATTTAAACCCCTGCTGCGATCCTGCCAGGTAGGTCTGATCCCATTTCACAGGCAAGAAACCAAAACTCCGAGAAATTCAAACCCATCTGCCTCGGTGGACTACTAAGCAGCAGCCCACACTTCCCACTCCAGGGCTCCGTCTGCCCTCCAGGGCCGCTCTGCCCCCTGCCTGGGCAAGGCTGCCACCCAGGATTTGTTCATGGGTCCTCAGGGCTCTTGCCTGCTAGGGGAGCTGACACAGAGACCGTGCTTGCTTGAGAAGGAAGAATGCTTCTTCTGTTACCTCAATGCTGTTGATGAGCTCTAAGTACCGCAGGTCTTGGACTCTGGTGAAGGCCTGTCAGGGAAGAAACAAAGAACAAAACCAGCTGCCTTCTCAGTTTCAAAAGTGGGCAAAGGCTAGGGGTAGGAAGCCACGCTCCCGACAGAGAGCCCACACGGTCAACAGGCAGACCCTAACTGATCCCTGTGTGCTCAGGAGGGCCACGGCCCCCACGAGGCATGGCTTCACCCCTAGGATTGGTCCACACAAACAACAGCGAAGAAGCCCTGGCTGCATCAGTCACTCGGGGATTCGGTAAAACAAAATCCTGATAGCACAGCCTGAGATGCGGCACCTCCTCGGGACATTGTCCCTCCGCCGAGGAACCGTGACACTGCAGTGGCAGCATCAGGGAGCAGTGGCACGAGATGCCAACTCGCAGGGGATGCACACACTTCCTGTGCATGGACAGGAGGCAGGAGATGCCTCCCGGCAGCGCCATCAACACGGCGAACCCAGAACAGTGGTGCCAGCACAGGGGAGAGGAGGAGGAGAAAGCTGAGAAGGAATCAAGTTGCTTTCTGAAAGGGGGAAGGTAGGGAATGAATCACTCCAAGTCGCTGGAAGGCAATTTTTTCGTAAATCCTTAAAGCGCAACCCCTGCCTTGGACCTGCAGTCAAGCCAGGCACTTAAACCCTACTAGAAGTTTCTGAGGAACAGGAAGACACTTCTTTCAGATTCTGCAAGAGGCTTGGAGGAACACAACCCACCATATCCAACGGATCTGCCTGTGGTTTTTGCGGTCAACATTTCTACCCAGCTGTGCTTCTTTAACGGTCCCATTTGAAATAGGCTGACACAGGCTTAGGAGGGCGGCAACTGCAGGAGTCCTTGGAACTTACAAGTAGAACACCCTTGGCCGCTTGAGGCCTCTACTTGGCTGCACGATATCCTCCCTCCTAAAACGATGTGGGAGAATGAGCAAGTCATCTGGTCGGATGTGGCTGCCTCACACACGACCACAGTATGAGTTCATCTTTCATCCCGTGGGGCCAAGGACCCTGTCAGGTACCCTGACCCAGAGGGGAACAGGACTTGACCCTGCCCCTTCCCCTAGTTTACAAACCTGTGTTCTATAAGGGGAGCCCAGCAGGTGCAGAGATCACTAAGTCTTTTTTAATCAGAAACTACACAGTGACAACTAGATGTTCTTGTGAACACAGATGCAATGTCCAAGCGTGGGAAGGCCAGGGAGCAAGATGACGGAAGGCCTCCCAGAGTAGGCACCCAGCAAGTGGTTATTCTTGAAGCAGTATTCATAGGAAGGGTAAGGAAGCAGGGGTCACCCAGGCAAAGAATGTGGAGCTAGGAGTGTCCATGCTCTACACTAGAGATAACCTTCTCCATCTGACTTGTCTTAGAGTCCCCAGGCGAGGGGAAATCCACAATGCCTCACACAGAGGTGGAGAGGAGTGGAAGAGTTGCCTGGTCTCATCTCAGTCCAGGCCCAGCTACAAGGCCTTTGAGCTGGAGGGTATGAAGACCCCCTCCCCACTCCACGCCTTGGAGCCTTAACCACACTCCTGTGGATGGGGCAAATTTGGGACGCCCTCTAAAAGGATCATTCTTTCTGGTTTTGCTGTGCTGGGATTCTAGGATGTGAGAAAGCTCTGTGTGAAATCTACTCCCCAGTTCCTTCAGCCCTGACACATTCTGCAGAGTCAGGGTGGCTGGTCACGGTGGTCAGAGTCACAAGGCCAGCTCATGAGCAATTTCAGCAATGAGACCTGTGGGAGCGGCCACAGCCTCCCAGCACAGGCCGAATCCCAGGTCAGGCAGCTCTCCTCTGCCATCTAGTGGGGACGCGGCCACCTTCCCCAAGTCTGTGCCTTGGAGCCAGAGCAAATTGCACAGGGTAAAAACAAAGGTTGCAGATGCAGGATTTAGATAACAGATCAAGTTCTCCTCACGGTCAAACTCTTGTGGCTTCTTGAAAGCATCATATTGGTCACAATAAATACACGTACAATTATTATTTATAGAAATAAATAAATAGGGGCAGGCAGTGAAGACACCCTATGGGACACCTGCAGCCCACACTGCGGGATGGATTTGAGTCTTGGCTCCGCTCCGGGTACCTGTTTCCTGCTAATGGGCATTCTGGAAGGCACTGGTGATGGCTCAAGTACTTAGGTCCCTGTCACCACATGGGAGACCTATATTGAGTTCCTGGCTCTTGGTTTCACCCTGGCCCAGGACCAGCTATTGTGAGCATTTGGAGGAAGGAGCCAGCAGACAGAAATTTCTTTCTGTCTGTCTTCTGTCTCTCTCATTCAAATAAGTAAGTAATTTTAACACTACATATGCAATATTCTAAAAAAAAAAAATCTTGTGGCTTTAATCATTTCTAATCTCAAGGGGTACTTTCAGGAAATGGGGTGGGCGTGGTGAGTAAATAAATAGGAGGCATTCCAGTTTCATTTCTGCCCTTTCTAACATTTGCTGAGTATCACAAAGGGGCGGGGTACTAAGATAAGATAGCTATTCAGTGTATGGAGGTGATAATCTAGAACAAAGATTTTTGTTTGTTTGTTTCATCCCAAGCTAAAATCAAGCAAACAAAACACATTCTAGGGATCCTTTGTTCCTCTTCATTTCTCCTGGCACCTTCAGGTGGGGCAGGAGATAAAAGCTCCCTCCAAGGAAAGGCCTCCTCCCTCCTCTGAATTCCCAGAGCCTCCTCCATTACTGCTCTGCCAACACTTAGGAAGTCTGAAGATCTAACGCCCGTCATTATTACAGACATTACTACAGAACGACAGCTTCCGCTGCTCTAACACAGCTAGCACTGGACAGCTAGTCCCGGCTCTGGAGTCTCCTGCAGCTGCTCAGGTAAGCCAATGTGGCAGTCAGTGTTGCCCCGCCCCCACTGCAGAGATGATGGGGACAGGGGCTGGGGGTCCCGGTGATTACAGGGCTCCCCCCACAGTGTTGCTGCTGCCCCTCATCCCCTCTGCAGGGCCAGTCTGCTCCCTTCTTACCCCTGTAACTCCTGACTTCACATGACACATGTTTTGTGGCAGCCAAAGGCCTGTTTCCTTACTTGACTGGGAAAACAACAGACAAAGGGGGCAATAGGAGAGAGGGTGCCGGAGCCGTTTTCTCTCCCACTTCATGCTCTAGACAGAAACCCAACTCAGAAATGTAACTGGGCTTTTTCTGATGTGCAGAAATGGGTCAAATGCTTTTAAGCCATCTCTCTAGCTTTACCAGACCAAGGCAGGATGATAGAGCAGATCATGTCACACATGGGGCATGCCACGATGTGGGAAGCGACCACACTGCTGTCAGAATCGGGGCTTGGCCATTCCATTCTCAGCAGGGGGCTAAGGAACACAGCAGGCACAATAAAAGGCTGTTTATACCTGAAACCTATTGAGTACCAATTATGGACCAAGCTTTTAGCTAGGTGGATCACACAAATAATAGTTATTGAGAGTGCCAGCTGCATCCATCAGGTGCTTTTCCTGGGTCAGACTTCGCAGTTGCTGTCCCATCAGACCCTTCTAACTCTGTGAGGGCGCAGCAAGCATCACGCTACCTCTATAGCGAAGTCACCTGAGGAAGGCTGTGACCTGACCCAGGTCACAGTGATGTAGTGCTGAGCTGAGGTCTAGCCCCAGACCAGTCTAACCCCCAGGGCATACCACAGCCTGCCGCTGGCCCTCCACACCACCTGGGCCCTCTCCTGCCTGTTCATTCCGCCACATGCTAACTAGAGGCTTACCTTCTTTGCAGTTTCAAATTCTAATCCTTCGAGAGCTTCCATGGCCAGCTCACGCCAGTCAGTGTCAGTGACCCCCAAACAGGCAATCTGGTAGGCTTCTTTGAACATTTTCCTATCCAGGTACTGGTACATGGGAGCAGACTGCAAGATTTTGTCAAAAAGAAAAAAGAAAATTGCTTTCAAGGAAATGGAAAAAAAAAATCAGGTTCATATAAAGCCTGTCTCCATGAAGATCTAGTTACAAATACCTGCAGGGAGACACCAATGAGCAGAAGCAGCACCCTTGGCAGCCCGCCCACAGCACCCTTCGCAGCTCACCCAGCCCACCTTGCCACCTTTCCAGTCACCCCCTTCCCCACCCCCCTGCACCAACAGTGCTCTGAGCACAGTTTTCCTTCAACTCTCCCCTCCTGCCAAGCCCCAGGACAGCCTCACCACAAGATGTCACCGGACCTGCAGAGTCCCCTCCCCTCCCTGCCTTCTGGAAACTTCCTGTTTGGCTCCCAAGACTTGTTCAAATGTCACCTCCTCTGCAAATCGTCCCAGACTCCTGAGGTGCCCACCTCAAGGAAGCAGCCTGAACTGATTCTGCCCTTGCCCAGATCTCGGGCTGTGCTGTAACACGACCGTCTCCCCAACAAGGCCAACAACCCAGGGCCAGCAGCACGGTTGTGCTTCACTGCACGCCTCCCTCGGCAGGCCCCCAGTTTATGTCTGCAGCGAGAATGAGCGACATCACTGGGAGGAAGGGGTTAATGTGACTGCCTCCTTGAGGTGGCCTGCTTCAGGTCTCACCAAAGGTGCCACAGACAAACCCTCCCCCATCTCCAGGAGTTGGGGACAACTCCCTGACAGGAGAGTTACCTTGCTCTGACTACCTATGAACACTCCTAGAGCCCTTTCTCTTTCAGGTTTGCAAAGTGCTTTTGGATTTGCCCAGCAACAGGCATTATTTTCCCTGTGGGGAGCCCAAGAAGCTGAGACTCAGAGAGGACCATTGACTGGCTTCAGAACACACATGGCAACAGAAAACCCCGATGTTGGAGCTAGAGGAACTTGAGCCCACATTCTGTGCTCTGCTCCGCCGTGTGCGAGTGTGTCTACACGGAGGGGTGCATGGCACCTTTAACAGTCGCTGGGCCTCTCCTTGCTCTAGGGCCAGTCGACGTGCTTCAGGGACGTGCATCTTCCCCGTGGGATTGGCAGACAGTAGAGATCAATCAGCCAGTGCTTCTGCGCTAATGGTTCCCAAATGTGGAACTGAACGTGCTGTTTTCTCCATTTACAGCTTTTATCTTGGAAATTTCCAGATCCATTTTCAGCTTTAGAGTTGAAGACAATGTTTTTCTCCTTCAGCTGATCCATGCTGTGGTAGACACAGCTGCTCCTGTGTGCTTATCATTTCTCCTGTGCAATGCCATCCCCTTTCTTCCCCAGGCAGCAGGGCAAGAACTGGAGAGCAGCTGGGCTAGAACTCAAGCCGTGTTTGAGCAAGGTTTCTTTCGAGTAAATCTCTTAACTGCCCTGCAGATGCCCTGCCCATCTCAGGCTACCATGGGCAAAGTGAGAGGTGTTCTGAAGATAATAACTACGGGGCCAGTGCTGTGTAGCGGGTAAAGCTGTTGTCAGCTGTCCATAAGGGTACCAGTTCATGTCCTGGTCGCTCCACCTCAGATCCAGCTCCCAGCTAAAGCACCTGAGAAAGCAGTAAAAGACACCCCAGGTACTTGAGTCCCTGCATGTGGGAGACCTGGATGGAATTCCAGGTTCCTGGCCTTGGCCTGGCCCTACCCCAGCCACTGCACCCATTTGGGGAATAAACTAGCAGACAGGAAGCCCTCTCTTTCCCTCTCTCTCTCTGTCTTCCTCTTCCTTCCCTCCCTGCTTTTCTCTCTGTAACTCTACATTTCAGATAAATATAAAAGGAAGAAAATAACTTACTGGGCAGAAAGCAAGTGTGCCCATGCCCTTCCGTGTAGTCCTCACAGCCAGCTCCTCCTCCCCTCCTGTCCAGTCATGCTCCCCCTTTCCGCTGCTGCAAACACCTTCTCAGGGCTTGGGTCAAGTTTCCCAAACGCCCCCACCCAAACCAACGTTCCTTCCTGAACTCCTTTAATGAGCACCCTCTGTTCCAAAGGACGAGTAATTGTGTTTTGTGGGTTTGGGCTATACTATGACTCTGTAATAATAACAAATAATGATAGGAATTGGGCCACACAGACCTGAAGATGACTATAATTAACCCCATTTCACAGAAAATAAGACCCCAAAGAGTGAGATGAGCTGCTCTAGTTGCAGCTGGTCAAGGTAGTGGGTCGAAGCTTGGAGCTGCTGCTCTCCCCCTAAAGCGCAGGGCCTCCTGCCATGCACAAAGCCCCAGGGGGCGCATTAGCTGGGAGCAGACGATGGCTAACATCTGGACTTGCTTGGGAGGCACAGTCTGAGTGGGCGTTTAAAAAATATACAAACTGAATACACACATATACACATACAAACTGAAAAACCATCATGGGAGCCATACTTTACCTTGGTGTTGCATTCCAAACACAACGTCACCCCTGTACGAGAAGCCTGACCAGGCCTCACTGCCCTACTTGGCAGCCCTGACCAATAAGTTCTTGCACAAAATGATGTAAATATCAAAAGGAAACCAAAACTCCCAAGAGCAGGTTTTATGCTCTCTCCCCTCTATCTAGGCCAAAATCACTGGCCAGCCTGAGGCAGAGGCGACAAACAGCCTTTGTGTTGGGAGTTGGGAGGGCCTTTCCCAACCCTTGGCAGTCCTATCTGCTGCCTCAGCAGCAAGCGGGAGGCAGGCTACTGCCTTGGGGGGTCCTGTCACAGGAAGCCCTGCACCACCCCCTTGGCTCCTCCCAGCTGGCCAAAGTCAGGAGGAGCAAACTGCATTTATTTTGAGGTCAGATGGCAATCTTGGGAGAAAACGTTCAACAAAGCACAGGCTGTCTGGCATGACTGAGGGCGAGTGGGACCTTGCAGATGCGGAGCACGGATCTGGAAAGGGGACGGCAGGAGGTGGCCAGGAGCGGCCGTGCTGACTCCTCTCCTGCCACCACTTCTTCCCACCGCAAGCCCTTGCTTTCTCCTGCTTTCCTTTCTGCTGTTTCCACATGCCCAGACAGATCACTGCCACTTCCAAGGAAGTGCTTCCGGGAAGCTGCTCTGGGTGAGCGCCAACGAGGGCACTTGCCAATAATTTCTGCAGCCATGAACAGAAGGAACTCAGTGCTCAGACACAAGTGGACCAGCCTAAGGGTGAGCAGTGTGGTGGATCCAAAGACAGCAGTGCCCAGGAGAAGGGAAATCTGAAATCTGTCAAAAAACCTTTCCAATGTACCCCACTCTGATCGGCCGTTCTGCCTGCAGGAATCTTTACAAAAGGAGTTCAGGTGAGATGGCTGCAGGGCCTGGGGATTCACAGGAACAGAGGACTATGAAGCTCCTCCAAGTTCAACAACACATGCTGGGGAAGTAAGCTGCACAACACCTGTGTGACAGAATGCAGTGCTGCCAGGACCATGATGCTGAAGGCACAGTGTGGTTACCAAGGGCACCAGGGCACCGGGGGAACTTGTGATGCCAGAGTGCTGCAGGGTCTGGCTGCAGGTGGAGCCCCCAGACCAACTGAAGCGATGTCACTTTGTCTAAGTTTCGCACACTATTAACCACCCTAAGATTCCCTTTTGAGGATTAGGCTCAGGCTGACGTTTCTCCTTGGGGCCTATCTCTATTTTACGATCACTGGAAAGAAAGGGCTTGTCAGTCTGATGTCTGTCCTCCCCCACTCCATGGCTGCCTATGACAGCACCTCCCCACCCAACACACACACGTACTCTGGCCTCCTCCTGGTTCAGCACACCTGCACAGGGTCCCATCCTCCCTTTATGGCGCCCAGGCCTCAGTTCCCACATACATTCTCCCTGTCCCTGTGTCTCTCAAACACATGCTGCTGTACATACATGCCCGTGTACACAACCTGCCTCACTCTAACTCTGCGGGCTCACTGATGCATGGCTCTTGGTGAACCACACCATTTGCTGACAACACTGCACATCTCTCTCCATCCTTATCACAGGGGAGATCACAAAGAAATGGAGGATCTGTGAGGTTGAGATGTTTGCCCAAAGACAGAGAGCAGTTGCACCAGGTAGAGAGACAACACATCAGGTTTCAAGCACAGGGCACATCTCCACTCTGCTCTCTCCTCTCTCTCCCTGACAGCCTCTCCAAAGCTCCTGGCTTTCCTGTTTCATCCACCCTGTCCCAAGGACAGCACCCAGGGCCTGGGTTACCTGTGGCACTTCTACTGCAGACATGGAGAAGACGTGGAGGCAGAAGATCTTGGAGCCATTGTAGCCCACCACGAAGCCCTGCAGCTTTTGCTGGTGCACGGGGAAGGTGCTGGCTTTGATGTTGAGGTAGCCTCCCCCCGAGAAGCACAGCATGTCCTCACACTGGGTGTTCCAGGCCACACTGTTGGCATTGGATTCCTGCAGGACAGGGACAGGGAGCAGAGTGTGAGAACAACCTGGACCTCTCATGCCATGCCCATTTCTTAGTCAACTGCCCTTTTAAAGTAACTCATACACTGAGTAGGGCTGGCTCATGAACCCCCTGGTATGCACAAAATCTGGCATTGGGAAAGGTTCTGATGGAGGAGCCTGGGCAACTCCTCTGGCAGGACACAGACCCTGCAGGTAAGCGCAAGAGGCATGAAAGGAAACAGCCCAGAACAGGCCATGGAAAGTTTCCCACTGGCATACATTTGGCATGGGTGGGGGCAGACCAGGCTGAATCAGTTCACATCATCCACTGGTGAATCCAAGCACCAGAACAGAGTGTGGGTTGAGCCAGGTTCGGTCACAAAAAAAAAAAAAACAGTGCACATTATGGAATGCCAAGGTGAGGTGACCTGTACCAGATGTGATCGCAGAACCCAACCAGCGCACATGAGAACCAGGAAGGGAGGGGGCGGATTCGGCAGGAGAAATATGGGGGTGCTTCCCTGCTGGACAGCTACTTCCACTGGAGAGCATGTGCTGGGATGAGTGCAGACCAGACTAGGCAGGGCTACAACACCTATGGGCCTCATGTGGACTAGATCAGGGAAAAGCTAAGCTGGGCTGACTGTTCCTACTGGTGCAAACAAAAATTAGAGCAGGTGAGGGTTGGTTGGGCTTAGTCACAGCATTAGCTGGCAGAAGCTGGCACTGGGGGCTAATTCTGTCAAGTTGCACTGCAGAACCACCTGGAGAGTGCACAATCCGGGAGTGGGAGTGGCCTAAGAGGGAAATAGTGGGCTCCCCGCTCTTGGGTTACCACTCCCACTAGAGGGCAGGAAAACCAGGACAGGGGCTGGGGTGGCTAGACAGAAAGGCACCAACAACATCTGTGTGGGATGGATAGTGGAGCTGGTTAGATGGAACTAGGCTTCAATGCCCACTGACATGTACGAGAGCTGAATGGGATGTGGGACAGACTGGACTAGTCTGCTGCACATACTGGCAAACCTGGGTAGGGGGTGGGCCTGGTGGGGGTTATTATGGGTAGCTTTGACTAGGCTGCAGCTCTCATTGGTTTATGTGAGGGCCGAGTGTATGCTGGGCAGAATCAGGCTGGACTGCAATATCCATTGGTTCCAGTGGAAGACAGCACTGGAAACAGAACCAACCCAGCAATTTCAACCACCAGCTGATTGGGCGATGGACTCTACCAGGCCCTGTACTTGCTAGTACACACAAGAATCAGGTCTGGGAACACCTCAGACAAAGTTTCTTTGGGGATCTCCCCAAATGAACTGCCGGACTCGGAACCCTAACCATGAAAAGACAGAGGACAGAACAAGTCAACCACCTCAACCATATGTTGGCAGTGAAAAACTGGGCAATTGGACACTCTAAGATGGACTACATCAATCAGTGGATTCTTCAACAACCTCTTCATGCTTGGTGAGACTGGCAGCAATTTGTAACTGTTGAACTATCAAAACCACTTAAGCAAGACCCTCAGAGCATTCCCATCAGGGACCTGGGGTGAGTGGGAAACTGGGTTGGGCTTCTCCCTTAAAATCCCCTTTACCTCAGATACATGAAGGAAACAACGTGGAAATAACAGTCTTACCCAGTTTCCTGTAGCCCTTGAACCTTTTTATCCTAATTAACTATGTAAAGATTGCCAAAAATATAATTAAAAAAAAAGAAGTATAAAATAATTAAAACAAGATTAGAGATTATTTTTTAATGAAAGGCTTGATTATTAGTATCACAGTAATTAAAAGAATGCTGGAGAATTTTGAATAAACTCATATTCTTGATTAAAAAAATAATAAAGTGACTCATATAAAACTGCTGACAGTGAGATAGATATGAGTAGAGCCTCTTTATGCACCTGCATCAGGGTAGGGTTTTCAAACAAACAAAAATTGTTTTTGAGAGCTAGAGTCAGCAGGGGGAGAGAAGGGAGGGAGGAAGAACACTCCCACGCATGGGTTCATTCTCCAAACACCCACAACAAGCAGGATCAGGCCAGGGCTGAAGCTGGGATGCAGCAACGCAGCCCAGGCCTTCCACCGGAGCAGTCCAGCTTCAGCCCTTGACTCATCACCACTGCTGACTCGCAGGGTCTTAACCAGCAGAAAGCTGGGGAACGAATCAAACCCACACACTCCAACGGGACACGGAGGCATCCGAGCAGCTGAGCTACTGGGAGTTATATATATATTTTTAAATGAATATTCTCCCCCAATATTAATCAGCATGAAGTAAGTAGAAAACTAGTCAAGTGGGACTGCAATTGCATTGAAGAATACATATCTTACACATAGGTTTAAAAGTGTGTCTGGGGCCGGTACATTGGCTCAACTAGCTAATCCAGCACGTATGCCACAGGGTCAACAGGGATTTTTTTCCTGGGTAGGTAGAATTGTTGGTGCTTTCTCTTTTGTTTGCTTAGAATTTTTACTTATTTATTTATTTTTGGTCATGGATACATATTGTTTTTTATAATAAGCATAGTTGAGTTAATTTAAATTAGAAAAGGACACATTGTCTATTGTCTCTACAATACACAATTCACACATTCTATTTTTACAGGAACCCTGGGAGACAGCCCCTCTGCCCCTCCCAGCTCTCTTCTAGGCTGGGCCCTGGAGCCCGAGGGACCAACGAGACACATGCCTTTCTGTCTAGAATCCTTCACGATGAGCTCAGGTTATTTTTATAGTAAGGAAAAGAACAACATGGTTGTTTCCTTTGTAAGGTACAGGGTCATCAGTGAAGAAAAAATAGGACAAAATAATCTGGGAATGTTTTCCAGCAAGGTAGGAACTCAAGATCACACGATAGGTGACGCAGGCAGGACTGAGCTTACAACAGTCAGAGGTAATGGCTGTCTCTTGATTTATCTGGGCCAATGGTAGCCCAGTACTCCCTTCCTCTGCCTGAGCAGCGCCCACCTCCAGGCACCCCTCCTTCCCCTGCCTGAGCAGCGCCCACCTCCAGGCACCCCTCCTTCCCCGGCCTGAGCAGCGCCCACCTCCAGGCACCCCTCCTTCTCCTACCTGAGCAGCGCCCACCTCCAGGCACCCCTCCGTCATACTAGTTCTACAGCTGAGGACCATGAGGAGCCCTGACCAGGACACTAGCTCTGACATGGCTGTAGAAGCCAGTCAAGAGAATGGCTTTGAAGGAGCTCACTTTAGATAAAGTGGCTCTGACGAGTCACAAAGCCTTGAAGAGGCAAGGATGGGGGGAGGAGGCCAGTATTGTGGTGTGACAGATAAAACCACCACCTGCAGGGTCCACCGAGGTGGCCTAGAGGCTAAAGTCCTCGCCTTGAACGTGCCAGGACCCCACATGGGCACCAGTTCTAATCCTGGCAGCTCCACTTCCCACCCAGCTCCCTGCTTGTGGCCTGGGAAGGCAGTCGAGGACAGCCTAATGCTTTGGGACCCTGCACCAGTGTGGGAGATCTGGAAGAGGTTCCTGGCTCCTGGCTTCGGACCGGCACAGCACTGGCTGTTGTGGTCATTTGGGGAGTGAATCATTGGATGGAATATCTTCCTCTCTGTCTCTCCTCCTCTCTGTATATCTGACTTTGTAATAAAAATAAATAAATCTTTAAAAAACAAACAAACAAAAAAAACTACCGCTTACAATGCCAGCATCCCATATGAGCACCAGGTTGAGTCTTGGCTGCTCGGCTTCCAAGCCAGCTCCCCGGGAAAAGTAGCAGAAGATGGCACAAATGTCTGGGCGCGTCTCCCACGGAGCACCTGGATGAAGCTCCTGGCTTTGGCCTGGCCCAGCCCTGGCCATTGCAACTATTTGGGGAATGAACTGGTGGATGAAGATCTATCTCTCTCTGTAACACTACCTTTCAAATGAATAAAACACAATATTTAAAGGTATCTATTTTTATTGGAAAGGCAGACTTAGAGAAGACATAGAAAGCTTTTCAATCTATTGGTTCACTCCTCAACTGGCCACAATGGCTAGAGCTGAGCTGATTCAAAGCCAGAAGCTCCTTCCAGGTCTCCCACACAGGCGCAGAATCCCAAGGCTTAGGGCGATCCTCCACTGCTTTTCTAGGCCACAAGAAGGAAACCGGATGAGGAGTAAAACAGCCAGGACACTAATCAGGGCCCACACGGGATGTCATCATTTGCAAGCTGAAGATTGGTCAACTGAGGCATCATACTGCCCCCTGGAATAAATCTTTTAAAAAAGTCTCAATACCTACCTCAACTTTGAGCTGTTGCTTAAAAAAAAAAAGAGGAAAAATGTGGCCAAACTCAGCCAGGTTGGAGCCTCTGGGATTGTCTTCCAGGGTGACACCTCTTCCACCACAGGACTGAATGATTTGTAAACAGCTTTCCCAAAAAGAGCTCAAAAGCTCAGATCTTTATGGCATCCTGGTGGATGAAGAAGGGTGGCTTCACCCAGTCTCCCTTCTTTCAGATGATAAACCTGCTCCTTACCGTGCCTCAGATCCCTCACAGAAACAGGCAGGCCTCCAGGAGGCACCTTCAGAAGAACCATGACATCGGCCCACTCACTGTGAACCTGCAGCACACTCTTCTGGATGACTTACCTCTTCTATTGCTGGTGGTAAACAGTAAGAAAGGAATTACATTCCCATCCTAATAGTAAGGAAACCAAGACCAAGACCCGCAGCGCTGCATGCCTGAAGAAGGCCTTTCCGCTGCCTCTCAGCTCGGCACTGCGCCCAGCCCTAACACATCACTGTCCCTCGAGGGGCAGGGGACCACCACCTGCAGGGACTGGGAATTAGAGCAGGGCCTCTAGAGTACTGTGTCCTCCAGCACTTGGGAGGACTTCACCTGGAAAAGCAGCTCCTTGGTGTGGATGTCATAGACCAGGCACGTGTCGTTTTCGTCCACCACAGCCAGCTTGTTTCGGGAGGCACTCATGTCCAGGCAGCGTACGGCCGTGGCCTGCTTCAGCAAGACGATGGCAAAGAGATTGTCCACAAAGATCTTCAAGATCTGGCGAAATTTCAGAGGGAAAAAAAAGTGTGAGTCACCATGACAACGAGACCCTGGAACACAGCCAGGCTGCTGGGATCCCATGTGTTCTACAAGAACAACTCCTACCAACTCCACCAGAAGCCCTGCACGGGGAAGAGGACTCATTAAAACAGACAGGGGGTGGGTGGCTTATCCTCAGGGGACCAGAAGTGTGGTTCATCGGAGGTCCTTGAAGCGATGACAGGCCCGAGACATGCCAAACTGCCTCCAATGCCAGCTGAGTTCGGGCATTTGGGAATGATATCACCCACACTGCAGCAGGTTAGCAGAGACCATCTCGCAAAGATCTGAGTCACACACTAACACAGGAATATGCTGCTGTAAACACCCCGACAAGATAGCTGGCATCAAGCAGTGATGCTGCTGCTACTGCCAGCTATCGTTTATTACATCCCTGTTTTTGACATCTTTGTGGAAATTGCAGTATTACCCTCATTTGTAAAGCCTGCGCTCAGAGAGGTCAAGTGTCCTCCTCCTTAGGGCTGCACAGGTAGAGCAGCTAAGTAAGAACGTGCTTGGGGCAAGCACTGTGCTGCAGCTTCTCATCCAGCCCCCTGTGAACATGCCCTGGGCCGTAGCAAGCAATGGCTCAAGTGCGTGAGTCTTTGCTACCAAGTGAGGAATGGAGTTCTGAACTCCTGGCTTTGGCCTGACCCAGCCCTGGCTGTCACAGGCCTCCGGAGAATGAACCAATGCAGAAGGTCTCCCCAGCCCCCATCCTGAACCCAGTCATCACTCTGCCTTTCAAACAAATAAGCCGACCTGACTCCAAAAAGACCAAGCTCTTGGCCTCACGTGAAAAATGACAGCTGACTACAAGAAAGAAGCAGCCTCTTCCTCTATTTTTGTGTTGCTGCTCGGCTCCTGCTGATTTCATGCTCCGCAGCTTCCATCCCCAGCAAAGACCTGACAGGCCTCAGCCACAAGCCATCTGCTACACAGCTTGGCTCTCAGGCTCACGCAGTTATATTTTCCCTTTCAAATTTCCATGTAGCCCACTTAGAACTTCTCTTATTTTTGAGCAAGGAAAACACACACATACACACACACACACAGATCTGTTAAACTTTGGGTAACCCAGATTTCCCACATCTGTTTGCCCAAAGAATCCATTTTTCCTAGAGTTATCTGGTAATATCCTGAGGGACCAGCACTCTAGGACACTGTGATAATCCACTCACTGCCCTAACAGGGATCTGACCCGAGCAGGGATCTTCGTCTCCCTCCCCAGCAATCCACTGAAGCTGTGTCCCCCACAAATCCGTCACCTCCTGGGCGAACCTGAAGTGTACTGATCCACTCTACATGCAACCCAGAGGCCACAGCAGGATCTTGGCCAGAATGCCATTATGTTGTAAGCCCGAAGGCCACTGTCTCTAGCTGGAAGCTGTCCTCCTGGTTGCCCTCCAGTGCACCTATCTTGCACTAGGAACCCATCACCTCAAGGGACCCCCAAACCAGGTGATGTGTGTGTCAGACCATGGGCTGACAGGATGGATGAAGAAGCACTCACCTGTCCATTCTTCAGGCCCACTAACAGACCTTCCCTTCCAGGGGGGCCACCAATCACCTTGATGTACCGAATGAGAGACTCCATCTGCCATTCCCGTTCCTTCACTCCGCTGAATGACAGGCACTGCAGCCGTTTCTCCTAGAGAGGAAGCCTTGCTCTGCACGGGTGTCCACAAGAAAAGGCAGCCAGGCCCGCCTAAGGAGGCCCTCCTGCCCCTGAAGGGTGAAAACTACCTGACACTCAGTGTCCTGTCCCCTCCGCATGGCTGGCACTAGGAATCCTTCCCACGCCTTCCCTGGGAAGCCCAGTGCAGCTTCACATCTTCAGTGTAGCTCTCCAGGCTGCCAAGGCCGGAAGTCACACCCAAAGCGCACCAGGTTGTCACATGGCCCTGTAACTGCCATACTCCCAATCTGCTGGAAACTCTGAACTCTTAGAGAAATGTTAACAGTATTTTATACTACGTTAATTCCAAAGGATATTTTCTGTTTCTGCCACTTCCATTAGATTTAGCTAGAACCAAATCTGCCTGTACTTTCAAGATTGAAAGGCCAGGCTAGCCTTCCCAAACTTTTGTTGGCATCAAGCTACACACTTTTTAGGGCTCTATGTTTAAAATTCTTTTCATGAAAAAAAAAAAAACCTCTCAGGAAGTAAAAGTGGTTTTTTTTTTTCAGGAAGTAAAATTTTCTTAACCATTATTGAGTTAGTATGAATGTTCACATGTCCTTACTTCTTAAAAACAAACAGGGCCCACTGAGGTGGCCTAGCAGCTAAAGTCCTCGCCTTGAATGCACCAGGAGCCCACATGGATGCTGGTTCTAATCCCGGCAGCTCCTCTTCCCACCCAGCTCCCTGCTTGTGGCCTGGGAAAGCAGTCGAGGACGGCCCAAAGCCTTGGGACCCTGCACCTGCGTGGGAGGCCTGGAGGAAGTTCCTGGCTCCTGGCTTTGGATCGGTGCAACACCAGCCGTTGTGGTCACCTGGGGAGTGAATCATCAGATGGAAGATTTTCCCCTCTGTCTCTCCTCCTCTCTGTATATCTGACTGTGCAGTAAAAATAAAATAAATCTTTAAAAACAAACAAACAAAAAATCCTGTCTTCACTGTGTGGAACACCAATTCATGTGCAATCCTGGTATAGTAAAATGCCATAACCACCTAACAATGCTGTCCAGTTTATGGCCCTGACCCACTGGGCCGGATTCATCAAGAGGACACTATGATGAAAGCCAATGTGGCCACCAAATTTAATGGAAAGGAACTTGTTTTCCAGGAGCCATACGGTGGACACCCGATCTGTGGGATACGGATATGGATTCAGCCTGACCTCTCCAACAGGCTGCTACCCACCTGGCACAGGATGATGTGATTGGAACACACTACCAACAGGTTGCATTCAAACTTCTTGACCATCTTCTCTTTCACCCGGTAATGCATGTCTGACGAGTCACTGGAACACAGCTCATAGATGAGGATTTTCTCTGGCAGCTGGATAGCTAATCGATTTTTATAGATGGCAATTTTCTTGACAAGCTCTTTGCATTTAATACGAACTGTCAAAGAAAAAGAAATCCAGCTCTAGCAAAAGGTTGTTAAGTAAGGTGGAAAGGAAAGAAATTAAAAGCTATCATTTACTTAATGCTACTGGCAATTACAGTGAGATACTCTCATTAAAACACCCTTGTGGAGCATCTAATAATCAGTTCAGCTCAGCACTGGGATCCAGAGTGGTGCACAGCACAGCCTTTGTGGTCCATGTGTGCCAGCAGAAGCCTAAGGCTCCACAGCATGGCACTAATGGCCCCTAATGACCAGAAGCTGCCTAAGTGACTCACTTCTGGCCACTCTCCATCTGCTTTCTTGACAATAGGGTTCTGCATGAAATTTCCAGGACATACTAGGCTGCACACACAATATGGACCAGACAGTGTCCCAGAAGGTACTCTGCATTAGGTCTGAACCCTGATCCTCCAGCTGAGCCTCTGCCCACCTCTACCTCTGCTTATCTCTGGCAGAAGAATCTGCCAGCAAGCAGGTGGAGATGGAGCTGAAAGAGAAGAACCCTGCAGTGACCGACACAATGACTCAACTGGCTAATCCTCCACCTCTAGACTACCAACATCCCAGCAGCTCCACTTCCCACCCAGCTTCCTTCTTTTGGCCTGGGAAAGCAGTAGAGAATGAACCAAAGCTTTGGGACCCTGTACCCAAGTGCGAGAACTAGAAGCTGCTCCTGGCTCCAGGCATCAAATTAGCTCAGCTCTGGTTATTGCAGCTCTGGAAGACCTTTCTGTCCTTTCCCTGTCTGTAAAGTTACCTCTCCAATGAAAACAAATAAATTTTAACAGAAAAAATAAAAACAAAAACTATCCATAAGGACTCATGCATCTCTGCCACCTGGCTCTCAGTGTCTTCTTTCCTTATTCAGGGAGCCCACGTGCCACTGTGAGGAATGTGCAAAATGCTCTACGAGGTGGTGCATTCTTTTAGACAGGGTTTACTAGTGTGAGACCCTCCAAGAATTCTAGATCTCTGGCCACCGCTGAGAAAAGCAAAACCCAGTGGTCTGACCACACTTTGTTTTCAAAAGGCCAAGGGAAAGATTTTCTGCCATTTCAAGTGCCCTGTCCCCAGCTGTCTCAATCTAACACCTGGAGAACAAGAGGAGCTGCACCTGCTTCTTACCTTTCTGCTCTGTGATCAGGTGCTGCACAATGACATCAGTCATGCTGTCCCGATAGGCATAACGGTCCTTGTAGAGCCCGTGAACCGTGCTGAAGATGAGCTGATAGAAGGAAATAGTGCCGTCCTGGCAGCCCACTACCTGCAGGGGTTGAGAGGTACGCACTTTCAGCTCTTCATGGACAATCTATTCTCCCATTTTCCAGGAATGCACACGAGTGATCTGATTGGCTGAACATGGCCAACTCTCAGTGCTTCCTGCAATGGTCCAACAGAATGAAACTTCCTGTTCTTACCACATAGTTGGAGTCAGGTTTCACTTTGCATGTCCACACCCAGGAGTTTTGCTCCCCAACAGTTCCAAGTCGCACTCCATCCTTGGTGAAAAGAGATACTTGCTTGTCCGATCCCCCAAGCAAAATGTACTCCCCTTTAGTAAAGTAGCTGACACAGCAAGGGTCAAAGTTCAGCGACCGTTCCCTCATAATCTGAGGAAAGAGAACACACACCAAGGGAAAAAATTCATTCCCAAATCCATAGTAACTACAATACAATGAAGGGCTTCTCCCCATCAATGTTTATGGGGAAGAGCTGAGAAAAGGAGAAAGCTGGCCAGCCTTATTGCTTGGGTTATCCCCTCATAGACATACCCTCGTCTTTCTCACCACAAGGTCAAATCTTCAACTCCCAGAGCCAGCGGCGTCTCCCCTCGTCCCACCTGACAGACCCAGGAGTGTGTGTCACTTCCTTGGCCAGCTTGGGATTATCTGTCTCCTGTGGCCCTCCACCACACAGAGCCTGAGCTATGGCTCGGCCATTCCTTCAGCCCCTCAGCTTCTTTTCTCTGTCCCTCACCCCATCCTACCTACCTACTATTTCACAAAGTTCAGTCTATACAAAGATTGTCCTTTAAATTCTGAAACTATGCCCATTCTACTTTTCTTTATAACTAATTGTAGAAAATATTCATTTGTTTATTTTTAAAATTTATTTATTTATATTGAAAAAGCAAATTCAAAGAGAGACAGAAAGATGTCCTGTCTAATGGATGGTTCCCTCCCCAAACAGCCGCAATGGCCAGAGCTGAGCAGATCTGAAGCCAGGAACCAGCAGTTTCCTGTAGGTCTCCTGCATGGGTCAGGGTGACAAGGTTTTGGGCCATTCTCCACTGCTTTCCCAGGCCACAAGCAGGGAACTGGATGGGAAGTGGAGTATCCAGGATACGAACCCGTGCCCATTTGGGATACAGACATTACAGTCAGAGCAGGATTAGCCAACTGAACCATCATTCTGGCCCCATATTTATTTATTGAAAGAGCAACAGATAGAGAGGAAGAAACAGAAAGAGGGACCTTCCACCCACTGGTAAACTCCCTTAAGGGTTACAACAGCTACACCTGGCCCAGGCCAAAGCCAGGAGCCAGGAACTTCATTCTGGTCTCCCAAGTGCACAGTCAAGATCAAAGCACTTGACTTGGACCATCTTCTCCTACATTCCCAGGTAAATTAGGAGACAGCTAGATAAGAAGTGGAACAGCCAGGACTTGAACAAGCACTATGATACAGGATGCTGGCAACACAAGTGGAGGCTTACACCAGCCCTTCTTCATAACTTTGAGACATAATTCATACACTATACAATTCACCCATTCAGAGTGTATAAATCAATGCCTTTCAATATAGTCACAGGATTGTGAGGTCATCATCTAATTCCACAACATTTTCATCACCCCTCAACAAACGCTATGCCTGTTAACAGTCAGTCTCAATTTCTCCTTAGCAATCACTAGCCTTTCTGTGTCCACATGCACAGATTTACCTATTCTGGATATTTCATCTAAGTGGAATGACACACCAGGTGGCATTTTGGGTCTGGTTCATCTGTGTTGTAGCATTGAAGGTACTTCCAAAAAAGTCATGGGAAATAGAATTAAATAGATAAGTTTATTTGGGTGCAAAAAAAGATTGAAGTCCACATATATTTGTTACATAATACACATTTTCCATGAACTTTTGTATATTAGTACTTCATCCCTTTTCACTGACAAATATTATGTCATGACATGCTACACCATATTTTACTTATCCTATCTTTTGGGTATTATGATTGGTTATGTACAAGCTTTTGCATGAACATGTCCTCATTTCTCTCGAGTCAATACCTAGAAGGGGATGAGCGTTATGGTCCAGGAGGCTAAGGAGCCACTGTGGTACAGGCAACCCTTATGGGAGTGACAGTTTGAGGCCCAACTGCTCTGCTTTTGATCCAGCTCCTTGTTAACGTGCCTGGAAAAGGAGCAGTGGGTGAGCCAAGTGCTTGGACACCTACTGTAGGACACTGGTACAGTTCGAGGCTCCTGGCTTTGGCCTAGCCCAGTCCTAGCTGTGGTAGCGTTTCAGGAAGTGAACCAGCAGATAGAATCTCTTGCTTCCTTTCCCTTTCTATCTGTAACTGCATTTCAAACAGATAAATACATCTTAAAAAATAGTAAAACAAAAACAAAAACAAACAAAACCCTCCTGAGCTTAGTGCCCTAGATCTTTCAGGCAGGTGGTCAGTGGTGCCAGCACATCCAGTCTCCATGCTCTCACTGATGCTGTTCTCCATCCTGTCCCGGCCTGGACCACAAGCATTCTTTCCCTCCCCTCCAGGAAACATCCAATCTCTCTGCTGGAGGACCGCATCCCCACGACTCCTGGGCCTTGTCCCCAGCGCTTCTCTCAACTGTTTTCGCAGTTACAGATTCAAGTTCACGTCTCTTCCACTTTGTGAATAAGATTATGGATGACTGAAATTATTAAGTCTGCTAAAGAAACTGTTAAAGAACTCTTAAAACCTGTTCTCTCCTTAAGTCGCATTTTCCTACTAGTAGTAAAAGTGAACAATCAATTGATCTTATTTAATGAACTCAATTTCAAACAGATTATAAAACATCTTAAATATCCATTGCTCTTTATGCTAATTCTCATCAACTAAACTGCAATTGTAAAATTAATACATTCAATTTTTCTTTCCTTTTTTTTAATCAATTTCAGATGCCTAACAACCAGGAGTTTCTCTGTTACTTAAACCATGCTGCTAAATATAATGAGAAAACTAAAAAATCTTATGAGTCATGGCACAGAAGGCTGGCAGCTTCCAGTAACAGCCTAGGAGCTCCAACTGGATCTGCCCTCCTGCAGGCAGCAACTAAAAATTCTAGACCAACGGGAAATAACCATGGGAAGGCACTGGAGGGCAGCCAGAGGTGAGCAGAAACCGGGCCCAGCACTGAGAGAGCTTCTCCTTTTTTTTTTTATCAACTGCTTTTGGCCTAGGGGCAGGCCTTATTAATACCATGCTGGATAAGGAAAAGACTATTTGAAGAGAGAGCAGCTGGAAAGTGAAATGGGAAATAAGAGAAAGGCAGCTGAGTATCTGGATGCCCTTGAACGTGTGACACAGAGGCTGAGCAGCCCAACAGCTGCACGGAAATTCAGCTGCCACAACTGAAAACACAGAATTCTGAGTCCAGCAAAGTCAACTGCCTGCTTACATCCTCTGTCTCGCTCACACACACACATGCATACACACACACAAACACTCATCTTGAGAGGGATAGGACAGAAAGGAGCCCACAGGATGCACCATTCACAGTTTTCCAGAATATAATCCAAAATTCCAAAGAACAAAAATGAAAGCAACAATCAAGAGAAAAGGCAGCCAATCAAGAGCGAGCTAAGCCATCCAGATGTCGGGTCAGTGCTGTGGGGTTGAGCCGCTGCCTGCAGGTTTGAGTCCTGGCTGCTCAGCTTCTGATCCAGCTTCCTGCTAACACGCCTGTGAAAGCAGAGAAAATGGAACAGGTGCTTGGGCCCCTGCACCTGTGTGGGAAACTGGAAAAAGCTCTGGGCTTCGTCTGGCCTGGTCCCACTTGTTGTGGCCATTTGGGGAGGGAACCAGCAATTGGAAGATCTCTCTATCTCTCCTTTCCTCTCTCTTTCTCTGTTAACTTTGTCTTTCAAACAAACATCTCTTTTTTTTTAATGCTAAAAAAAAAAAGGTACCCAGATGTTAGAATATACAAATGAAATTTTTCAAGCCAGCCTTTTAAACTATGATTAAGGATATAAACAAAAACATATTGATAATAAATAGGAAGAAACAAATAACCAAAAAGAAATTTTAGGACTGAAAAATATAAAAATTCACTGGATGATCTTAACAGAACCTACTAAAGATTAGAAAAGAGTTAATGAAGTTTGCATACTGAACGACCAAAAATTTCTAATCTGGTGCCTGGCGCAGTAGCCTAGTGGCAAAAGTCCTCATCTTGCATGCACCAGGATCCCATGTGGGCACTGGTTCAAATCTTGGTGGCTCCACTTCCCATACAGCTCCTTGCTTGTAGCCTCGGAAAGCAGTCAAGGACAGCTCATTGCCTTGGGAGCCTGCATCCGTGTGGCAGACTTGAAGAAGCTACTGGCTTCTGGCTTAGGATCAGCTCAGCTTTGGCCGTTGTGGCCACTTGGGGAGTGAACCAGTGGATGGAAGATCTTTCTATCTCTTCTTCTCTCTGTTAATCTGCCTTTCCAATAAAATGAATTGAAGGAAGGAAGGAAGGAAGGAAAGAAAGAAAAAGAAAGGAAGGAAGGAAGCAAAAAAGAAAGAAAGAAAGGAAGGAAGAAAAAAACAGAAAGAGAAGAAGACCTTTAATCTGAAGGTCTCACGGAACAAAAAAGATTTTAAAACGCAGAGGGTATCCCCGGGAGAACAGCAAAGGGCTAAGCTAACTGTGATCAGCGTCCCAGGAAAGGGCAGAATGCAAAGGGAAAAGCATTTGAAGAGAGAATGGCCAACATAGATCCAGATCCAAAAATCTCAGTGAACTCCAAGTGGAAAAATGTTAACAACGCTCCTAAACATTTCAATATTGCTTAGCAACTTCATAAAAACCTTACTGTTCCATTTATGATCAGAACCATAAAATCATTAGTGCAACTTTGAAATCGTTATTGCAATCTAACCTGATAGCTATTCTAATATGGATTCTGGCAACAGTCTCCTGGGTTCCAAACCAGAGCTGGCCCCAGTGTGCCCTTCAGAAAACTATTGGACTGCTCTGTGACTCAGTGGCCTTGCACAGAGGAAAGGTGAGTAACAGTGCCTGCCTCTGAAGGCTGACACACTGAAAGAGTTAATCCTTTCAGAGGGTTTAAACAACGCCTGGAATGCAAGGGATGTCAACTGCCACTATTAAGTCAGATGTTTTAAAACATTACAAACACTGAAAATGCCAAAATGACACAAATTATACCTAGGTCTCACATAAAATTCTGAGTTTGATTTAGTTCATCATCCTATAATTAATTCTGAATCTTACCAGTTAAAAGACACTTGGCCACCAAGATAACAGTGCTACTTCCTAAAACCAGTTGCAGTTGCCATGTCAGCGGACTGAGGTCGCTTATCAGTCAGAAACCAAGGGTCACAATGTAAGCTCTCAGGCTGAATAAATGCAAGAGAGTTCCCATGGCCCAAACATAATGTTGAGCACTTTTTTGAACCGTCATTATTATGACAAAACACCACCCCACCCCTTCCCCCCACTGAAGTGTGTTTAATTTGTTCCCAGGAATCTTGAAGACCCACACCCAGGGGCTGGGGCACAGTAAGTGTGCTAGTAAGTTTTTGTTGGATTAATGTGCACACATTCGGTGGATGGACAGATAGTGCCAGGGAATCTAACGGCAACAGCACAAGGACAATGAAGGTTTGGGAAAAATCAGCCCTGGGGACCAAGAAGGCACTTCATCACCTATAACCTTCAGTTTTTTATTCAACTATTGAAGAAATGACCAATGGTAAGATACGGACAGGCAAAATGGCCACAAAGCTGGGCTCCTCTCATCCCTGGAGCTCTTCCTCTCACATGGCGCCACACAGCGGAAGGCTCCAATTTCTTTGTTTCTTATCTGCCTGTCTGTGGTATGTAACCCATGTCCACCACCGTCACACTAATCTTTGCCATTTCCTGGCCCCTCCGAGGTCATCCTGCCACAGTCTTCTCTACTGTTTGCTCTAGACTCCACAGAAATGAGGAATTGTAAAGCAAGAATCTTGCCATCTAGGACTCCTAAACACCTAGGCGTGTCTTATGTTCAAGTCCCTTATTCACACTCGTCAGGTTCTTTACACTGATGTCCCCATCATCCTCTCCAGCTAAATCTTTGATTTGCAAGCTCTGGATCCAGTCACCCTGACAACTTCCTGCTGTCTGAATTGTCGAATAAACTCTTTCTTCCTTACTTTGGAATCTGCCACTTCCTCTGCTTGCAGCATCCTTTCCAGTGTCCCTCTGCTTAGTGATTCCTGTTTACCCATTAAAAGCTACCTTTACGGATTTCTCATCTCTACCAACCGGAGAAGTCACCCTCTATTGTGTTCCCATAGCTGCACACCCATACAGCTCTTAAGTTAATATACGTAATATACTGCACCATTTGCTGTCAAGTTATGTCTCTACCAGCCTATGTCACTTATACTGCTCTGTGTCAGCAGTTCCTCTAGCTTAGAGCTGGTCAAACTGATTACTCCTAAATGGGACTGTTAAAATGAGACAGGGCCCAGTGCGGTAGACTGGTGGCTAAAGTCCTTGCCTTACACATGCCAGGATCCCATATGGGTGCTGGTTTGTGTCCCAGTGGTCCCATTCCCATCCAGTGCCCTGCTTGTGGTCTGGGAAAGCAGTCGAGGACGGCCCAAAGCCTTGGGAATCTGCATCGGCATGGGGAACCTGGAAGAAGGTCCTGGCTTCTGGCTTTGGATCAGCTCAGCTCCAGCTGTTATGGTCACTTGGGGTGTGAATCAGCAGATGGAAGCTCTTTCTCTCTCTCTCTCTTCCTCTTTGTATATCTGCCTTTCCAATAAAAATAAATAAATCTTTTTAAAAAAGAACGAGACAGAGGAAGGTCAGATTAACAGCTAATCTCTGAAGTGAAACTGACCTGGCTTTCAATAGCAGGCTCCACTCACTAAGCAGGATCCAACAGCATTTTGTTGTTCTAGGTCTTAGTCTACTCCTGTCTGAAAAATTAATAATGAAGGTCCCTACCTCACAGGATTTAGAAGAATTCAATGAGATGAAAGCATATGAAACCCTGAGTGTGGTACTTGGTATGGCAGTAAATGCACAGTAAGCAGGAGATATCAACAACCATGGGTAACCAATAGCACAAACTCAGAAAGTGAACACAGGCTCCAACAGGCATGACTGTGACCGGGTTAGGCAGAGCTCCATACCTGTTTTCCACTCAGTTGGTAGAAGGAAAGTTTCTGTCCCCAGTCAGCCACAGCCAGGACGTCATTATGATCCTCTCTAATCAACAGAAGACAAAAGAGGTTAGGAGGGGCCACGCCTGTTGATGAGTGCAGCCCTAAAGGTTCAACAAACACAGGAAAGAAAACCCTGGCTAGGCTGTCAGGCTGCCAAGCGTTGTGCAGCTTTTCTGGGGCCAAAATTTGTAATTAGTCCTAACCCATCAATCAATCCAGTGGGATGTGCTACTTTACTGAAGCCCTGCCATGACAGAGCCACAGCTGCACTCAAGAAACTCCTCATTCCAGAACCTCCTGGGGGGCGACGCCAAGCACCAGCAAGGATACAGACCCAAGAGTGACTTTCTTTTGCACACTAGAAAATGAGACAGCAGAGAAACTATCTTTTGCAGTGCGATGGCATGGACTACCTGATCTGTGAACCAAGTGGAAATTTGCATCTTTTAATAGAAGATGGAAAATCAAAAGTAAAAACTGGTTTCTATTGCATTTGGGGTCCTCACAAAGATAAACTAGTTTCTGACTGGATCTAATAGAGAAGTGGGCTCTCTGAGAACCAACAATTGGCTGTCTTTGAAACGGAGAACCTCTGCAGACTGGTGGAGGCTGGGGAGCAGGGTACCAGAAATCAAATACAGGTTACCAGGAATCTCATTCAAGACAGAGACATTCCTAGTCTTTGAGGTTGAATCTCGATCTACTTCACGTTGTTAGCTCCAGCCTTTCAGAGTCCTGTGTTTGCAGTTACTAGGAACGTCACTGAACAGGCAGACACCGGGTACAGCCTTGCTCAGAATATTCAGTCAACAGTGGCAAAATAGCAAATGTCACAGGCACTGATTCAGAATTAAGGCAAAAAAGAAAGTTGGAGAGAGATGTCGGTAGGAGGGGACCTGGGGGTGAACCTTGCGTGCCTGACACTGAAGCGCCCTGCCTGGAGTCCTCCTGAACAGCCCACAGATGACCTGGGCTGTGCTCAGCAGGTGGGAATACGGGGTTTATCTTTCTAACTCTTTCCCCCATCCCCTCACAGTAGGATTCTTTAGCAAAACAAATAATCATGTTGAACAACTAAAGGGATGCTCTTGTTGAAGCCTATCCCTTCCTTCTCTCCCTGTCCCCCTTTGCACCCATGATCTGCAGATTTTCTCAAGCAACCTCAAGTACCCCATACACAATCTGGAGCATCCAAGCTGGACCACTATCGTCCCATCACAACATCCTGTCTACTCCAGCTTTCCCCACTCCCACCTGCCCATGTTGGCTTTACTGGTCATCATCTCAACTGAAGAGAAGAAACAATGGTTGGACAGCCAGGACTGCGGTGTGAGGACTGGGCAAGGTGAGTGGAGTGCTTCTTGCTAATTTGTATCCTAGCAAATACAAGATAGGTGTGATGCAAGACAAGGCTCAGAAATGTGCTCAGTAACAGAGAAAGTGCTAAATGAATCTCAGGGAATTCATGCAAGGACATAGGATTCAGGCATTAAAAAGCATGTTTCAAGGGACTCCCAATGTTACTGAAAAAAGGTCACTGGACGATGTTAAGTAGGAAAAAAGGAAAGGAGGATAGGATTTAGCTCATGATATGAACACACTAAAAGACTAAGATTGGCCTGGCAGTGTGGCCTAACGGCTAAAGTCCTTGCTTTGAACGCGCTAGGATCCCATATGGTTCTAATCCTGGCAGCTCCTCTTCCCATCCAGCTCCATGCTTGTGGCCTGGGAAAGTAGGCAAGGATGGCCCAAAGCTTTGGGATCCTGCATCTGTGTAGGAGACCCAGAAGAGGTTCCTGGTTCCCAGCTTCAGATCGGCACAGCACCAGCCATTACGGTCATTAGGGGAATGAATCATCGGATGGAAGATCTTCCTCTCTGTCTCTCCTCCTCTCTGTATATCTGACTTTGCAATAAAAATAAATCTTAAAAAAAAAAAAGACAAAGAAAAACACACCAACACACCAACAGTGTCTTCCTCAGAGAATAAGGTTTTATAGACAAGTTCAACTCTCTCTCTTAGACTTTTGAGGACTTGCGACAGTTTCTCAAAGGACCAGGTGATCACCTCTACACAGGTTTTAAGAGTGTGCTTCCCTGTGTTGTAGAGGTGTCACCAACAGTTCCTCTGAACTGCTCCCCTTGGCCAAGGAGTTCCACAACAGCATCTGTCCCAGAAGGTTCGCAGGGGGTCTGGGCCCTGAGGAGGGTTCCTGCTCCTAGGACACACTCACAAATTATCGTCCTGGGACTGTCATCCTCTGCCTCACTACCCTGACTACTGTATACTGCTCACTTCAGAGTGGAAGGGACTTCCTCTGCATCCTTGTTCTCTTTGTTCATCTAGAAACTCACCCACCAGCTGCAGACATTCTTCACAATCACATTGCCTTAACTAACTAAAGCTATAATTTCAAAATCTGTCAAGGAGCTCCTGCACCCCACGCGGAAGAGGAGAGCCACCAGGTATGATGGGCATCCTGCTTCTCATGAATTAAAAATGGTAGCCTGAAGCCACAAAGATATCTGCAGCCACAAAAATCAAACAGCAGGAACTCTGAGGTGGACTAATGGCCTCTGACGGCATCAGACATGCATGATACGGTCTAGGCCGGGCACTGCTGTTCAGGAAGGAGCATAACAAACTGGGGAAGGAAAGGCATTCAACTTAAAGAACCTTCCAACTCAAGCAGGCATCTGCCTGGAGAACAATAATGGGGTGCTAATTAAGTCCCTTAGTCTGCATTCAGAAAACTCCAAGGAGGGGGTTGCCAATGGTTTAATTAACATTATGGGATTACACAAAGGGTACACAGAGCTACTAACCCACACAGACATAGAAGGGAGTGTGTAAGGCCTGTGAGGGTAGCTGCCAACTGTGCACTTTCAGGATTTGAGAGATGTTCCTAGACTTAGTTTGGGGCTTTTCGGCAGGAGCAACAGAAAAGGCTCATGGAAAGCTGCTTATTAACAGATGGACATATATTCTACCCAGACTTGGGAGAGAAGAAGTGCAAAAAGGAAAAGATAAAAACAAAGGCACAAAAAGGGCCCAGCTATTGATTCATAAGGAAATGGCCCTTCTGTGTTTCTCACAAACCCTCACCCGCACGCGTGCACCTGCACCCACGCGTGCACCCACACCCACACACCCCATACTCTTTGGGCTGGCCTAGATAGCTCAGCTGTTTGGGCAAATCTCTGGGATTCGTTCCAAAACTCAAGATATGTTCTTCAAAAATTCTATTCAAAACAGACCAGTCAAGTGAGGTGAAAGAGCTTTGTATGGAGACCTCAGGAAGAGAGAAAAAAACTCAGGCTGCTGAGGAAGCCCCTCCCCCAAGGGTGTCTGTCCTAGGAGGAGCACGGTTGGACCATACCTGGAAGGGCTCCAGCAGATGGACCATATCGGGGAGAGAGAGCCCCCCGGCCGCTCGATCTTCACTTTCTCCTCCCCATTTTTGTTCCGTATGCTGATGACCCCGTTGAACATCCCCAGAGCCAGGTACTGACCGTCATTCGTCCAGCTGAGCACACAGCAACACAGGGCATGGGGAGAAGGAAGGCAACACAAGGTGAGCCCAGTGAGGATGATGCCACAGTTTAAAACAAAGTCTCATCATTCCTACTGATGTAAAATCAGAACACCAAACGGAGCCCCTTTCCTGGAATCAGCAGTGAGACCGGACGTGAGCGGTGCCTTTCCCAGAGCTCCACAGCCCTCTGCGCAGCTCCCCTTCGATGGCCCTCAGTTCACGCCTGCCTCTCAGGGATGCCCCCACTCCCTGCTGCCAAGCACCTTAGGAACTGACCCTGGGCACAGTCATGGGCAGCTGGGGAAGGCGAAGGACTAGGGACAGACTCTCTGTCTTGGCGATCCCAGCGCTGGAACATGGTGTGCCTGGAGGGAGCTGTTCACATGTTGAATGAAGGGCTGCACTCAAAGCCGAGCAAGGAGGGCCTTGACAGAGTGGCCTGCACAGCACGCGCCATGCTGCAGCTTTTGTACCCGTCAGTCTGTGTGTGTCTCACAGGAGTCCTCTCAAGTCAACCTTTTTATCCTCATTTGTCAGACCAGGAGCCTGAAGTTCCATCTCCGAGAGATCTGGTGACTTTCCTGAGATCATGGAGCCCGTCAGTCTAGCATGTCCAAGTCGGTGCTGTCCACACGAGCTGCCTGGACAAGGACGGCCTCCTTTCAGAGAGACCATGTGGCAAAGCTGCACACGGAGCAGGCTTGCTGCCAGAAAATGGCAATAGTGCAACTTGGAGTTCTCCACTGCTAAGGATCAAAGGCCCAGGACTTCCCATCAGGGAGATGAGAAAGCAGAAAAGAAGGAAATGAGGTGAAATAAACGGGATTCTGAGAGCTTGTTTTGAAGACACAATAAAACCTATTTCAAACCTGCCCTTAACTTACCCGCAGCAGGTGATCTTGCTGCTTGATTTGTATTTGGGGACAGATTTCTGTTCGGGAGACCACAACCCTTAATAGGAAAAGAAAGACAGGCTGATTGGAATACTACTCAGGAATGAAAAAGAACAAACTACCGATGCATACAAAAACTCAGATGGGTCACATTTCCAGGGACTTTTGCTAAGTAAAAAGGCCAATCTCAGCAAGTCCTATCTTTCAGTTATAGAACATTCTTAGATGACAAGATCACACAAATGAAGAGTTGCATGGTTACCAGGGCTTAGGGACAGTAAGAGGTCAGGAGGGTGGGTGTGGCTCTGGAGCTGTTTAGTGATGGAACAAGTCTGTGTAAGGGCACTAGAAATCCACACGTGTGATCCAATGACAAAAGCACGCAGCCAGGCTCTGCCAGACCCAGTTTCCTGATTTTGATACATTACGTAACATGCACCCATTTGGATAAACTGGATGAAGCATACAGGAAACCTCTCTGTACTATCTTTGCAACGCAATGAGAATCTATAATTATTTCAAAAAGAAAAGAAAGTAGCTCGGTGATGTCTAGCCAACTTTTCAGAGATTTAACTCCCAAAGGAATGACAGCTTCTCTGACCATAATGAGGTCATTATAACCAGATCATTTTAGTATTAAAAGTAATGAGTTATGGGGAGGGAACAACAAGAGAAGTGATGAATTATGCTTCCTGAAATTCCAGTTTCCTCACCCAGGTAGACCTCCCCCACAGCACATGACTTTGGGTGAGCTCTGCCCTATCCAAGCACACTGGTCACCTTAGGCTGGCTCAGCGCCCCAATATCAGGTGTGTCTGCAACAGAGGCAGATGTTACTCTCTGCCAGGGCTGTGAAGCATGATGAAAAGAAAAACCTAGTGCACAACTATATTTATACAGCCAGGTGCCTGATCAAACAAGTTGTTTTTTCCTTTCTTCCACAGTGCAAAACACATCCCCCAGACAGCACCACCTGTGAACATGTCCTCTGCACTCCACTGAGCCAGCTAGAGGAAACTCCTCTCCCGGGGCCCCTCCCTCAGTGGTGCCAGCGACAGCAGCTCAGTGGGGCCCTGGCCTGAGTCCAAACTCCACTTCTGCTGTACTGCTCTGTGACCTCCAGTGATCACCAAACTGTTCTGGGCTGCAGTAAGGGAGGCGATGAGAATTTAACCTGACTTCAAGGGCTGAAAAAGAGCATAGGCCCACGACACTGCAAGCATTCAACAAACATGATGACTTAGTATATTTTTTTTTTCAGTCCTACCATCCCACAGGGTTCCTTTAGGGTAGAGACTTCTTCATGGTTTTAATGGCAGTGAATCATTTGAGAAAATGTTAAAATTTGCAAACAGCAGTCCCGGCAGGCATGGTGACTCCACAGGCTAATCTCTGCCTTGCAGTGCCAACATCCTATATAGGTGCTGGTTTGTATCCCAGTTGTTCCACTTCCCATCCAGTTTCTTGCTTATGGCCTGGGAAAGCAGTCAAGGACTGCTTAAAGCCTTGGGCCCCTGAACCCACACGGGAGACCTGGAAGAGGTCTTTGGATCACCTCAGCTCTAGCCATTGCAGCCACTTGGGGAGCAAACCAGTGGATGGAAGATCTTTCTCTGTCTCTCCCTCTCTCCATAAATCTGCCTTTCAAATAAAAATAAATGAATCTTAAAAAAAAAAAGTAGCAATCTCTTCTCACTCACTTACACAGTATGGTTTCAACACCACTATCTTTTTTGGAACTCAGTGAAGTAATTGGGTTGAAGGGGTGGGGAATGTCATGTTCCAAAGCCACAGGAAACTGCACTCCTGAGGGGGTCAGGCCTCTGACTCCCCATCTAATGCCTATTCCAGCGGACCCATGACCTCTTAGCAAGAAAACACCTGAAGGGGTTGAAAACTGAAGTTGCCCTTCAATGGAGAGGGTCTACAAGCCTCGGCCCCAGTTCCCTCCCTGCTCCCTTGAGACAGGTCGCTGCTACCTCCTCTATGCCAATGCTATGTGTGGGGCCCAGGCATTCAGCCTTCAGGAAGGACAGTGACAGCCACCCAAACAAGCTACGATGACACACTGTACAACCACGCTCAAACGCTAGCGAACTCCCCAGCCCCGAGTGAACTCAGAGTTAAACTGTTCCTGCCAGGTGAGGTGGGTAACACCTCCCAGAGCTGGCAACATCAGCCAGCTATGCAGCCTATGCCCTGTATCCTCCCTCTTCTGGGTCCCTTCTTGGTGTCTCCCATGTCTTGCTAGACTCAGGCTCATTATTTACTATCTTGGATTCTTCACAGTTCAAAGAATGACTGACAGCTTCCCATCAACCAATGAAGATACAGAAATACCACTAAGCCTCAGGCAAAGCCACCACCTTCTGGACCAATTCAGTTTCTCCAGGACAAGAACTTGAGAAGCAGAAACCTACCAAAGTCACTGGAGGAACAAGAGGCCAGCTGGTGGGTCACAGGGTTGTAGGAGACGCTCTGTATGGAATCATTGTGCCTGGAAAGTAAACAACTACAGATTATTATATTTTAAACCATAAATGTCTTGGTGGCTACAAATGAAGATTCTAACAGTGAGACCGCAGCTTCTGACTTCCCACCACAAGCAGGAGCAAGTGCAAAACAAAAAGCACAAGGATTAATGCTTCATCTCCCCCAATGCCCTCTGTCATTCCCTAATCATTATCCTGACCCAGCTAAAACACCACCTCCTCCAATGCCATCATGTGGGACCCCTCCACTTTGTAAACTGATGAGAATACAGCAGCATGCCTGGTCTGATGCCAGGCACACAGTAAGTGCTGCATTTACGGCTGCTGCTCTTACTGTTTTTGTGGAAGTCTGGAAATACAAGATGGAGGTGCAGTGAGAACATGGCTAACCAAGATCCGGAAACATGGCAACCCTTAGGTAAAAATAAAAATTGAGGGAATTATACACCATGCATGGCATCTTAACTCCAGTTTTATTGTTTTTTTTTCTTTTGAAATATTTACTTCATTTATTCTTAAGATTTATTATTTTACTTGAAAGTCAGAATTATAGAACAAGGGAGAAACACAAAAAGTTTCCATCTGTTGGTTTACTCCCCAAATGACCACTACAGCCGGAGCTGGGTGGGCATGAAGCTGGGAGCCAAGAGCTTCTTCCCAGTCTCCCACGTGGGTGCAGGGACCCAAGGGCTTGGACCATCCTCTGCTGCCTTCCCAGCCCATTGAACAGGTGAGGACAGGTTGGGGGTGGGATGGAATGTGTGTTGTCAGATGAACCGATATGAGTTGCATGAAAATCCCCAGGCAGGCTCAGGCCTACCTGACAAGTGCTCAGGAAGCATTCACTTACTCACCAGCCACACTTCCTAAACCCACCCTCAGCTTCAGCAGTTCTTCCTTGCATCTTTCCTAAGGGCTTTTACTAAAATTACTCTATAAGTGGCAAAAGAGTAACAGCACACCCCTGACTCACGTGTACTTGAGGATGCCTTCGAGCTTTGATGTCCAGATTATAACACTTTTATCAGCTGATCCAGAAGCAAAGCGCTTGCCTAAAAGTTTTTAAAAAGAAAAGTCTCACATATATTATAAACCAGCATTTCCCAGTCAGGCAGAATCTCCTAAACAACTTGGTTTTTAAGAACTTGGTCTAACAAAAATAAGTAAAAGAACTTGGGGGTCAACTTCTTTGCTGCTTGTTGTGAAGTCCTGGGAGGTGGGACTCTGGAGTGAGAGTGCTTGGGTTCAAAGCCTGCTCTGCACTGAACCAATAAGATGTGCCAAGGGAATATGATGTGCAGGCATCATGTTCTGTGCCAAGAGCAAGAAGCAGTGACGAGAACACAGGAGTTCTACTCTCATGGCATTTAGTCTAATGGAAGAAGCAGTCATTCAACTGAACTAATCCACATAATGTGGTAGGAAGATGTTGAGTCCCATGAAAGAACTGGGGATGTCATTTATTTTTTATTTACGAAACTATGGACAACAGAGGATCCTCTTTCCCTTGCTGAAGAGCCTGCTTCCCTAAGTTGCCCATAATAGTCACTTGCCTATTGCAACTTGCTATCCTACAATAGTCGTCTTTTCTAAAAATCTGCTGATCTGTCTTTTGGGGTCTCTGATAAAACCAGACAGAACTGGCCACAAACAATATTGTAACTGGAGCCTGAGCATATGACTCAGACTGCCCAGAGAACAACCCAGTGGTTCATTATAATGTGGGTTTTTTCTTAAGCTTTAAAAAAAAAAAAAAAAAAGATTCATTTTTACTAACAGGGCAGATTTACAGAAAGGAGACAGAAAGATCTTCCATCCGCTGGTTTACTCCCCAAGTGGCCACAATGGCAACAACTGAGTCGATCCAAAGCCAGGAGCCAAGAGTCTCCTCCAGGTCTCCCATGTGGGTGCAGGGTCCCAAGGCCTTGGGCCATCCTCTACTGCTTTCCCCGGCCACAAGCAGGGAGCTGGATGGGAAGTGGAGTAGCTGGGACACAAACCAGCGCCTACATAGGATCCTAGCACTTGCAAGATGAGGATTTAGCCAACGAACCATAATGCTGGGGCCATTTTTCTTAACCTTTTAAATTGAAAAAAAAAAATTACTTGAAAGGCAAAGTGACCAAGAAAAACAAAGAGATGGGTTGGGATGATTACAGGAACTGGGAGAATAAAACCAGCTGATGGAGAGGGTGGGGGCACGTGTCCCAGTGGCCGCAGCAGGACACACAGGTCGGTCCCGGCACTGCTGCAAGGGCTGCACAGGGGCCGCACAGGGCTGCACAGGGGCCGCACAGGGCTGCACAGGGGCCACACAGGGCTGCACAGGGGCTGCACAGGGGCCGCACAGGGGCCGCACAGGGCTGCACAGGGGCTGCACAGGGCTGCACAGGGCTGCACAGGGCTGCACAGGGGCCGCACAGGGGCCGCACAGGGGCTGCACAGGGTTGCACAGGGCCGCACAGGGGCTGCACAGGGGCTGCACAGGGTTGCACAGGGCTGCACAGGAGCCGCACAGGGCTGCACAGGGGCCGCACAGGGGCCGCACAGGGGCTGCTCTCCCTCATGGTCATCTCTGGCCCTCCTCCCTCATGCTGGCAGGCAGCAGGTGATGAAAAGCATTGGCCCTGAACTCAGTCTCCGAGTCCAGAATGCTAGTGATGTCACTGTGACCTGCGACAAGCTATTGGCCATCTCTCTGCTTTCATTTCCTCCTCTGAGAAAAAGGATGTAATAATAGTATTTACCGCACAGTTGCACAGGAGCACACATACACACACACCACTACTGCCACTACCACCAAGTACTTAAACATCACCCAAAACAGAATCAATAATTTTAAAAAGTAGCTATTATGGGATAAAGTAAGCTAAAGCCTCTGCCTGCAGTGCCAGCATTCCGTATGGGCGCTGGTTTGTGCCTGGCTACTCCACTTCCAATTCAGCTTCTTGTTTATGCCCTGGGAAGCAGCGGAGACTGGGTCAAGTGCTCCAGCCTCTGCACCCACTTTGGAGACCCAGAAGCAGCTCCTGGCTTTGAATTAGCCAGCTGCAGCTATTACAGCAAATCTAGGCAGTGAACCAGCAGGTGGAAGATCTCTCTTTCTCTCTGTAATTCTGCCTTTCAAATAAAAATAAACTAGTTGTTATTGCTGCCATTATTTTCATGTTTTCATGTTGTTTTATATTGTTTTCCTTACATACATACAAAAAAAAAAACCAGTAACATCTTACTATCTTACTTTTGTAGCCTGGTTACTCAACAAATACTTGCTAATATTTATGGCAGAAACCGGCACACTTAAAAAGTAAATTCTATTTCTATTCCATCTCTATTTTCCGGGGAAGAGGCCAAAGCCATTAGTCATCACATACATGTCATGAAGACTAAGGGACCTGCAGTGAGAGCAGCAGGCTAAGGCCTAACTGCGCCCGTGACAGCTCCAAGCCGCAGCCTGTCTTCTCACCAGGTGCTCCCAGGCCCGCTGGGTTGTTGGCAGGGTCAGCTGAGACAACATGTGCTGTTAGACACTCCACAAAGTGCTGTTCAAATGCCACTGTCAGCAGGTCACACTCCCAACAGCCTGCGGGTCCTTAACCGTGTTACAGGTCAAAGACTCCCCTAGACTTACAAATTGCTGAGGCCCAACGGCCTTGCTACGCTCCTGAGCCTTCTAAAATGAGGCCCTGGACCGGCCCACGTTCCTCAAAGGTTTCCAGGACAAAGCAGAGACAGTTCAGCTCTCTGGGTTCCCCGCCACGGGTCTCCCAATACTACTATGAACTCAAACTCAAAACATGCACCAAAAAAGTGTTTCTACCATAGGACAGCACAGCACTATCCCAGAAATTCTCTCTCCTCTGTCCTACAGCCTCAGTGTTCCTCAAGTGCAACATGTCTAACAGAACCCCGATCTCGCACCACAAGCCTTCCCCACCTACAGCCTTTCCCAACTCGGTGGAAGGTAGCTCCGCTCTGTCATTCACTGGGGTCAGAAGCCTGGGAGTCATCCTTGACCTCTTTGTTCACATCTTGTACCCATTTCCCAGGTGACTGTTGGCTCCACTTTGAATCCTGATTACTTCTCAGCATTTCCAACGCCCACAGAGGTCTGAGCAGGGGCCACCCTTTGCCTGGATGATGCTTCCTTGTTTGTCTAACTGATGTCTTCCCGCCTCTCATAAGCTGCTTCCAGGAAGCAGTGAAAGGGATCATTTCAAAAATATAAACCAGATCTCATCTCTCCCCTGCACAGAAGCTTTTAGCAGCCTCCCGTGGGAAATGAAAACCAAAGTCAGAATTCTTGCAAGAGCTGACAATCCGGCTACCCAGTGCACGTCAGCTCTCCACCCTCTTCTGCTACTCGTCCCCCAACACTCCCTCTGCCCAGCTCGTGGCAGGTGCAGCCCCACCTGAGGGCCTCTGCAATGGCTCTTCCCTCTGCCCAGAACTCTCTTTCCCCAGACCCCCACTACTTCAGGCCTTCAAGTCTTTGCTTACCTGTCTCCCTCCCCATGATGTCACCCTCACCCCTCTACTCCATACTGCCCCACCCGGCACTCTCAATCCTCCTTACTCTGTCCCACTTTCTTTTTCCATTTCACACCTTCCAGCATTCTCATCCCCATTTTTTAAAATGTTTATTTACTTTTCATCTTCTTGAAAGGAAGAATGAGGGAGTGCAGATCTTCCATCGGCTAGCCCACCCCTGCCAAATGCCCATATTAGCCACTGCTTTACAAGCCTGAAGTGAGATGCCCCAAACCCGATCCAGTTTTCCCACACAGGTAGCAGGAGTTCAAGGGCTTGAGCCATTAGCTGCTGACTGGACTGTCATGATCCATCAGCAGAAAAACGGATCCCAATAGCTGGGACTAGAACTGGCATTCCCATATGGGATGCAGGCCTCCCAAAGTGGCTTACCCTGCTGTGCTACAATGTCCACCTCTTTCTTATTTACAATGTACATGTCTTCCCTCAGTCCCTCCTCCTTTGCCCCCTGCCCAGTGGGCTACAAGCCCCCCAAGAGCAGGGACTTTTCTTTCTTTTATTCTCTGAACAGCACATATGACCTTCAATGAAGGTCTGTTGATCTGAATGACACAATCAAAATCATAAGCAATTTTACTTTCTTCTAAACCTCTAAGCTGTATTATGGTTTATATTAAAAAAAAAATAGTAAAGAGTAAATGGCTAAGAAGGAAATGGGTAGCCCTGAGGCTAGAACAGACTAGACACCCAAAGCAATCTCTCACCATCTTTTGCATATGCCACACAGTACACGGTGTCTTTATGTCCCTTGAGCGGCTGAAGTAAGGTACCGTCGGAAGTGTCATACACCTGAAAAAGAACAGTACAGATCATCTACGTGGTATCTGTCAGAGTTCTTGCAGGACTGCTACTGCTGTTTTTCATCAAACAAAAAACTGCACTGTGAAAGCAGAACACACATATGACTGAAAGTCGTAGAACCAAGAAGTGGCGGTCCTGATTCCTCACACAGTGACCAGGAACCATTAGTCTTGGATACAAAGTCTACGAATAGCACCTTCTGCATCATGATTACATATTAGTGCGAGTCTTATCCCGTTATAACAACATCATACACATACATTTCATGGTTGCAATTCCGTATTTCATATCCATAGATGTTTCATATGTGTTACCTGAGCTGAGGGTCTATAAGTAGAGGGAGTGTTATAAAACCCACCTGATGGGGATTTACGATCTATTGGAGCTGTACAGCATCTGCAAACACACAGAGCTCCAAAAACAACACACCACCAGAGAAACAGGAACCAATGCCCTGACAGGGTCAAGAGTACTGCAAAAGGTACACCTTGCAAGAGAAACTGAAGGGATCCAGGCTGCCTACCCTGGCCTGGAGAGAAGTCTGCAGAACACGTTAACTACAGTGGTAAGATTCTGTAGTCACCTTCCAGAGAAAGGGAGATCATTCGGTCTCCAACTCTAGAGACAACAAAGAGGAAGTGAATTTACGCGGGAGGAAGGACAGCTCAAACTGAGGTTTTTAGGTCAAACATAAAAAGTTCTCTGAAAATTACTTTTATTCATTGGGATAAGTTCCAGGGGGAGCGTATGTTCTTTGAAAATATGAAAAATAGGACAGCATCCATATGGAATTGTTTAGATATGCCAGGGCCTAAAAGTTGGGGTCACGCTATCTGGCTTCCCATGGAAGGAGAGGGCCTTGAGTTCTGTTGCTTCCATGTTTCATGGGGAGAAAATAGGAATTGACAACAGCCCAGTTTCAAAGGCATGTGGATTAATTGTCTTCAACTTTTTTTATGGGTGTCTCAAAGTAAAAAGGAAAAGATTAATGATTCCAAAAGAGGTTCTGTTCACAAGTCCCTATCTGATAGACAGTTTACTTACCTGTTTTAAATAGCCTATTTCCTTCCCTATTAAAAAGTAATGACTGGTTTTTCCGCCCTTGCCTTTTTTATCTCAAAAGAAAAGGTCAAATTTCAGAGTACTTACAAGAGGGAGTGGGGGAAAGCACTTAAAAAGGAAACTCAGACAAAATCCTACCAGTAATCTGTTTCCTGCAGCCAAAATCAGTTGAGTTCCATCAGGCTTAAAGGCGAGGTCATATATACTAAACAGGAGACAAGACAAGACAAAGAGACAATTAGGAACCCAAACCATGGAGTCCACTAATGGCCAAGAAAGCAAACTTTATTTCCATTATGAAACACTGTGCGTGCATGAGGAGAAAAATAATGGCTAGGAATCACATTTGGTTGCAAATTCCATTCAACCACCACACCTTGGCAGCCCGTTAAATCATTATCCACAAGGCAGTTAGCTCTGTGTCCCAATTTCCTCTTGTCCAGAAGCCAGCCGTCAGAAATAACTCAAAGGGTCAGCAATTGAGGGCACTAACTCTTCTGAGAACACCATTACAGGCTAGACAACCCGAGATCTGTGGGGGCCAGTAGACCTGCACAGATAGCCAAAGCACTACCAAATACAAGACCAGTGGCTCAGTCTCTTCCTGCCCTCAAGGAAATTTCCATTCAGTGCGACACTGTCCCTGGTTTGTTTTTACAGGGCAGGAAACTAAGGCAGAGAGGCCAATTGCTCCAGTACTGTTACACAGCTGGCGGATGGAGAAGAAAGAACAAGGTGATGGCCACATGCATTGCAGCCCAGCATCCTCTAGGATGAAGCAAACTCGCCTAGGCCCTGAGTTCTCCAGCTTCCTCTGTTTTCTGGAAGCAGACCTGGGCCTGTTTCTTTGCATTTCCTTTCTTGGAGCCCATGGTAAATGCGGTTGACACATTGCACATTTAGGGGAGGAGAGGGGTGCTAAGACAGTTTTTTCTTCCATCTGAGTGTCATCCTCACCTACGAAACACAGTAGCCCTCTCCCCTCGCAGGGTGCGCCAGCCAGCCTTGCACCTAACAGCTGATGCCATGCTGTGATGGGGTATGATGCAGCCTGCACCTCTCACGTATAGTTGCTCTTAGTAATGTGGTTTCTTTTCCACCCTGGACACATTTGAGCTCATCAAAGCAGTTCCTATGTGGCCTCGTTATAAAGGACATTTCTGATTTGATCTATCAGGGAGTCACTTTTTAAGAAAGTTGACTTACCTATTTGAAAACCAGCATTGCAGAAAGAGGGAGCGACTGAGAGACAGAGCTCTTTCACCTGCTAGTTCTCTTCCCAGAGGGCTGCACCGGCTGGGCGGGGCTAGGCCAGGAGCCAGGAGCTTCTTCAGACTTCCCGTGTGGATGACAGGGCCCCAAGCACCTGAGCCATGGTCAAATCCTTTACTCAGGCCATAAGCAGGGAGCCGGATTGATAGTGGAGCAGCCAGGACTCAAAGTGCCCACATAAGATGTTGCCACCTCAGATAGCAGCTTTTCCCATTATACCACAAAGGCAGCCCCAGGAAAACACTGCTGAATGCCCCAACTGGGTCAAGCCTGACGTGAACACTTATTTTCCAGGAAATTCCTTAAATTTGCCTTCCACAATTCAACAGAGAGGACTGATTTACTCCAAATGCACACTCTTCCTACCCCTGGACTCTGTATAATACATCATTGAACTGAATTATAGTGTCTTACATTTTCAATTCTAGATACTATCTTGCCTCTTTAATCAATCATGCAATCCAAGGCCATGGATCACATTTTACACATTTATGATTCATTGCACTGCCCTACACACACAAAGAACATAGAACAAATGAAGAAGCTGATAAAATTTCCTCTTACGGGCCAGTGGCACAGTGTTGCCGGCTGAGCCTTTAGCTGTACACCAGCATCCCATATGGACTCTGGTTTGAGTCACAGTGGCTCCACTTCCAATCTAGTTCCCTGGTAATGGCCTGGGAAGACAACAGAGCAGGGCCCTAGTTCTCGGGTCCCTGCACCCACGTGGCAGACCCGGAAGAAGACCCAAGCTTCTGGCTTCAGACGGCCCAGCTCCGGCCATTGCAGCCATTCATGAAGTGAACATGCAGATGGAAGATCTCTCTTTCTCTCTCTCCATCTCTGTAAATGTACATTTCAAATAAAATGAAATAAATCTTTAAATGTTCCTCTCAAATCCCTCAGGGCTTAACGGCATCACAAAAGCTCAGGGTTGGAAGGGACTTCAGTAGCCCTGACTCCCCAACCAGAGCCAGAGGTCCACGGGAGCAGCCGCACAGCCACTGCTGGCGGGCTCCCTGCCAGGGCTCATGGGGCCGCAGGCAGTGAGGCTGGCTCTTCCCACTGCCCCCTTTTACCAAAAAGCTACACTATCAAAAGCTGCATCAGCAGCCGGGGTGAATCCTCTAGCCAGCCATTGTCCTGTGCCAACTTTGCACCCAGGCCGCTCTACGCAAAGTCCCACGGTGCCTCTCCAAACCCTACACAAGCTGACCCAGCCCCATGTACTTGTTTTGCCGTCTTAGACAAATCGTGTCACCTCAATAAATCCCAGTCTTCCTATGTAACTGGGATAACAATTCCACCTCAGGGGTTGCTGGGGAGATTAACCAAGAGAACGTGTGCATGCATCCGGCCTGCGGCAAGCACGGAGTGAACATTAGCCGGTGGGAATGGTAACAGCCGAGAGCAGCCTGAAAAAGGGGAGCGGCCCAACACAGCCCCATGGACAAGAAGAAACTGTGGCACTGTCTTCAAAAAATGAAACCAGAAGTCAAAGAAGAGTAAGAGAGCACTGGCAAGGAAAAAAGTGGGGGCTGAACTGCAAAGGATAAACTAAAACGTGGGAAGGGCCACGAAACCAAACATACAATCTGAGCTGGAAGGTACATGAAGGCACTGTGGGTTGGTGAGAGGTTGAACAGAGGACACAGTGACAGGTTCCCCACAGCCTGTCGCCACATCAAGATTAGGCCAGAAGCAAGAGAGAGGCTGGATCAGTTAGGAAAGGCTAATCTTTGACATTTTTGAGTTCTACTGTCTTTAAATATATATATATACACATATTTATTTTTGTTGCAAAGTCAGATATACAGAGAGGAGGAGAGACAGAGAGGAAGGTCTTCCATCCAATGATTCACTCCCCAAGTGACCCCAACAACTGGAACTGTGCTGATCCTGGAGGAACTTCTTCCAGGTCTCCCACGCGGGTACAGGGTCCCACGGCTTTGGGCTGTCCTCAACTGCTTTCCCAGGCCACAAGCAGGGAGCTAGATGGGAAGTAGGGCTGCTGGGATTAGAACCAGTGACCATACCGAATCTCAGCGTGTTCAAAGTGAGAAGTTTTGCTGCTAGGCAACTGCGCCAGACTCTACTATCTTTTTTATAGATCTTTGTTTTGTTCTCATTCTGGGTGACCAGCTGGCATGCCCAGCTGCCATCTGAACCCTCTAGTCTAACAGAAGCCTATAATGAACCAAAACCCTAAACCATCAATGCTTGTTCATCGGTCACTCATTCATTCATTCATTCATTCGTTCATTCATGATGGATATATTTATTGGTTAAATTGTAATAACTACAAGCATGTGACCAAGCTTTGGAATAATCTGGATATAGATCAAACATAGCCACTGTTTTTTTTTAAAGAGTTTAAAGATTCCTAGGACAAGCAGCTTATAATAATAATGATAATGATAATAATAATTACAACAACTCTTATTTATACTTGACGGACTCTAAGTACCACAAGAGAAAAAGGAACAGAATTCCATGCCAGGGGTTGAAAACACAGCAAATGAGGCTGCGCTGGGCCAGCAAATGTTTTGTTTGGCCCACATGGTGTTTTCTTTTGTTTTTTCAGACTAGGAGCCAACATTTAAAAATTAGGACATTTCACACAGAAACCCAGATTCCCAGCTTCTGGTAGAAATTGGAAGATCTGAGCACACGGGGCGGGTTCCTGCATGGTGGGGCTTGGCAGGAGCCGGGCAGCAGCTGCCTGCTGCAGGCCGAGCAGGCCATTCCCACTGCCCACAGTCCCCGCCGCTCTCCACCAAAGACAAACGTGCAGGTGCTGGCAAGCACCGGTTTACACTGTTGGTACTTTGATAACAGATCGTGGAGTGCTTTTTTGTTTTTGTTTTTCACTCCAATCTCTGCCGAAAGTAGAAATGAGAGACACACACCGGGAGAGCCATGTGTTTCAAGCCAAGCAGGGTACAGGACAGAAGAACAGGCTAAGAAACACGAACAGTTCCTTGTGTCTACTACGCAAATAATCATCTCATGGATGTGACATGCCTGAGCCCTGCAGGCATTTGTGTTTGCCACTTCTGAAACAAGCAAGAAAAAAGAAAAATGACTGTAGTGGGCTGAGGGCTGTTGCTTTTGAAGTGAAGAAAACCTGGACTTGAAAGCCGACTCCATCACTTACTGCATGACCTCGGCAAATGACTGACCCTCTGCGCTAAATTTCCTCCTAGGTAAAAGAGGGGTAATTACAGTAGTTACCTCAGCAGGCTGCGGCAAGCTGACGATGAGCTAAAGGAGCCTTAGTGTGCAGTCGGCGCTGGCCGCAAAGTCATCACTCGCTATTACTCATGCAGCCACCATCTCCAAAGGGACCCTTAATGGATGCTCAGGCCTTCATCACGGGATGAGGCAAGAGGAACGCATGTGCACAGAGGGAGCAGGCCCTCAGACAGAGCAAATGTCAGAGGCTTCCAGAAGCCAAAAGCCGCTGAGCTCTGAGAACTGTCTGTGAGGTTGGCTATCTCCCATAATGCATCTCTGGGATGGATAGATTGAGATGAGCTTTTTTAAAGTTTTTTCTTTGGGCCCAGCGGTGTGGCCTAGCGGCTTAAGTCCTCGCCTTGAACACGCCGGGATCCCATATGGGCACCAGTTCTAATCCGGGCAGCTCCTCTTCCCAACCAGCTCCCTGCTTGTGGGCAGTCGAGGACGGCCCAAAGATTTGGGACTGGCACTCATTTGGAACTCCAGCACATGTAAGGCAAGGATTTACCCATTAGGCTACATCATGGGGCCCGGATTCAGATGAGTTAAAATGGCACAAAATATGGTAGACTCGTAAGGCGAGGAAGTCGTGCTCTGCCACCGCCCACCGTGGCACCTTTGTGACTGTACTTGTGGACAAGGCAGGCCTGGGCATGGAGGCTCCCCAGTAACAGTGTGGAGGAGATCCCTGTGCAAGCGCCTGGGGAACTGTAGCCCCCACTACACCCTTGAGGGAGACCCCACAAAACTCCCCATTCCTGGCTTCCCACCTGTCCCAACCCTGACCTTGACTGGCCATGTGGAGAGTGAAACAGTGGGTGGAAAACTTCTCTCTGCCTCTCCCTCTTGGCAGTTCTGCCTATCCCAATAAAGAATTTTTAAAAAAACGTTACGGTCACTTCGCACCTAATACTCCTTTTCTGTACACGGATTACCAAAGTTTCCGTGTGAAACATGAAAAAAAAAAAAAAAGAACCCACACTTACAGAAATCATCAAGGTTTAATCAAGAGCATGGAGAATACGCAGATGTAGCAAAAACTATCCTTGTGGGAATCGCTGTTGGGAGCTAAGATGAGCCCAGTGCAGATTTCTGCCAGGGCGGTTTCGTGATTACGTATGAAACCGCCTCACAAGGCCACTGCTCCCGTAGTTGGTGCACTTTGCGCCCTCTCCAAGCCTCAGTTTCTCCTGACAAGAGGGGGTGACCCCGCGGGCCCCCAGACCCAGAGCCCAGGGCCCCCTGCCCAGGCCGCAGGCCCGTTGCCCTTGGCGACCGCGCAGGCTCCCACTGTCCCCACAGGCTCCAGTCCTCCCGGTCCTCCCGGACGGCGCCCGCTCCTCACCACTGCTCGACTTTATCTCTCCACGTCAGCACGGCCCTCATCGCGGTTTCCCTCACGCCTCGAGCCCCTCCTCCCCGCCTCAGCCACGGGTTCCCCTCGGCGAGCCAAGTCGGCTACCCGCGCTACCCCTGGCAACGCACATGCGCAATGAGCGGCGCGCGAGGGCGCACAGCTCCAAGTGCGCATGCTTGAAAGGGACCGCCCGAAAAGCCTTAGAAGCCCAAGATGGAACGGAAGCCCAGAGACGTCAGCACTACCAACACGTGTGCGATTGGTCGAAACTGGCTGGGGGGCGGTACGTCTTCCTCAGCGAAGGATTTGATTGGCGTAGTCGTGGAAGTGAGTGGTGGTTGTGGAGCTGGGGGTGCCCGGAAAGCAAATGTGGAGGCTGACGCCTGTTCCTTCAGGCTAGGTTCAGCTCAGTTTTTCCCATCTAGGTCCTTGCACCTCTCGCCCGGAGTCTCCCGCTGGAGCCCGCCTGCGGGTGGCACGGCTGAGATGGAGAGTCCGAGCCTGGGGGACGGCGAAGCTGCCCCTGCAGCCTCCTGTGGCGAGCGCCTAGTCTCCGAGCAGCCTTGCGACTTCGGGCAAGTTCTTATCCCTTTCCGGGCCTCGGTTTCTCTCCACCTGTAAAACGGGAGCTGGGGAGAGACGTGTGAGCCTCTCTAGCTTTCCACAGAGGCCTCTAAGCCCAGGGCTTTAGTTAGTGCGAGCTGGGGCAGGAGCTCACGTCCTACCGTGGGATCAACCCGACTTACCGGGGGAGCTGGCAGAAGAGGGGTTTTGTGATGCCAAGTCAGGGGTCAAAAAGGGATTTTGTGATGCCAAGTCAGGGGTCTTGAACTGGAAAAGGTGGCGTGTCCTGCGTCAGTGGTGGGAGAAAGCCACAGGGGGTGGCAGGGGTTTGTGGTATCCATGCGTGTGTGTGGCATGAGATGATTTACCGTCTTTCAAAAGTTACTCCTCAGAGCTACCTCCAGGGAGGTGTTAACTACTGTTTAGGGGAGAAGCCCGACTCAGAGCTTCAGTAACTTGCTTTGGGGCGTGTGCACAGCTGGGAGCAGCAGAGCAGGACTGTGTGAGCCACCTGCGTGGACAGCCCAGCGGATGCGGATCTCAAAAGCTTTCCGCCTCCTTACCTCTGAAATCGGAAAGTGTCTTTCCTGGAAACAGTCCCGCTCCCCAAATTACCCGACCTTGCGGCTCATTCTAGTCAGTCGCTGGAGTTGGTGACTGGGATAGGCAGCCACCCTTTCAAATGTGTGACAGCACAGGGGAAGGACTAGCCGCCCAGGACTTAACCAGACCTGGCTTCTGGTGTCAGTTCTTTAAGTGATTTCATAAAATGAGGATAAACTATCTTACCCGTTTCACAAAATTATCATGAAGATCGGTTATTAAGGAGGTTGAAAATTCGGTCTCAGTAATTATTTTAGGAAGCTGGCTACATCTGACAAAAAGGATGGCCCAGAAAAACACCCATGTGAAATGTTTACCTTGCCTTCTGGGGAGGCTGGAAGGGCAGGGCAGAATAAATGACAATCACCAACCCCTATGCAGGATTCTGTTGATTGCACAGCTTAAGGCCTCAGCTATTAGCTCATATTCTCAGATACATACTCCAAATGCCCCCCGGAAATCTGCATCAGCCTTATTGGATGGCTAGTGCTTTTAATAGAGGTTTCTCTTAATTTTTCAATTATGTTGGAGGATAAGTAGCTGCTACTGGTGGATACGAAGATAATCTCATAGAACAGGACCGGCTCATCCTGCTGGCTTGAATCTCTCCCGTTTCCATCTGAGTAATTCCACATGGTCATGGATTGACGGGCCATGAGGAAAGGGGCCTTCATCACTTGTTTTGTCTTTCCAGGGATGAGGTTGCCACGGGATGGGAGAGAGTGGGAGAAGATGGGATCGAGGAGGCGATGTGTGGAAGCAGTGAGGGTAACCCTCTGCTCCCAGATCCCACTGCTGCTGCTGAGCTGGGTGGCACTGCAGCTACAGAATGTCCTCGGTCTGTCCCTGGTGGATGGGAACGAGTCGTGAAGCAAAGGTTATCCGGGAAGACAGCAGGAAAACTTGATGTGTATTTTATCAGGTAAGCTCATGTCGTGGGAAAGACGGTACAGTCAAATGCCTTTGTCTAGACACGCCCTGGGAATGTACAACAGGCCCCTGCTCTTATTTCTGTTTTTACCGAGAAAATACTGAGGATTCTGTTCCTTGGTGTCATTGGTTCATTATATCATGTGATTTGGGGACAGTTAGACATTTTGTCCCCCCCTACTGTATGAACAGTTAGTTAATGATGTAGTTGTACTTCCATTCTATTATAAAATCATTCTGTGCTGCTATAGGGGATGCCATGTTCAAGTGCCCTATAGCACTGTTTTTTTTCAACAAGAGGTGCTCATTACAACATTTGGAAATGATTACTTAGGAATCTAGAAAGTAGTCCAGTTCGTTTTAGAAGTCACTTTTTTCTCTAGCAGTAAAAAGTTTCATTCAATATTGTCTAGCCCCCAGGGACGAAAGTTCAGATCCAAAAGGTCAATTACCAATTATCTTCACCAAAGTGGAGAGACTTCCCTTAAGCCAGAAGATTTTGACTTTACGCTACATCCCACAAGGGGTACCAAGTCAAGGAAGAAAGATAGCAGCTTGGCTGCGGTAATATCTCGACCACAAAACAACAGTAACATTTCAACCTGGAACGTCAGGACGCGACAAAGGTGGGGCAAGGATGTGTGTCCGCAGCCGAGTCGTTGTTCTGAGTCGTCAGAGAGTGGAGGACTCTCTGAGCTTACCTCTGCTCAGTGGCTTGCCCAAGAAAATGGGCGTGTTCCTGGTACTGACTGTGGAAAAGAGAGAGAGCCCGAAGGAGAGATGGCTGTGTTAAAAGGAATTCAAACTAAGAAAACTAAAAGAGGGCGCAAGAAAAACCTTCCAGATTGTGCCTCAAGTGATAGGAAAAGGAACTGTACATCTAATGGGGCAGATGCTGAAACAGAGCCTGATCCACGAAGAAGTCAGCGTGGCACAACTCCACGGGTTTCTGATGGCAGAGCAAGCAGCGAGCCCCCTGGGGTGACCAGCGCGGAAAAGAGCCTTGTCAAAGAGAAGCCGAATTCAGGGTCAAGTCTTCACGGATTATGTGCAGCCAGAGCTGCAGGGCACAGCGAGAAGCAAGAGGCGGCCTCTTCAGAACTAGAGGAGAAAGGAGAAGCTGGGGAAAGCAAGGAACATTTGCATATTGACGCTTTAAAATGCGGCTCTGAAGTGGACAGCAGCTGCTCGCAAACCGAAAAAGACTTCACTTCTGAAAAAATATTTCAAGGTATTCAGTGCTTTAAAGTGCGGTTAGACACTGTGTGATGAGGAAGTTAGACTGTAAACAGTTAAGTTAAAGGAATAGGACCAAGAAGTGAGGTCACAGGTGAGATGCCGTCTAACAGTGGATCCTAAGACCTTTGTCGTACTGAAATTCCGGTTCTTTTCCTGTAGCAAACAGAGGGATCGGCTGGTCACTGCCCTGGTGCCAGGGCAAAGCCGCCAGGGCCTCTCCGCGTGCCTTTTCGGTCACGTTTTCCTTCCCATTCTCGTGCCAGCTGGTGATCTTGCGACTTTAAGGGAAATGAGAAAGGTTTCACACGTGACAGACGTAGGCAGCTTATGCCTGACTGTCCCAGCCCAGTCGGTATCTGCTCTTTGCACTCCTCCTGTTACTTACTCCTGATGAGTGACTGCCAATTTAATTTTGTGCATATCATAGTCATTTTTAGTTTCTATTATAATGTAATACGTCTCTAAAATGCCTTGGTGCTCTAAATAATTCAGAAATATAATCACATAGTTCATCTATTATTTGTACTGTGCTCTTAATACAGAGCTGAGAGCTTAGCAGTTTTGCCTTTATGGTACCTCAGTGAATAAGAGAAAAAAGCAGCCCTTTTGAGCAGCCCTGTATTAGTTATTCATTATGCCATTATGGTCTAATGAATAACTCTTTAAAGAAGAATGGTAATTTTACTTAAAATCCTTTGGGAACACAGCCTGAACAAATTGGTGGAGTAAGGGGTGACACTTGATGCCTGCTGTGTCCCACCCATGGCTTTGTGTCTCCTCAGAGACTGGAATTTTTATGCCTTTAACAGAAAATTCTTGTCTGTCTAGGGACTGTATAAGAATTGTTCAAGTCTTCCATATAAAGCCTTTGAGCTTCATAATATAAACCTTGAGGTTTATGCAGGTTGATTACGGTTGAAATGAGTGCTTTAATGACTGAGATGGAAACAATCCTAGCCATCGTAGATTTAATCAAGTATAGCTCTCAACAGATAAGGAAATATTCTCTAAGTTGCTTGATGTCCAGTGGCGTGAGGCTTCCTAATAACTTGGGTAGAAATTGCCAAGTAAATTGGTAATATAGTGCCTGGCACAGTGGCCTAGCTGCTAAAATCCTCGCCTTGCACACACCAGGATCCCATATGGGTGCTGGTTCTAATCCCAGCAGCTCCACTTCCCATCCAGCTCCCTGCCTGTGGCCTGGGAAAGCAGTCGAGGATGGCCCAAGGCCTTGGAACTCTGTACCTGCATGGGAGACCCAGAGCTCCTGGATCCCAGCTTCAGATCTGCGCAGCACCAGCCATTGCAGTCAGTTGGGGAGTGAATCATCAGATGGAAGATCTTCCTCTCTGTCTCCCTTTCTATCTGTATATCTAAATTTCCAATAAAAATAAAATAAACTTTTTATAAAAAATGATATGTAGAAAGCTATTTGGTGATTATTTATAGGGACTTGCAGAAAAAGTTAACAAGTAGCTAGTAAGAGCAGTTCCCTCTGTTTCTGTTTTACTTTATGCTGAGCTTCTGCTTACACTAGAACGGGGATAGCACTGTGGTGCAGCTGGCATCCAGAGCACAGGTTCCAGTCCCGGATGCTGCACTTCCAGTCCAGCTGTGTGCTGATGTGCCTGGGAAGCAACAGATGAGAGCCCACGTCCTTGCGCCTGTGTGAGGGACCAGAGCGCTGGGCTGCTGGCTGCTGGTGCACCTACGGCCATCGTAGCCATTTACAGAGTGACCTGCTAGATGGAAGAACTTTCTTTCACTCTCTCCTACTTTCTTGCCACCTCCTACTGTTTTGTTTTGTTTTGTTTTTCTCTCTGTTTCAAGGATTTGTTTTCTATTGGAAAGGCAGATTTATGCAGAGAAGGACAGAGAGAAAGATCTTCCATGCTGGTTCACTCCCCACGTGGCTACAATGGCTGAAGCTGAGCTGATCCAAAACCAGGAGCCAAGAGCTTCTTCCTGGTCTCCCACGTGGGTGCAGGGTCCCAAGGCTTTGATCTGTCCTCCTCTTATTTCCCAGGCCACAAGCAGAGAGTGGGGCAGCCAGAACAGGAGCCGGTGACTGCAAGGGATGCTGGTGCTTACAGCTGAAGGACCAGCCAGCCGAGCATGGTGCATCCCCTCTGTTTTTTCCCTTCTTCTTTCCTTCTCTTCTTCCCTCCTTTCTTCTCTCACTCTGCTTGTCAAATAAATCTTTAAATTAAAAATCAGAGAAGAAGCATCAGCAAACTAGAAAAGCAAAGAACACTTTAATTATTTGGAACCTGGATTCTTGTTCCAACCTCTAGCCAATCCCAGTAATGTTTTGGGAGAGTTGTTTAATTTTTAAGCTTCAGTTTTTTTCAAATGTAAAAAGCAACAATCCTCACTAGACCTGTTTTTCACGTCTAGAATATTATTAGGCAAAATGAGAAGTGAAAGTAATGTTCAAATTTATAGGGTATAGCTAAAGGAAGTACTACTAAATATAGTGATTTTAGAAATTTGAGAAGCAGGGCCCGGCGCAATAGTGTAGTGGTTGAGGTTCTTGCCTTGAACACACCGGGATCCCATATGGGCACTGGTTCTAATCCCGGCAGCTTCACTTCCCATCCAGTTCCCTGCTTGTAGCCTGGGAAAGCAGTCGAGGACGGCCCAAAGCCTTGGGACCCTGCACCCATGTGGGAGACCTGGAAAGAAGTTCCTGGCTCCTGGCTTCAGATCAGCACAGCACTGGTTGTTACGGCTACTTGGGGAGTGAATCATCGGATGGAAGATCTTCCTCTCTGTCTCTCCTCCTCTCTGTACATCTGCCTTTCCAATAAAAATAAATAAATCTTTAAAAAAAAAAAAAAAGAAATTTGAGAAGTAATAAGGCGGATTCCTTGGAGGTAGAACGGCCCAGTAATGGTCTCAGGTGTTCCAAATCTTAGGTTTTCTTTAATAATTTTTTTGGGGGGAGGAGTGGCTAATGTAAGTGTTCAATAAAGAAATCTTGAAAAAAGAAGAAGAAAATTATGACTCAGCAACAGCCATTACACCATTTTGCTTTAAGATTTATTTATTTTGAAAATTATTTTATTTATTTTTAAATTATTCTGATTTATTTTGAAAATCAGAGAAGCAGAGACAGAGAGGATCTCCCATCCATTGGCTCACTGCCTGGTGCAGGCCAGGAGCTCCATCCTGGTCTAACGTAGGAGCGACAGGGGTTCTGACCCGAACCCCTGAGCCATCTCGCATTGCCTTCCTCAGGCCACTGACAAGGAGCCGGATTGGAAGTGGAGCACCCAGGACACTCACCAGTGCCTGTGTGGGATGCCATTGCTGCAGGTGGTAACATGACACATTGTACCGAAACACCGGCCCCCCATTTTTTTTTTTCATTTCTCATTTGAAAGATCTTCCATCCAGTAATTTACTGCTTAAATGCCTGTAACAACCAGGGCTGGACCAAGTTGAAGTGAGGAGCCCAGAACTTTCCAGGTCTTTCACATGTGCTGCAAAAACCTGTGCTTGAGCCACCCACCTGCTGCCTCCCAGTATGTGCCTCTGCAGGATGCTGGATTGGAAATGGAGCAGCTGGGACTCCACCCAAACCCTAGTGCAGGTTGTGGACATCCCAAGTGGCAAATTACCTACTGTGCCAGTTACCCATCCTTCAAAAACATTTTCACATCAGTTGGACAAGTGGTTCAAACAAGGATTCAGACCAAGTTACCTGGGTTTGAATTTTAGCTCTGATTGTGTGACCTTGGGCAAGTTTCTTAATTTCTGTGTGCCTCAGTTTTCTTTGTCTGTAAAATAGAGATAATACGGTGCCTAGCTCACGATAGTCAGGATTCGGTTGGTTAACGTATGCCAGTGCCTAGAATGGCGTTTGGATGGCGTTACGGCCGCGGGAGTGTCGCTGGCATCTGCGTCCCGGCATGTTTGTTGAGGCTGAACCACACATTCCGTGATCAGTGTTCACTTCTCTCTTTCAGAAGACACCATCCCACGCACACAAATCGAAAGAAGAAAAACAAGCTTGTATTTTTCCAGCAAGTATAACAATGCAGGTATGCTTTGCCCAGTGAGGGAAAAAAAAAATCAGATTTGTTTTAATCTGCTTTTTAATTGGTCTTGATGCAGTGCGTTTGTTTAGGTCTTAGCCCCCCACGACGAAAAGCCTTTAAAAAGTGGACACCTCCACGGTCACCTTTTAACCTCGTCCAGGAAACACTTTTTCACGACCCATGGAAGCTTCTCATCGCAACCATATTTCTCAATCGGACCTCAGGTTTGTGAATACTTCTCACCTTATCTTCAGAGAGACTCATGAGCAGCAAGAGTGCTGGGTTGACCGGGCAGCCTGCGTGCCAGGGTCATTCCAGATCTGAGTGACCTCAGGGGCAGCCCTCCCGGTCCAGCCCCAGGGCTCTTCCCCCTGAGATTAGGCTGGGTACAGCCCACAGCCTCGCCAGCACTAAGCACAGCTTGTCTTCTTCCCAGCTCGTTTTGGCCATCCTGTCGTTCTGCCCTTTGACTTGTATGAAAGCCTGTAGTCCCCTGACTGCAGCTGGTGCTCTGCGCTGGTTCCCTGCTCATCCAGTGGTCTCGGGCTCGTCTCGTGCGTCCAGGCTTCAGAATCAGCAGATGACCAGTGCTGGGCTTTCCCTCTGAAAGTACTTGTCAGCCCACCTAGATAGTGACTGCTTGTCAGCCTTTAAGAAAACCAACACAAACCTCTGAGCGCAATTTCTAGACGGAAGAAGGCAATGTGTGTCTAGCAGTCATTTGGTTATTTTCACTTCCCAGGCAGAATGGCCATACCTGTGCTCTGGGAATTTCTGGAGAAGTACCCTTCAGCCGAGGCAGCCAGAGCCGCAGACTGGAGAGACGTGTCCGAGCTCCTCAAGCCTCTTGGTCTCTATGATCTCCGAGCAAAAACCATCATCAAGTTTTCAGGTGCTTTCCCATAAATTCAGGGGGGAAAGCATACATTTCACCCACCCAGGAGAGCCACGCTTTAAACATGAATGTCCTTGGAGGCTCCGTTAATGGAAGTTATTCCACTCAAGTACCAAAGGCTTGGGAAAAAAAAAAAAGCAGTGTCCCTGCCCCATCCCACATGCTTCTACCGACTCATTCCATCCGTCTTTGCGGGGCACTGGCTCAGAACCCATGGACAGGATTGGGAGGAGGAGTTAGTGAAGCAGAAAGCCCAACCCTAGGCCTCCAGACTGACACCTCTGTCTTAGCACAGCACAAGAACGTGGTTAGGACAGGGCCGAGCGGTAAGGCAGCTGGGAGCAACCGGGTTCAGAGTCTCCTCATTCCTTCCCGCTGTCCTCTACAGCCCTCGCGCGCGCGCACACACACACACGCACACACACATGTTTAGGGGAAGTGTCTTTGTAGGGACCGACCTGACATGCGGAATATTGCATTCCTCAGATGAGTACCTGACAAAGCAGTGGAAGTATCCAATTGAGCTTTATGGGATCGGTAAATACGGCAATGACTCCTACCGAATTTTTTGCATCAACGAGTGGAAGCAGGTAAGGCCCTCTGTTAGCCTCAGCATCCAGTACATTTTATGTCTGCACCCAATGAAATGTTTTGACCTTAGGTTAGAAATAAGTCCACCAGGGCCCGGCATGGTAACCTAGTGGTTAGAGTCCTCACCTTGCATGCGCTGGGATCTCATGTGGGCACCAGTTTGTGTCCCGGCTGCTCCACATCCCTTCCAGCTCCCTGCTTGTGGCCCAAGGCCTTGAGACCCTGTACTCCCGTGGGAGACCCAGAGGAGGCTCCTTGCTCCTGGCTTCGGATTGGCTCAGCTCTGGCCATTGCAGCCACTTGGGGAGGGAACCAGCAAATGGATGATTTTTGTCTCCTTCTCTCTATAAATCTGCCTTTCCAATGGAAAAAAAAAATCTTAAAAAAGAAAAAAAGAAGTCCACTATTATAACTGTTTCTAGGACACCAGACCTAGTCTGTGTGGCCCCTTTTGTTCTCAGTTTAGAGACTGGCTGATGGCGTGGGATTAGAGAGAAAGGGTCCCAAGTCCATAAACACCCATTGGAATGGCCTCTCCTGTAGGCTGTAGAGACACAAACACATTAGCTGTCACCTCCCGGGTCCCATTAGCAGGTGGCTGGAATCAGCAGTGGACTTGAACCCAGACACACTGAGGTAGGGCGTTGACATCCCAAGCCATCTTCGCCCCTCTGCCAGGTGCCTGCCCCAGTAGAAGGCTTAGTTTAACATTCAACAATTCCACCCTACTGAGGGTTGTCACACATTTCAGTCGTATTACCATAATGTACTTCTCCTGCCAAACCTTTAAGAAGCTAGCTTTCAATTTTTTTTTTTAAAGACTTTAAAAAATATATTTAACTGAAAGGGTGACAGAAGGAGAGTGAGAGACAGGGAGAAAGCGATCTTCCATCCCCTGGATCATTCCCCAAAGGTCTGCGGCAGCCAGAGCTGGACCAGGTGGGAGCCAGGAGCCTGAACTCCGTCCAGGTCTCCCACATGGGTGCATGTTCAAGCTTGTGTTGCCTTCCCAGACGCGTCAGCAGGGAGCTGGATCAGGGACAGAGCAGCCAGGACACGGACTAGGGCTGTCGTGCAGTGCCGATGTCCCAGCTGGCAGCTCAAACTGCCGTGCCATAGCACAGCCCCTAAAAATGTGTTTCTGACTAACGTACGTAAGACTTTTGTCTTCTAATGTGTTGTATTTTTTTTTTTCTAGGTGCACCCTGAAGATCACAAGTTAAATAAATATCATGACTGGCTCTGGGAAAACCATGAAAAATTAAGTCTGTCTTGAAGCTTTCAAACTTGCCTTTTATGCATTGCTTTGCACTTTAGTTCCTAATAGCTCCAGTAGCACACCCAGCCACTTTTTTCAGAGATGTAGATTTTAATAAACCCAACTAGAAACCTAGTGAGTATTTTTTTTCTCTGTCTCTCTCTCTCTTTTTTTTTCTTTATTTTGTAAAAGAAATGACCAGAAGAAAGCCTCATCTACTATCCCATGCCTCCCCCCACCCCCACCTGTACATACAAGTGGCCAAGATTAACTCCAGGAATTCAGTCCAGGCCTCCCCTGTAGCTGGCAGTACCCAGGCACCTGACCGTCATCGCTGCCTCCCAGGGTCCACAGCGACAGGAAGCAGGAATTGAGAGCTAGAACTGAGAATCAAACCCAGGCACTCCAATGAGACTCAGGCATCATCCTGGCTGACCACCACCCGTGGTGTGTATTTTCTTAATATGTGTGTCACTGGTGGATCATGTGCTAGAACACATTTTTAAGATTAAATCATAATCATGTTGCAAGAGTCTTTAAAAATATACAAGTTTTTCAATAATGAAATGCAGTATGAAGGTGAAACACTTATCTAAACTATTGATAATATAAAGCGATTTTGTGGGCCCAGTGCGATGGCTGAGTTACCCGATTTTCTACCGCCAAGTGCCGAGATTCCATCTGAGCACCGTTTCGTGTCCTGGCTGTTTCACTTCCCATCCAACTCCCTGCTTGTGGCCTGGGGAAGCAGTTGAGGACGGCCCAAAGCCTTGGGACCCTGCACTTGTGTGGGAGACCCGGAAGAGGCTCCTGGCTCCTGGTTTTGGATTGGCTAAGCTCTGGCTGTTGGGGCCATTTGGAGAGTGACTCAGTGGACGGAAGATCTTCCTGTCTGTATCTGACTTTCCATTAAAAATAAAATCTTTAAAAAAAAAAAAGTCTTGAGCTCTTGAAATGGCTAATTGAAGGCATAATTTGAAGATCAAATTGGTTAAATGAAGCATGAATCACTTGGTGGGGAGACTGCCGTTGTAGAGTGACTGCGTGGCTGTTTGCTCGTTAGTGAGCCAGTGTCCAGCCTTGGCACTGACTTGGCACGCCTGTAGTTTCTCCGTGACTTCCTCAAAGTGGCGCCAAAAGAACCCGGTTCACTCAGCGGCCGGGGCACTCCGCTCCCGACGGTAGCCAGCAGGTGGCGGCCTTGGGCCAACCAGCACTAGGCGTCCGTAGTCATGGCAACATAGAGCGTCTGCGCTCAACCCTAGGGACTGTTTTGTTAGCCTGCTCCCTTTCCCAGTGCCGCTATAAGAGATGGTTCATACGAAATGGATAAGAACCTGTTGGCGCTGGTCGTTAAGTTCCGGGGAGCAGCACCCTCTGCGGGAAGCTCTCGGCGCCCCACTGAAATGTATGAGGTCAATGATTTGTCTAAGATCTCATTGTGTCGTTCCCACACTAGGTAAAAGGTTGTCCATGAGTCCAGGCCAGTCAGGTACCTTTCTGCGATGGCCGCGCCTCAGTCTGATGGCAGTTCCGGGTCAAGTTGCCCTCCGTCGCTGCGGGAGGTCCGATCGAACCTCAGAGGTGTAGAACGGAGCTAAGTAGTCATTTCAGAAGAAGCAGGGGTGAATGCGGCTAGGTCCCCGAGGCGCATGCTGGAGTCAGAGACCCGCAGAGTATTGGGGGTGGGGAGGAACACTTCCAGGCCCTGCAAGACGTCTTTACACCCCAGGGCTTCTAGAGCAGAAAAGGGAGGAAAGGCAATTGAGCAAGACAGTAGCATCTCCGGGGCCAGGTGTCCCCAGGACACTGCTGGCAGTCCATCCCTGGAGACGAAGCGAGAGCTCAGAGAGGACCAGGTGGTGAAAGATCTTGCAGGCCAGAGGATGGAGAAGCTGCTGGGGTGGCAGGATCTGGGGTGGTCAGCCAAGGCCAAAGCATGTGGTGGGGTGGGGAGACAGATGTGGGGCCAGCAAGCCTGAAGGCTGGAATCCTGTTGCCTCTTCTCCGGCACAAAAGTCATCCATGTCCAGTGGAGAAACTGGGCAAGCCCAGGGATCCGGCTGGGGCCCCAGGGAAATAGGCCGGGGTTGCTTGGGGGGTGGGAGAGAGGCGCCAGGCTGGGCACACTGCTGAGAACAACAGAGGCAGCTGTCAAAGGGGAAGCCTGAGCAGTGAGGTGTCTTTCCACAGGGTGGGGCTCAGGCCGGGAGCACCGATTAGGAGGGGATTGGGGGCCGGACCCAATTCCAGTCTTGGCTGGTTAAGGTTACGACCATGGAAAGTCACCCACGTGGAGATGTTTTAGGAGTAACTGCATGTATAAAACTGGAGCCAATTTCAGGTCATAAAGGTTGACAGGTGTGTCCTCCGCTAAAAGAGAGTCATGAAGCGTGGAGGGGCCAGTGGGAGAAGGAATGGGGCCTGAGCACTCATACCTGGACGGGCAGGGAAGGTGGCAGCCAAGAACAGCGGCTCCAGAGGAGGGGACCTTGGGAGGGATCGGAATCAGAACATAGGAAATCGCAGGATTGCCTTCAGACACTTCAGAAAAGAGGGACCAAAGGTATTGGGGGGCATCTATTGCGGGGAGAACGAGGTGGACCCTATTGGTAGAAATTCCAAAGAAGCAGGCCGCAGGGTTAGAGAACTTCACGTCGCAGAAGGGAGACGCGTTGTCAACAAAGTCAGCCACACCTGACGCAGAGCCGAGTGGGCTCCAGAGCTGATGCCCGGCATTTCACATGGTCTGTGTGCATGGACCCCGTCACTGTAACATCCCTCTCAGAGGACACGGGACCTCAAGGAGCATTAGAGTGACACTGCGTGGGAGGTTGTCGTGGCCAAGTGTGAGGTGGACTGCAAACTATGAGACGAAAAGGGCTTGGCCAGCCTAACACATGGGCGAGCTGAAACCAGAGCCAGGCAGGAGCCAGTGCAGCGGGGGCCCTATGAATAGGGAACAGGTTGGGGAGAGGAGAGGGAGCAGTACAGGGCAGGGCTTCAGCCTAGGGAGGTCTGTAGACCCTGGTAGGAGGGACAACCCCTAGGAAGACAGATCCCAGGAAATGTCACTTCCTTGCACATCTTAAAGTCTGTAGGCCGAGAGCAACAGGACCAGTGAGGGGTGGAAGTCTCACAGACTGACATGACACCAATTTCATTTCCCCCCAACTTTCTCCTGCACACACAGTGTGCTTCCAACATGGGGAGCTGTTTAGCGACCCTCAAATCCATTCTTTCCCCATGCTGCCCTTCCAGCCTTCAAACCTGATTGTCCTTTAAGGCCCACATCCATGACCCCTCTACTTGATGAATTCCCAAGCTCCCTGGCCATCACCTAGGTGACGGGTAAACAATGAGCATTGCACCAGGACACTGGAGGTCAGGTGCCAGCTTGGATTCTAGTCCCCCCTGTGATCTTGGACCTCCGTCATGGACACAGTCACAGTCGGCTAGGTCTGTCCTTTTGCCTGTTGACTCGCTGACAGGATGTTGGCTGCCCCCCCAGGTACTATAAAAAGGCTGCAGCTCCAGCAAGGAGTGAGCAAGGTCATGGTCTTCATGGCACTCAGAGTAAACGCTGGAGTTATGCTGGGAATCTCAAAGGCAGACATGCACCTGAGCTAAGGACCGAACAGGACACCTTCACGTGGAACAACAGGATTTTGGAACGAGCTCACTGCAGCCCACAGTAACTCAAAGAGGAAAAAGGAAGCAGATAAGCCAGAGGCAGGGCGTGGGCTGCCCAGCGGATAGCCCTGGACATCCACGCACAGCGTGGATCCTCGGCAGGGAGGAAAGGGAGCTGGGGCTGGAGGGTGAGCAAAGAGCAGCCTAGGCCAAAGCCTGAGGCAGGATGGACTGGAATTGCTTGCTCAAGGCATCTGGGGCACAGGAGGAAAGGGAGGTCGGGGGACGGGGGATAGGTGGACAGAAGGGAGGCCTGCAGCTTTATTTTGATGGCCAATGAAAGGCAAGGAAGAGTCTGAAGAGGAGGGCAGGGTCAGGGCAGGCCTAGTGGCACAGAGGGTTAAGTTGCCACTTGGGATGATCCTGGTTCCAGTGTGAGTTCCAGCTTCTCTGCTTTGAATCCAACTCCCTTCCAACATGCCTGGGAGGCAGCAGGTGGTGGCACAAGCCCCTGGGCCCCTGCCACTCACATGAGGGACCCAGGCTTTGGCCTGGCCCAGCCCTGGTTGTTAGGGGCATTTAGGAAGTGAAGCCTCCCACCCCGCAGCCAGTCAGGGCATGGCCAGACTCAGAGCCCAACTCCACAGCTCCTGAGCATCTGCTGGGGAAGGTGCTGTGTGGCCTAGCTAATCAGACAGGATTGCATTTTATTTTTCTAGTTAATTCTTGTGGCCCATGGGAAGTGCTGGTAGCTGCAGGTGGAGAGAATGAAATAAGAGAAGGTTCATAAAGCACTTAGATCGGTGCCTGGTCTGGGGCGTGTCCAGGCACGTCAGGTGAAAATTATCTTCCTCCTTGTAGCGAGGCAGTGATAAAGCCTGGCACCCAGCATGATGCTGAAACATTTCTTTTTCCTTCCCATGCTTTGTGCAAACGATCTTACTTATAACGCTCTTACCACAGTATTCTACCACTCGTCCATCGAAGATGAAAACACCATCCAGGTCCCCGCCTTCAATCCTGAGCCGTTCACTGCCCACTGCTTCAAGCAGTTCAAGCAAAAGGATTTGTGCCTGCCTCAGAGCCGACGGAGGGTCATCACCGCGTCGGGCCAGGGGGAGCGTTCGCCCGCCAGCCCCCGCCCTCAGCCCCAGGCTCCTCCAGCGCCCGTCCCCCGCAGCAGAGCCCTGGAACCGGAAGGCAGCCAAGAGCTGCAGGAGGACAGGAAGAGCTGGCTAAGCAAGACGTTGAGGCTGAAGCAGGAGCTGGACGCCTTCGGTGACTTGCAGAAGTGGCTGCAGAACAAGGCCAATGTCACGCCTCTGGAGGCCAAGGTCCTACACATGGTCCACAGGGAGCAGGCTGCTCGACTGGAGGACCCTTTGACCCTTAGCAGGGCTGTCAAGGTGAGCAGCCCCATTTGCCAAAGGCGTTAGGGACTTCCTGTCTTTGTGTTGGGTAGGATGGGAATGGCTCGCCCGATTTCACAGAAGGGTGAGCTGAAACCCCGAGAGGAGGCACATTGGTCACCTGTTTGCTCATGACAGGGTCTCCAGGCTGTCTTGAAGCAGCACGGTTTCTGAGATGCCAGAATCTAGGAGCAGCAGAGCAGGGGGCTTTTAGTTCAGTGTGTCCTCTGGGATGTTAGTCAAGAATTGGCCTGTGCCACAGTCACCTGCAGTCTGCCCTGGGGCACAGGGATCCACTGCCAGGCTGGCTCACACAGGGCTGCTGGGAGGTGACCTCAACTCCTCCCACACCCACATTCTGGTTGAGCATCCCCACAACATGGCTGCCGCTGGCTCCCCCTAGTGGGCACAGCCAGGAGGGACCAGAGCAAGAAGGTGGCAGTGCCTGTTGGAAAAAAATAAAAAGGAGAGAGAGGGGAAGGGGCCGACGCTGTGACCCATCATGCCTTGCTGATCCAGCTCCCTGCTAAGGCCTGGGAAAGGCGCTGGAAAATGGCCCAAGTGCTTGGGGCTCTGAGAGCTATATAGGAGACCCAGATGAAGCTGCTGGCTCATCCTGGCCCAGACAGGCCTGGTCTCAGTTTGGCTCAGCTCTGGCTTTTGTGGCCATTTGGGGAGTGAACCAAATGTCTCTCCTTCTCTCTGTAAATCTGATCTGCCTTTCCAATAAAAATAATAAATAAAACCCCTCATTGTCGACACCAGTGTCGTGGCACAGTGGTTTAAGCCACTGTCCACAACATTTGCATCCCACGTGACTGACAGTTTGAGTCCCGGCTGCTCCACTTCCAGTCCAGCTCCCTGCTAATCCACCTGGAAAAGCAGCAGCAGCGGACCCAAGCACCAGTCCACTACCGCCCATATGGGAGACCCGTATGGAGCGTCAGTTTTCTGGCTTCAGCCTGGCCCAATGCAGCCACTTTGGAAGTGAACCAGCAGGTGGGAGATTCCCTCTCTTTCTCTGGGTGTTTCTGTCTTTCTCTCTCCTGCTCTGTGTGTGTTTCTCCCTCTTTGTAACTCTGCCTTCCAAATTCTAAGTCTTGTTCAAAAGTTACGTTAACATACTCTTGTTTATGTGTGTGCTCTGTGCACCGGGCTGTTGTGACGCTCACAATGGCGAGGCTGGGGGAAGCCGAAGCTTGCCAGACCCTCGGAGACGGAATGACCAAGTCAGTAGCAGTGCCTCGTCTCTGCATGGCTCCCCTTGCAATACAACCATGTGAAACTTCTGCCCCTTCAGCTGGGATATGGGGTCAGGGAACTGGGATTTAAGCCCATCTCTGCTGCTTCCTTGCTGGGCCAGTGGAGCCTCGGTTTGCTCATCAATGAAGTGGGAGTAAGCACGGAGCCCACCTCTCAGGGTTGTTGTGACATCCAAGTGGATTAGTTCATAGCGGTGGCTTCATAAGCATGAGGAATGTAGAGCCCTCCATGGACAGCGGCCACCTTCTTACGCTGCCTTCTTTCCGGAGACGTGCCACCATGTCCACCCAGATGAGGAAGCTCAGCGCTGCCAGCTTGCCCAGGTCCTGGGATGCTGTCATGGCAGGTCCCCAGGCTGTGCTGAACCCTGTGCCCCGGGCACTGCCCCTGGCTTCTCTTCCCTTCTCACTGGCCCTGGGACCCCAGCTTTGTTGTTGGTCTGTCACCCTCACGTTCTCCTTGCCCCCCATTCTCTTCCTCTTCCAGAAGGAAGGCCTCCATATCTCTTCCCGCTGGACGGTGCCCCAGCTCCGCCTGCCCAGGCCCTCGTCCCTGTCAGTCATGTTTTCCTACCTGCACAACCGCAGGATTGAGATCCTGGATGTTTTTAACAAAGCCGACTGGAACAAGCACCACAAGATTACCAGGGAGCAGTTCATCCTGGCTCTCAAGGCAGTGAGTGTCACCCACTCCCCTGCTGGGCCTGGCTGGGCAGGTGCACCTGCACCCTCCCCCTTCCCCTCTCCCCTTCCCCTCCATCCCCCACACAACTCAAGGACCACAGGGAGTTCAGACTGTCATCCGTGTAGCTTACAAAGCCTTCTTGGAAAAAAAATGTGGCTTACCCTATAGCAGAATCAGACCCTTGCATCCACCCCCACACTCTCTGTGAGTCTGTAATACCCACCCTCCGACCAGCTGACTGCTTAGGAAGCTGCCATCTTGCCTGCCAGACTCCAGAACTGAACCCAGAGGCAGCGGGGCCTTCAGTCCTGCCTCCGGAAGCTTCTAGAGCTTCTGAAGCTATCATTGGTATCTGAATCATGTGGGGTCTGGTCAAAATGCAGCTTCGGTGGGAAGCAGTGCCTGACCCTGTAAGAGGGAGACCTCACTGGATGAGGGTCTGAAGGCAGGGGCGGGTGCACGGAGGGAGAGGGTACGTGGCCAGAATTCCAAGTGTGTCCAGGGACCAGGAAAGGAGGGTTGGGCACAGGTGGTCCAGGCTTTGGCCTTGGAGACAGGGCATTGGGACAGGAGCCCGCCTGCAGGGGGCGTGTCTTTCCTCCCCAGATGAGGATCCCTCTGATGCAGCACGAGGTGGAGGACATCGTGATCTACCTGGGCTCTCTGGGCAAGCACAGCGCCATCACCCTGGAGATCCTCACCAGCACCTACAAGAGGTGGTGCCTGACGCAGCAGAGGAGCACCGTGCCCACGGCCAGGGAGTGTGCGTGCACACACACACACACACATGCACACCCACATCGCCGCCCCAGTCTGCAGGGCAGGCAGCCCCAACTTCTCCTTCAACACACACTTTCTGAGTGTGTTCCTCCACTCTGGCTTCCGGGGTGCTGGCTGAGCCTCTGGGATTTTTAGGCTCACAGATGGACTCAGGAGGAGTTACTGTGTCCTTTCGTGGACCGGTGAGGCCCGGTCCAAAGGCAGTGGGTCAGCCCTCGCAGCAGCGAGCCTTTCCCACGAGCTCCCTGGGGTAGGACAAGAGAGCGGCGTCCTCCAATTGCTATCTTGTGAAAGTCCCGTTTGCCACTTGGTGGAAACAGGTGACAGAGATGAGATGAGCCACAGGAAGGTAGGGCAGCGCAGGAGAGGGAGGCCACAGCCGGGAGGTTGTCTTAGTGGGCGCTAACCAGACATGTGAGCAGAAGGAATTAGCTGGTACAGGCCAGCACCTGCCCAGCACCGGGCCTGGCCAGCCACCCTCTTATCCCACTGTGGCTCTTTCTCCCATTCCAGACTACCTCTTGGCCAGGGAGAGACTGCTCTCTCAGGCTTTCCTCAACAAACAGAAAGAAGATTCTGTCTCCCTGCCTCCCAAGATGGACCTCCTGAAGGTGCCTGAAGTCGACATCAAGATGGAGGCGAGACCTTTGACCCTGGAAGAGATGGAGGATGTGGGCAAGCGGTACCGAGAGAGGAAGCGGCAGCAGAAGGTACTGGGCCGGCCCAAGGAATGCACGGGGCTCAGGCCTCTGTGCCAGAATGTGGCTCCAATGTTACTGTTCAGTAGGATGCCCCTGGGGCCTCAGTGTTGTGGCCCAGAGTCCCACGCATGTGCGTGGATGGCACTGTGCACGCACAGCTGCGTGCTCTGCCCTTCCGTGCTTTTCACGGGAGCTGTGACCGCATGTGACACTGACGTCAGAACCCGAACCGCAGCCCCTCACCGAGCCCTGGGAGTGGGGAGGCAGAGCGCAGCCCAGGCCCAGCCTGAATCACGTGTGGTCTGCGGCCCGCCCCGCAGCAGGCGATCCCGGCCATCCAGTACGCCGAGCGCTGCCGCCTGGTGCGCTGCGGGAACCAGCGCATCGACGACCACTGCCTCCCGTCCACCCTCTCTGGGGAGATGCGGGGCATCCTGCACAAGACGCACAGGGACACCTTTCTGGTCTACCTGCAGTGCTGGAAGCTCTGTGAGATCTACAGCCTCCCGCTGACAGAGGACATCCTCATGAGAGGTAGGAAACCAGGAAACCTGTGACAAGCCCAGGGCAGCTGCGGCCTGTGCCTGCGGGGGGGACGCTGCGGGGAAGGAGGGGAGGAGAGGGGGGTCAAGAACCTGGAGCCTGGCAAGCTGGGCTGGCATTCTGGGGTCACAGCCGCGGGGACAGGCTGCTGGGCGAGGGAATTCTTAGGCTTCAAGGGAACAGATCCAACACGGAAGAGGGGACTTTGATGCAAATGCTGGATGCTGTCCGTGCCACTCCTCCAGGCCACACCTGGCTCCTGGAGCCTCTGCAGAGCTGGGAGGGAGGAAGGGGCAGGAAGCAGGGCTGCCAAGGCCTCACCCCTGCTGGCATGTGCTGCAGCAGGGGAAGCAAGAAAGCCAGGGTGGAGTTTCCCTGCAGCCTGGCCCAGCCCTGGTCAGCTTGGTTGTCTGGAGACTGAGCTAGCAGATGGAAGGGCTCTCTCTCCCCCCGCCACCTTTTTTGTTTTGTTTTGTTTTGTTTTTTAAAAAGATTTGGGCCTGGCACGGTAGCCTAGCGGCTAAAGTCCTTGCCTTGCACACGCCAGGATCCCATATGGGCGCTGGCTCCTTTCCTGGCAGTCCTGCTTCCCATCCAGTGCCCTGCTTGTAACCCGGGAAAGCAGTGGAGGATGGCCCAAGGCCTCAGGACGCTGCACCGTGTGGGAGACCTGGAGGAGGCTCCTGGCTCCTGGCTCCTGGCTTTAAATCAGCTTGGTTCTGGCGGATGCAGCTGTTTGGGGAGTGAGCCAGTGGATAGAAGATCTTTCTCTGTATCTCTCCTTCTCTCTGTAAATCTGACTTCCAATAAAAAAAAAAGAGAGAGAGAGAGATTTATTCATTTATTTTTATTGGAAAGGCAGATTATCAGAGAGAGGAGAGACAGAGAGATCTTCCATCCACCAGTTTACTTCCCAAATGGCTGCAACAGCTGGAGCTGGACTAACCCAAAGCCCAGAGCCAAGAGCTGCTTCTGGGTCTCCTACATGGAGGGGCCAAAGGACTCGGCCATCCTCTGCTGCTTTCCCAGGCCATCAGCAGGGAGCTGGATGGGAGGTGGAGCAGCTGGGACTCAAACTGGCTGCCATATGGGGTGCCAGCGCTGGCACGTAGAGGATTAGCCTGTTGAGTCACTGCACCAGCCCTGAGCTCTCTCTTTTTCTCCCTATCTCTTTGTAACTCTTTCTTTTTTTTAAGATTTATTTATTTTTATTGAAAATAAAATACAGAGAGGAAAATAATATACAGAGAGGAGGAGAGACAGAGAGGAAGATCTTCCATCCGATGGTTCACTCCCCATGTGACTGAAACAGCCGGCGCTATGCCAATCCGAAGCCAGGAGCCAACAGCTCTACCGGGTCTCCCACGCAAGTGCAGGGTCCCAAGGCTTTGGGCCGTCCTCGACTGCTTTCCTAGGCCACAGACAGGGAACTGGATGGGAAGTGGGGCCACCAGGATTAGAACCAGCACCCACATGGGATTCTGGCATGTACAAGGCAAGGACTTTAACCACTACACTATTGCACCGGTCCATCTTTGTAACTCTTAACATTTCGAGTAAATAGATCAGTTTTTAAAAATACATATGCATATAAGTAAAGAAAGAACATCTCATACTTGAAATAACTCTTTGTTAGAACTGTGTCTATGAACTACATGAAATCTGGTCTCTTTATGTTAATTTAAAATTTGTTAAAAACAAAAATGTAAATTTACTTACAGGGCTAGCAACATGAGAAGCCACAGTCTTGGTGTCTGACACATCTCTCTCCCTGCCCACAGCCCTGCTATATCCGGGAGACAAGATCATCTTCCAGAAGGATCAGATCCGCCCCATCCGGCAGCCCGGTGGCTACTACTCCGACAAGAAGGCCTTCCTTTGGAACCAGGCCCTGAACTTGGCCCACGGCCACGAGCTTGGATCTAAGATGGACAAAACGGACAAGCTGAGTACCAGACCCACTTTCTCCCTGTGCCTGGCCGCCTGCCCGCTGGCTGTCCCTGCAGTGTGTCTGAGGTGTCATGCTATGCCAAGCATCACCCATGGCATGCATGCTAGCAGCAGGACCACCTCCCCGCCCCTACGCACAGCTGCCCTCCTGTCCGTGGTGCTCAGACACACAGCTCTGGGATGGAGTGAACAGGGTCACTTCTATTGGCCAACCCGGAGGGCCCCACGGAGCACCCCTTGCCACTCTGCCCCTGGCATAGCCAGAAGCAAGCTCTTCCCCAGGGACCAGACTGCCCCCAGACCAGCATGAGGCTTTCCTAGGTCCTAGGCCAAGCAGTATGTGACAACGTGTGGACAACTTCGGTGTGTCTGCAGGAGCCAGAGCACAGTGATGCACCCCTGTGGTCGTGGGGCCAGCCCGGGAGGGAGGGGTGCGGGAAGGCAGGGCGCCCAGCCAGATGCCAGGAGAGCTGGCCAGGCCCTCCCCAGTGCCTGACACCATGGGGTGTGCCTGAATCCTGGGGAAGGGTGCAGCTAAACAGATATCAGCCAAGCCTTGGGCTGAAGGGACAAGCTGTTCCACTGTCAGCCTCAGCAGCTCCATGTGTAAAATGGGCCCAACAGTGTCCCACCCGGTACCGCCTGGCCACACACACACACACACACACACACACACACACGAGGCAGCAGCACAGAAAACACTTGTCAGCGATGGGGCTGCTGCTTCCCTCCTGCCCTGGTCCAGCGTGGAAATAGGCCCAGACCCACAGCGGGCGGGTGCTGTCCACAGCCCTGGCTGTGAGAAGCTGAGCAGGAGCCGGGCAGGTGGATGGCGTAGCAGGCCTCTCTGATGGCGCAGGGCCCTCCTCCCAGTGCTCGCCCACTGGGCTGCTTCCCAGCCACGGACACAGCAAAGGGTGAAGACTGGGCAAGAGGCTCTTGTGCCCGGGCTGAAGAGAGCTGTAAAGGACACATGCAGGTTCCTTAGGCTAAGGAGGGAACCGAATGCTGTCTTGCTTCATAGTATGAGTTGTAACAGATTCCAAGACCAAGTGTACCAGGACTTCCCACACTCCGTGGCGGGGGAGGGGGAACTACGGGGCCAGTGCTGAGTAAAGCCCCTGTCTGTGGAGCACCACTATCCCATATGGGCGCCGATGCTCCATTTCCCACCCAGCTCCCTCCCGATGCACCTGCGACAGCACAAGGATGGTGGCCTAAGTCATCCCTGCACCCACATGGGAGACCCACAGGAAGCTCTTGGCTTCTGCACTTGACCGGGCCTGGTCTAGTCTTGCACGCTTTGGGGAATGAACCAATGGGTTGAAGGTCTCCATCTCTCTGGAACTCTGCCTTTCAAATAAACAAATCTTTGAAAAAAGAAAGTTCATGGGAAATGGAATTAGACTTTGGTGAACAATTCCTATAGATGCATGGGCTCTTCAGGAGGTTCACAGGAAACGCATATTACAGAGGGATGCACAGAGATTTTCAAAAGTCTGTACCAAAATTTATCTTTTGATTTCATATTTCCATAATGAAATGTTTGACCTTCCCTGGGGAGGGGTGCTGGCATTGATGACTGAAGTTTGTTGGCCAGGCTTCGGGCAGGTCAGTGTGGCCACCCTGGTCCTGGAGGCTGGGTCAGGCTCGGTGGGGGCAGCAGGACTCACTGCAGCAGCTAGGAAATACCAAACATGAAGCAGAAGCGCCCTGAGGACCTCTGCTCTGGGGAAGAGGCGACTTGTTCAAAGCAGCCAGGTTCTGTGGCCAGGTCCGGTCGATGTGTGCGGCTGCCTGGTCGCCTGGAGCCCAGGGGCGAAGTCCTGGCCCATCCCCAGACAGGAAATTCATGCTAAGCTGTAGTTTGTGAGTCAAAAATCTGGCTCCAGATCTGCTTCCCCAAAGCCCATGGGTGTCCATCTCCCCACCTAACCAAAAGCCTTCTCTCCTCCACCAGGAAGACACCCAAGAAGACCAAGAAAATGCTCTTCAGGGAGTTTGAGGAGTTCACCAGGTGGGCAGCAGAGCCTTCTCCTGGGATGGTGGGAAAGTGGGCTCGCCTCGTGCTGGAGGGGCTGCCTGGAACTCCACGTGCTGAGCACCCCCTGGGGCTCAGAGTCTAGGGGGACACTGCTCGGCTGAAGTCCCTGTATCCCTCTAATCCAGTCCTCTGAGCATCCCTCCCCACCCCCAGCACACCTGCTGCACGGAAGGCTGAGGCTAAGGCACAGCAAGGTAATTGCCTTCCTCAAAGCCTCACGTCCCTTAGGTGGTGCAGCAGGGAGCTGGACCATCCAGGCTGGCCCTGGAAGCTGCTTGCCACACACCGCCAGAAAGTTCCCGGAGGCAGGTCCATGCTGGAGAGCTTGGAGGTTGAGCTATGTAGAGGGCAGGGGCCTCTGCCACTACCTATCCCGTGTCCCCTCCCATGCCAGGAAACTGAAGGCGAAGCGGTCCAGCGGCCTGCAGCAGTACACCCGCGCCAATTCCTTCTGGCCAGGTCACCTCCTGGATAAGCTGCGCCTCTACCTACCCACGGTGACCACGGATCGGAGCCTGGCGCTCTTCAGCTGTGTCCATCGCGAGCCCCACGCCTACCCTGCCACCTACCACCCGGACCACTGGTGGCCTCTGAGGGACAAGGACTATATGACCCATGCCTACTATGATTCCGCCAAGGTCTACTTCCTCAATTAGGATGGCCCGGGTGCTGCACCCGAGCGACCCTGGACAGCGGGCAGGGCGGCGAGAGGCCCAGAGCCCTCGTCATAGGAGTGTCGAAAAAAGAGAGATGGTTCGGGGACATGGCTTGGGGCCAGCTCCTCCTGCCTAGATGTCCAGTGTCCCCAAAGGTGGGTGTGTGGGTGTGTGCAGGAACAGACTGGTGTGCGACTATTTCCCTCTCCTGAGCTTTGCCATTCCCCCCCCCCTCCGCTGCCACCCAAATAAACCATATTGGCATTCTCCCAGCCTCCATGATATGGTTTATTTATTTTTAATTAACTTATTTTTATTGGAAAGTCAGATATACACAGAGGAGGTGAGACAGAGAGGAAGATCTTCCATCCATTGATTTATTCCCCAAGTGGCCGCAACAGCTGAAGCTGAGCCAATCTGAAGCCAGGAGCCAGGAGTTTCCTCCAGGGTCTCCCACACAGGTGCAGGGGTGAGGGAGCCACAGCCACACACCCCAGGGGCTCCAGCTCAACCCCTGCAGGCCAGCAAACATTCTACTTCTGAGGGTCTCCCCTCCCTACCATCCCCGCTCAGCAACCCCATAGGGTGCATCACTTGTCCCCATCTGGGCCCCTGGTGACGCTGCTGTCAAGATCACCAGTGACATCCGTATTATGTTTCAGTTAGGAAGCCAAGTTTTTGATTTTTCTCCTGTTAGCTGAACTTCACAATCCTCTTAACCACAAAAGCTAAGCCAAACAGATCAAGAACGACAAGCTAGATACAATTGGTTGGTCAAATGTGGAGTTTGGAGTCCAGTCTCCAAGTTTCATTTTCCACATATGTAAAACGGAGATAATAATAGGACCACCTTATAGGATTGCGATAAAAACACTAAACCCCATTGGCTTAACTGAGGCAGCCCTAACTGCTGTACAGACAAAACGTAAACTCACCTGTCTTCGTGTTGTTCCCTCCCGGCCACTAGGAGACGCACTTGGCAGTAGACGAAAAGCGGGCGGAAGCTGTCCGGCTTCGGCTTCCACTTCTGGCGGATGTAAATTTGCCACTACACCGTTTAGCTGTGAGAAGTAACAGACTTTCTATGTAGTCCTGAAGACAGGTAAGATGAATTTCCAGTTGTATCCGTAGATATTCATGTCTTGGCATACAGCTATTTCCAGCACTTTCTACAGCGTTGACATGTGTTATTTTCTCTGACGGGCCCGGAAGTGCCGCCCTTTTCCCCGCTGGGTCCGAGAGGTTACGTCCCATAAGCCCTTGCGCGCCGCCCTCCCTTCTCTTCCTGGGCGCTGCTTCCCGCGGTGGCAGCCTCTCTCCCGGTGAGTGAGAATCGGCGTTCATCCGCGTCTCCGCGGCTTTTTTTCTGGCCCGGCCAGCTTCTCGCAAGGAGGCTTTCCTCCCCGCGGCTGTCCCGTGTGGGCATGGCCGCTGTCGGGTGGCCGAGGACGGGGAAGCGGCCGTGGTGAGGCCTTGCGGGCTCGGGCCGCCTGGCGTGTCCCGGCGCCGCCTGGCTTGCTGGGGCCGTGGAGTGGCTCGGACCCGCGGGTCCCCGGCGCCCCACGTGGGCTGGCTGGGCTGCGAGTGGGGTCGGCTCGTGCGTCCCCGGGAGTAGGAAGATGGGGGGCGGGCTCCGGGGCAAGCGGCTGCCGGTCTGGATTCCTGCAGATGGCGCCGGGCAGCAGCGGTGGCCGCCGGGGTGAGGGGTGGGCGACGGGGGCGCCCCGACATCCCCGGATCGCGTCTGCAGAGGGTCCAGTGCTCTGGCAGCTCCGGCAGCGGGGAGGGAGAGCGAGGCCGCGGAGCCGCCCATTCCAGCCCCGGCTCGCCCGGTGCCCGGCGGCTGGAAGACGCTCCGCCACAGCACGTGCGCCGCGCTCCGGGCAGTGCGCGCTGACCCCGTGGCTCTGCCGCTTCCCCAAGGCGCCATGGCCGCGCTCAGACCCCTGGTGAAGCCCAAGATCGTCAAGAAGAGGACCAAGAAGTTCATCCGGCACCAGTCTGACCGCTATGTCAAGATCAAGGTGCTGCTGCTGGGCCGGGGGTGGGGTGGGGGTCCCCGGGGCCGGTGGGGAGGAGAGCGAGGGGCCTGGGGTCTGGAGTGGGGTGGCCAGGGTCAGTGGGGGACAGGCGACCCAGTGGGGAGGTGTGCGAGGGGCCTGGGGTCTGGAGTGGGGTGCCCGGGGTCAGCTGGGGCGGGCCACCTGGTGGCGGGGTCTGCTGAGGGGTGTGTCGGGAAGTCCTGGGCCCTGGGGACAGCTCCCTCTCGGGGGGCTCACCGTTCCTTGCTGCTTGCAGCGGAACTGGCGGAAGCCCCGAGGTATCGACAACAGGGTGCGGCGCAGGTTCAAGGGGCAGATCCTGATGCCCAACATCGGCTACGGCAGCAACAAGAAGACCAAGCACATGCTGCCCAGCGGCTTCCGCAAGTTCCTGGTGCACAACGTCAAGGAGCTGGAGGTGCTGCTCATGTGCAACAAGTGAGTGCGCGGGAGGGCTGGCTGCTGGGGGGGGGCTCTCGGGGCCTCCGGGGTCCTAGTTCCCCTGTGAAGTGGTGTCTTGGGTCAGCCTCTGCATACAGCACCTTGCTGCCCGAGAGGCCTGTGTCCTGGGGCTGAGTGCGAAGCATGCTGCCCACAGGCCCAGCTGCCGCTCCCACTCCCGTCCCAGCTGCCAGATGAAGAAAACCAGTGGATTGTAAAATTGGTTTTTATTGGAGAGGCGGGGAGAGAGAGTGGGTGAGGGAGTCCACAGACATTGTCCACTTCTGAAAGTGGGTCATGCCCCAGGTGGCTGCAGGGGCCAGGTGAAGCCGGGAGCCTGCTGCTCTGTTGTGATCGGCCAGGCGCGTTAGCAGGGAGTGGGTGGCGCTGATGCTTTGAGGTGCTTGTGTTAGATTGATGATCTCTGTGAGAATGCTTAGAATTTTTTTAAAAAGGACACAGTAACGAGCTGAGCACTGCTTGGAGGCCCAAGGGCAGACCTACTGTGAGGAAAAGTGGCCGCTGTGTGGTTGCCATGGCATCCCAGAGTTGCCCGAGTGTCCTTGTAGACACTGGCCGTTGATCTGGCAAGTTCCATCTCTGGGCATTCATCCCCAAGTGATTAGAAAGCAGGGACACTTCATACAGCTGATTATTTGGCAGTGGTCGGGAGAACATGGAGACGAGGCGGGGTGGGAGTTTGCGCCTCCATCCCATGTGACATGGAGACTGCCAGCCTTGCTGTGGGTGGCATCATTGGGTGTGCAGGTGCAGGAAAATGCGAGATCTGATGTTGCTTAAATAATAGTGATTAGGCCGAATGGAAACCTGAAATGCTTTCTGATATAGAAAACAGAATGTTGATTCTGGGTTTGGGTTTGGGGAGGGTGGGGTAGTGGGGATGTGCTCCTGTGTGGGTTGTTGGGAAAAGCTGTTCACGGGCACGGCCAGGACACTGCTTGGTGGCAGGCTGACCGGGCTCTCGCCTGGCTTCCTCCCAGCCCTGTATTTGGGGTCATCTCCTGTGCAGTGGGCATAAATACAGGAGTGCTGGGCTGTAGGGGCCAGGCGGCGCCAGGCTCTGAGGGACAGGGGGCACTCGGGCTGATGTGCAGCTGTTTCCCAGCAGCCTTTGCACTTGGCTCTCTGGCTGCAGGGTGAGTGGCCGAGGCACAGTCGCGTGGGCTTCTCTGGGTGTGTGTGGGCCTGGCCTCCCCTCACTGCTTGCTTCTCTTCCAGATCCTACTGTGCAGAGATTGCCCACAATGTCTCCTCCAAGAACCGTAAAGCCATCGTGGAAAGGGCAGCCCAGCTGGCCGTCCGAGTCACCAACCCCAACGCCAGGCTGCGCAGTGAAGAAAATGAATAAGAGGCTTGGGCGCACATATTATTTGTGTTTAAGTAAAACTTTGAAAACTGCCATGTGGTGTGGCTTTCTGGTTCCCTGGCGTCCCTCTGCTGTTCAGACCTCCCACACAGCCTTCCATCTGGACCGAGTCTGAAGGACCCACGGTCCTTAGCCAGCTCCCACGCTGCCAGGCCACGTGCTTGACGTGTGTGACTCTGAGCATCACCTTACCCGGTTCCTTGGGGGCAGTGCAACAGGTGCCTGAGAAAAGGTGTGGTCAGCCTGGGGCCCCCAGGGACAGGGCCCTGGTGCTCTGCAGCATGACAGGCCAGCCATGAAGGCACAGGAGCCACTTCACAGTCAAGCCCCCATGGAGTGCCAGGTCCCTGCCAGCTTTTCTCTAACTGAAGTGTGTGCAGGAGATAGTGCCAGGAAGTGTGTGGAGGAAACAGTCACAAGTTACTTAGTTGACTTTTATTAGCCTGAGGTATCACAGAAAACACTTCAGCCTGTCTGTACTGGCAGCCGTGGGTTCAGATGCCAGCTGGGCCCGTCTCGCGGGGCATGCAGGGTCCCAGCTTGACTACCTGAGTGTTCTGGGGGGTGTGAGGCTGGGCTCCCCGTCGGAAGAGGCCAGTCTCAGGGATTCCTCGCGTGGGTCCCTGAAGAAGGCACTGGGAGCAGAGACTGGGGCCCCCAGTCGGAGGGCACTGGTAGAGGCCGGGGCTCCTCCCCGAGGGAGGGCTGCCCTAGCTGAGCTCCGCCGAGTCCATGCTGGGGCCTGAAGCAGGGTCTTTCTGGATGCTTTCAAAGAGGGCCGTCAGTTCGGGGTTGGAGCGGATCTGAGAGGAGAAGTCGGCCATGCTGGGGCTCTTGCCCACCTCAGGGATGGTCAGCAGGGCAGCCACGGCCCTCATGGCTGAGCGCTTCAGTTCGTCTTGTTTCTCAAACTCCTGCTTCACTGAACCAGCTTTGACCTGGAGGGAAGAAAGAGTGGCCTTGGCCCCTCTCACTGGTATCGCTGCCCACCTCTGCCTGCACCGGGCTCCTGAGATGACTTTAGGATGCTCGAGCCCCACTGCCTAGTCCACTGGGCTGCCACCTTTGTGTCTGTTGTAATTCGGTTGTGACCTGTAGGCACTTGGCTGTTGCGGCCAGTGCGCCTGTACTTAGAGTGTCCTCTAACGAGGACCGGCCTCTGCAGGGCTGTGTGAGGCACTTCGGTTTTAGATATCTTGTCCCTGCTTCTCCACCCAGTGGAGGAACCAGGGCTGTGGGCAAGGACACAGCTCAGCACTCCTCACAGTGACCAGCAGGGGGCACCCTCTGCCTGCGCCCAGGGGACGCCTCAGGTGCTGCAGGGTCATT